TTTGTGTTTGCTTAAATACACGTGTGTTTGAAAAGTAACTGACATATTTATCATGTTTGCAGTAACACAGTTCTGTGTTTATTTTAATACACTTGCGTTCATAATTGACTGTCACATATATCATGTTCGTCTACACATTCGTGAGGGGCCACGGGTGGCTTCGTCATCTGAGGCGTCGCAATTCGCTGTGCAGAGTTGCGTCCCTTGAATACACCAGAAACCTATGATCGTGGGTTCGAATCCCGGTTGGCTCCGATTATGTTTCTAAGTTTGTCAGCACCATACCCGTGCTCGTGAGTTTCAGCAAAATAGTAAACGTCAGAGACCTGCATTACACCGGGCTTTCCTCCCACATTAAGCTGACACACGGTGATACTCCAATACACTTCTAGGGGGCGTTTCACCCAACTCACTCACTCACTCGATCTTTCATTCACATTCGTAAATATGTGTAACGGACAAAAATCTTTTGTTGTAGCAATGGTATGAGTTCGTTTTGATAAACGTGTATAATCTAAATCACATGCACCACATTTGTAGAGCGTCTAAACATTCGCGTACATGTGTAACACATACATCATATCTTGTTCGAGAGATAACATATGCTGCAAAAATCCACAATGGGCGTATGCCTCTGCATGATATAGCTGACGTATTCGTTACTTATAAGCATATGCTTATGTGGAAATAATACCTGCGCTGACCGCCGAGCACCTCAACTTTTGACCCTTCCTCGGATCTCTTCTTCCTGTATCATTAAACCCTTGACCGCTCTGGCCGTTTGGCATTGTTTCGGGATAACGTAAATGCCCTCTGAGACGTATGCACGCTAGCTACATAATACCAAACTGTACGAGCAATACGTTGAATGCTTATCGTAATGCACACCCTGTTGAAGCTGTAGTCACTCACTCGCTCACTGAAGCTGTAGTCCACTCGCTGAAGAGTGATCAGCTAGAACCTTCTGTTGATGTAAAATATGTGAATAAATTGATGAAAGTAAACTAATTTAAGAATGCAAAGTGAGTGGGTGAGTATGGTTTTACGCCGCTTTAAGCAATATTCCAGCAATATCAGGGCGGCGGACACTAAAAATTGGCTTCACACATGTGGGGAATAAAACCCGGGTCTTCGGCGTGAAGAGCGACCGCTTTGATGACAAGGCTACCCAACCCCCTCTAAAAATGCAAAGATTAAACACTAAACTTTTAAATTATCCCTCATCAGCCATCACCGACCAATCACACACACCAACAAAAAAACAATACGAAAAACGTCAATTGACAATGGCGTGACTACGGCCGAAACCTGTTTTTCGCAATGTTCTGTAAATTAATGGTGACACCTTATACACTATCTTGATGATATGTTGTAAGTTTAACATAAACAACTTTAACCATGTACATGAAAACGATTAAACCCTTTCCATAACCATACGAATATATATTAAAGGCAGAGTCCGACTTTTTCATGAGCAGGTGTTAATGAATCACTATAATGACACTGGGTGTTTGCGAACAGGTCCCACCGGTTGCTTTCGTCAGAAATATGTCTGTCGTTTTCATGGATACTCAAAAGGCTCATTCAAATTTTATATTACAAAGCTCATCGCATTAATGCTGATAAATAATCTATTCCAAAATCGTTAACAGCTGAACTGGAAACGTTTATTTTGACAAAATTATATGATATTATGATAGGGTATTACAACGGGGATCTATTTTTATCACTGATGCGTCAGAGTTGAAATGTTCTCCACGTGTCTCCCATGAAACCTTATAAAAGCTTTACTGAGGCCTTGAATGTTGTAACCCGATCAAACTACTCTTGCGTACGTTAATAATAGAATACTATATGACATTATATGACCGAAAATATTTTTAACCGGGGATATCCAAAGGGGATGGTTATAGGAAGCAGTGTTTTCATTTCTGACAACACGCTTTGTTGAATGCATATCAGTAAAAAGATGCCTCTCAGAGAACGACTATTCAATGCCACATATTTTGTCTTTCTTCTCTGCAAGGCGGGGATATAATTATTTTACCTTTAACATAGTATTTTTCTTTCTATTCAGCATTTCCAGTGAATATGATGTAGATGAAACACATGTCTTCAAGGGATTGTATGCAATTGTTTTGCTCGCGTCCTTGAGCGTAGACCATCTGTGACGAATCACTACGCCTGACGTCATTACAACTGCCAATTTCCCATTACAAGATGAATGTAGGGCAGTTGTAACTAGTTTGATTCGGATATAGAAGAGACGTCAACGCGGATGTTCAGACCTGTTACTGGTAGGTAGTCAATTTCTCTCTTTCTAAGCAATATTTTGCTAAATTGGCGTAACCAGAAGGTATGATTAGCCCGTCAAGTCTTTAAGACAGGAAGAAAATGAAGCCAAATGGATACAACTTTTATATTGTTCGTAACGACGTTTTAAGGTATTCCTCGCCCCTTCATTAGGTGAATTTGACTGAATGGACAAGCATGTGGCCGTAAGTCGGGGCGGCTTTATACCGGGACATCGACCCATGACACGAGCCCACATGTGAGCCCACAGCCCGGGGTGAGTTTGCTCTGGGGCGGAATTACACTGGGACACCGGCCAATGACACGACATGTAGTGGGGAGGTGGGTAAGTGCGCACGTTTGGGGCTGATGATATTACAGTGAGGAATCTGTTCGAAAGAAGAAGTTTCGTATTCGTCCAGAGAGATCGTAACCTTTGGTCCAGCTGCTTGTGGACTGGTTGATGTCTATCCAGCTGTCTGCAGCGCTGCATCAGGTTTATGACGTTGGTCCAAGAATAACTGAAGGCTTTTGCTACGTGAGTGTGTCTTACCCCTATCTGCATCATGTACATTTGGTTCAATCGCACTGTTCCGCTGTTCCTCCAGATGTTCCGGTGTTCCACTGTGTTTATATTCACCATGCATGTGCATTCACTGAGCTCTGTCACATGTTTCAGATTATTTCAGATTGTTTCGCCCTTGTCAGAAACCTGATCTATTTTACAGTTAACCCTTTCTTAGAGCAGCTAGTTGTGTTCGGTCAAGTCATTGTAGAAATGTTATCGTAGATATTCAGAGGAATTTACTAATTATGACACGCTTGTCAACACAATGCGCGATGATATCCAATACTATGGGAGTTTTCACGCCTCTTTCTACCTGAATGGATCGAATCAGATGGTCGTGCTTGGTGGCTTGCTTGACAGCTTGGCTCTGTACTACAACAACGTGGATCATTGTTCATGATACTGATCTCTGGATAATCTTGTCTACATTCTCTTACATATGTCGTTGCATGGCAGGGGTATAGCTTGAGGAACTAACAAACACTTACTTTTCTATGAGTACTGTGTGAGTGTGTGTGTGTGTGTGGGGGGGGGGGTGACCAGAACAGCAGAACACTATTACCATTTTCGTAAACATATGGATTCATCCCTGATTTGAAGTGATCCATTCATTTTTGAATTCTGCAGCTGTTGAAGCTCATTCCCCTTACACGCATGGGCAACGAGTACCCATGATAAACTGAACTTGGAGGTGGTAACAAGGAGAGAATCTTTTTTTATTTTCCTAACGAAAAATGTTAATACACATTTTATTATATATGTACTTGCTGATGTCTCTTTTTGTTTGGTATTCGTTATCTTAATAATACAGATGGACATATTTTTTAGTCAATTTGTAAAATAATTGAATATTTAGGCGTTTAATAAATTTCCTAAGTGCAAATTTTACACATTTTGACTGTAAAAATATACACACGATAAAATGAGCAAAGCTCAGGTGAAATATTCACTTTGTGTTGCAAGTCAAAATAGTGTAAACGAAAACCGCACAATTACCAAGTGACTTATCAAAACTTCGTCACCATTACCGATGCTACCCACAAAGATACCTACATTTGCTTATTATCTAGAAAACTGTATTTGACCATACGCCCTCATTACTATCCATAAAAGTGACTAATGCGCTTACGAATGGCGCAGCACAGGTCGCGAACCGGTCTAGATTTTTGCTACACATCCGGGTACTCACGGGGAAAAACAATAACAAAGGAAACAACCAGTCCAGGGAAATGCTTTAGAACAGTGCCCCTTTAACTGAACAGTGCCCCTTTAACTGAACAGTACTAGTGCCGACAATGTCCACACACAAAAACATACAAATAAACGTCGATGGACAATGGCGTGACTACGACCGAAACCTGTTTTTCGGAATGTTCTTCAAATTTATGGTGACACCTTATATAAAAAGTCACTGTCTTGATGATATGTTGTAAGTTTAACATAAACAACTTTAACCATGTAAATGAAAGCGATTAAACCCTTTCCATAATCATACGAATATCTGTTATACGAATAAGCAGAGTCATGTCTTTTTTTAATAAGTCAGTGTTAATGAATCACTATAACATAGAGATCATACCATGTGTTTGCGAACAGGTGAGCATATTCTGTTCCACCGATGGCACTCGTCAGACATAAATCTGACGTTTACATGGATGCCCAAAATGCTTATTCAAATTTTATATGACTAAGTTCATTGAGTTAATGCTAATAGATAATATATGCTAGAAATGTTAGAAACTGAACTGGAAACGTTAATTTTGACAAATTATATGATATTATGGTAGTGAATTACAAGGGGCATCTCTTTATATCACTGATGCGTCAGAGTTGAAATGTTCTCCACATGTCTCCCATGGAACGTTTTAAAAGCTTTACTGAGGCCTTGAATGTTGTAACCCGATCAAACTACTCTCGCGAATGGTTAATAATAGAATACTATATGACATTATACGACTAAAAACAATTTTAACCGGGGATATCCAAAGGGGATGGTTATAGGAAGCAGTGTTTTCATTTCTGACAACTTGCTTTGTTGAATTCATATCAGTAAAAATGTGCCTCTTAGGGAACGACTATTCAATGCCACATATTTTGTCTTTCTTCTCTGCAAGGCGGGGATATAATTATTTTACCTTTAACACAGTATTTCTCTTTTTATCCAGCATTTCCAGTGAATATGATGTAGATGAAACACATGTCTTCATGGGATTGTGTGCAACTGTTTTGCTCGCGTCCTTGAGCGTAGACCATCTGTGACGAATCACAACGCCTGACGTCATTACAACTGCCAATTTCCGGTTTATGAGATCACTTGGTACAAGGAGCCTGTTACAAGATAAAGATAATGCAGGGCAGTTGTAACTAGTTTGATTCAGATATAGAAGAGACGTCAACGCGGATGTACAGCCCTGTTGCTGGCAAGTAGTCAATTTCTCTCTTTCTAAGCAATATTTTGTGACACGCATTTGCTAATCCGACTTAACCAGATCATGTACATTTGAGTGATGTACATTTGGTTCAATCGCACTGTTCCGCTCTTCCTCCAGATGTCCCGTTGTTCCACTGTATGTATATGCATTATGCATGTGCATTCACTGAGCTCTGTCACATGTTTCAGATTATTTCACGCTTGTCAACACAATGCGCGATGATATCCAATAGTATGGCCTCTTTCTACCTGGATGGATCGAATCAGATGGTCATGCTTGGTGGCTTGCTTGACAGCTTAGCTTTCTACTACAACTACGTGGATCATTGATCATGATACTGGTCTCTGGATATTCTTTTCTGCATTGTTTTACATACGTCGTTGCACAGCAGGGGTGCAGCTTTAGGAACTAACAAACACTTTTTTATGAGTACTGTGTGAGTGTGTGTGAGGAGGGTGGGGGGTGGGGGGAGCGACCAGTACATTCGGCTCCTTTCGTGTTCCACAGTGTCACTGACTGTGATTACCACTTCTTCTTTATGTGCTCGGAGATCGTCGGCAACGGAAGGGGCCGAGGCTTTGATGTTTCGTCCGAAATGAGGCGTTGTGAATATCATAGTATATTTTACCTTTCACGGATGTGACACAGTTGCTTAGACCTATGCATATATGTTTCCTTTGTGTATAACGCGACGGCAATACGACGAGACTGGCTTAGATAGTTCAACAGGAACACTACTGCATTGAATTCCATTAATTCATACACGCATGGGCAACGCGTTACGCAACCCGTGTGCACCCCTTTCGTCTCTCGTGTGCAACGCATGACACTTATTACAGGGGGAACGAACTGTTTACCAAATGAGGACCCATGCTGAGCTGGTATGTCCTTGCTGATGTCTCAATATTAGATGTGATTTTGTTGAAAAATTCTGGTACTGTTGTGGCCTCTACAACATGTTAAAATGTTATGGCTATTCAAGTGTTTTTTGTGATTTGACATTAAACGTCTGTAGTACGACTTTCAGTGATCATGTTTATGAGGTTTGGCGGAGCATTGTTCTCATTGGATCCTAATACTTTATGATGGTTGGGTCTCTCGCAGCTCCATAGCCGTGACGCTGGAAAGGGAAGCATGAGAGTAGGTTATATCGTGGAGGATACGCTTGAGGGAGAGGGTTCTACTAATGAACAGGAAGAGACGTGAGCGCGGGGTTTTGTGTTAGATGGCCGTTGCGTAATGGCCGCCAGGAGAGGTAAACATTGAGCTAAAGCAGTGTTGTTTTCACGTGCTTGTTAGATAAATTCCCAGCGCTACTGTCAATGTATCTTCTACTTGATCCTACATACATCATTCTGGCATTTACAATATCTATTTTTTCAACGAACATTAATAGTTTACTTGTCATATCTTTTAGAATATTTGTCAATTGTGTTGAGTTTACAGGCAATGATTGTAATTTGTGGTGACATGTAAATATATTACGTCTCATGTAAAACATGAAGTAAGTAAGATAGTTAATATTAATATTCAAATCGCATTAAAATACAATGATAACAAGATACATATGTTATCCTAAACTAAAGCCTGTGTTCCACAGTCAGAGCCAGGAAGAAAACTGATTAAACACATTTTAGATACATTTAAACGTTAGTAGCATATAACCCTTGAAATTGAAAGATCTACAAAAAGATGTATTTCTTATAATAAAAGGTCCATAAGGGTATTTAGTAAAGTAATGTAACTCTTTCGAAAAAATAGTTCTCTTGATGTTCAATGCTGGACAATTCCCCGCACCCCACTTTTTGTTTGTCTTTGGTAAAAGTTAATAAGAGGAGGTTTGGTGGGGGACTAGAGGTATCTTTTCAGAGGGTGTGACTTCTGACATTACCCACTGTTTACTGTAGGATATTGGAAATGGACTGTCATGTTGTCTGACTGCAGATAGGATTTGTAACCTTAACAATCACTGGGGTTTCACATTAGGGGTCGTGAATTTTACAATTGCCCAAATGATCCTGCTGAGTATTGGTGCTTAGTGATGCCAAAGGTAACATATTATCATTAGCGGAAATTGGCAGTGAATACTTAATACCATGTATGTAGGATATCTTCAAGATTCAAGACACCCAACCAGTTCATGCATTCAATGGTAAAAGAAGACCAGACTTGATTAGAATCCGTGTTTATCTGTGACAACTTAGCAAGTGGTGATGAATTTTTATATTCGTATTATTATAATCTGTCAAACTGTATATAAATTTGTGTGATATCATAATATTCAAAGGGACAGTTCCCTACACCCTTCAATATCTTAAGGAATGAACGTTAGTTTATTGTATCGATTATATACATATCTCACTAAGTATATGTTTTGCATTTGCATGCATGAACGATGGGATTAAGGGAGAAAGGAAATATTTTCCTGAACGTTTCCAATAACTAGTGGAGGAAATTGGAAATGACTGAACCTGTAGATGAGAGAAAGAAAATAATAGTCAATGTTTTTATCATAAAAAACTCTCTGTTAAGTAAACAACAGTTGTTATTTTAGTACTTTCAAGAGGAATCCCAAACCTTCTCTTACTCTGTTATGATACATTATGTCAAAGTGAAAACAAAAACATTAACGTGCAACAAAGCATTTTCCATGGACTTGTTTATTTGCTTATTGTTGATATACACGTGTACAGATTAATCAAAACATATACTATATCAATGTAACTATATCACGTGTGAATGCGTGTAATACATGTACTTGCATATTGGCTCCCCAGTTCTCATAATGCTTCATATGAAGGCAAAACTGTGTCTTTAATTAACCTAATCTCTCATGTCAGTGACTGATTTCAAATCGCATGTCTTGGTGTTACACAGCCAGTGTCCCAACTCTCGTGTATCTACTTTACTGTTTCGCACTCGCGATCTAACTTTATAACATTTCGGGTCTTAGACATCCTCTTATACAGAGCAGATGCGTTCTGGACATTTTAGCTTTCGGCTCCATGGCCTTTACTGTCTTAAAAGTGACTTTATTAGTCTTCGGATGCTACGTCTAGTTATGGTCGCACCGATTAGATAACCCTTACCGACAGGGTGGGGATGGTGGTTGAAAAGCGAAACGGACAACCTTGTTTGTTGTAAATAAATGCTGGACGGCGATAACTTTGGTTATATATCGACTCCCTGTCTTTATGTCTTAAGTTGTTAATCGGGAACTGCGGTCGTAATTTATCAACTTATTCATCGATTGTTGCAAACTTGACTGATTTTTGTACACAATAAACACTAATTGATCATGAACTACTGGAGGCCACCTCTAGATATGACAAAGTACACGGACATGTAGGCCTTAAGAGCAATGCAATCCAGTATTCAAAATCGAATTTGGGAAATATTCATGTTGTGATGTGTCTAAAAATATTTATAGAAATTTATCTCCTTTAGGTTGTGACGCTGGTGTAGACATGGGAACCACCCACTTACTGTATGTTTTCAAAGTATATGTGGTGCATACAATTATTGCCTCTCAGGAATATGAATAAACGATTCAGAATAATGATGTTGGTGATTTTACGCACGTAGGTCACAATGGTACAAGTGATGTCAGTTATGTCATGTGTTCACCGCCATCCTTCAACCTTTGTACTGATTTTACTGTTATCACATGAGCTGATTCACTTTCCTGTCACTAATACCCTTCTATCAGCAGGAGTCATGTTCTCCGGCGAATCAGATAGTACACCCGGTTATAATTCGTTCACATCAATATGGGTTAATGCTAAGTCGGAACAATGTCATGATAGTTTATAAGGCTTATTCGCCAGATCTATGGACACGGCACTAACCGATATTGATGAACGTATTAAAGTGGTGACACAAAAAAGACAAATGTAGTTGTATTTAGAAACGGAGGTGGGTTAACAAAACATGAGAGGTGGTTTTATATAGACCATCTTCACTGCCAACATTCACTGGGACAACATTTTCACCGAAACATACGTTATTGTATGGTTCTTGTTGATGAGGTTCCTGATTTTCTTGTGGGTCCTTAATAAGAGTATTGTCTCTATTTTGCGGACAAAGACACATTTTTCACAATTTGATAAGATATGTTTTGTTTACATAACATACTGACAATCAAAGTGTGCCTAAGTCATGGTCGGGGCGGTCGGGTAGCCTAGTGGTTAAAGCATTCGCTCGTCACGCAGAAGACCCGGGTTCGATTCCCGACATGGGTACAATGTGTGAAGCCCATTTCTGGTGTCCCCCGCCGTGATATTGCTGGAATATTGCTTAAAGCGGCGTAAAACCATACTCACTCACTCACTCACTCACTCACTAAGTCATGGTCTGTCCGTCGTCTCCGTGACCACCGGGCCTGGTAAGCTGAGATAGGTATTCAGATGAACGTAGTCACGAAATAGCACAAACTAATCCAACAGTTGACTGCAGATAGAGTGAAATCCCGGATGTCAGGGCCTCCATTTATCCGGGCGATGTATACAAAAGGGCATTTCTTACACATCTGTAGGCGAGAACCCACTTCCGATAACTGGAGTCAAACATATTGTGTAAAATCGAATTCGAGGTCAGTGACTGGCCTCTCTCTGGTGATAACCTAAGGTCAGATTATGACGGACTGTACCTTCCTGGTTGTTTTTCGTTGATATGTTTCTTGTGTTTCAGTCGAATTCCCCCAACGCCTGTGTTTAAACGTTGTGGATTTAGAGTGTTTCATAAAAGGTCTTTCATCTTATCTAGTTTGAGTTATCATCATCGCTTTGACAATCTACAGATGTGACTGAAACTGTTTGTGGAGGGTCACCCCAGATAGGAGTAGTAACCAGGGTGACCTCATTCGTGAGCGTTGTATTTATGTACAGATGTGTCACTGCGATCATGAGAATAGACAAAATGCGCAACGATTGCTAACATGGTGCGATTTTAGGGTATGTAAGAAACAGATTCATGCACTTTTTCCTGTCATTTATCTTTCAGCATTGACTGGCACTCGTGTATTGATCTCTATTTCACCGTATCCACGAATCGTTTAGTTGTTTAAGCTGACCTGACATAATGAAATCACGCATCGTGTTACCCATGCATTCATATATAGGTCTGTATGTGTACATTAAAACCACAATTGTTAATGTTTTGTAGATAAATGAGGACAGGTGCGTGACTGGAATAAATGCATTGACGAGTGGATATCTTAACGAGCCATGACTACAAAGGAAGAAGTTATTCGGAAACCGAACAGTAAGTTATCCGCTCTGCAGAAATATGTCATTGTCACTGTGGCATACTTGGGGGTTAATGTGACACGCATACTACAGACATACTGCGTCTGTATATATTACATGTGATGTATCCGTCATAACAAAAGTTTAAAGTTTTCATCACTTCACTCACCTATTGTGTGCTTTGTGTCTTTCATCCAGGTGAACAATGACACTTTCACTGAGTATTGTTGGCTAACAATGTCTAAGCACTTGTTATATGCTTATGCACGGAGTACAGCTTGATATAAATGGATTACTATTACTATAATTACAATATTTCAGCTATTACACGACATGACAGCTTAACATAGTGACAAAACCCACACATAATTTACATTTTCCCCTTTCCAAAACAGATCGTTACAGGTATGATATTGGATGATAGTTTGGGCTTCTTGAGCAACTCAAGGATCCAATTCTGCGCCGTAGATCACTGCAACACTTGGTCTCAACATAAGGGTCCACAATTACAGCTACAACATAATGTTTGGTGGTACACCAATAGGGCAAATAATTTTTCAACTTTCAGTTCCGATATGGCGTACGAAACGATACCAGATGGCCCTTCTGTACTGTCTGGCCTTTCTTGTGCAAGGCATCCTCATGTACAACCTCAGCATCTCCATCGTGTGTATGGTGAAGCATGATCTACATGACAACGAGGTCAACACGGCGCCATTTTCCAACGAGACCACGACTAACAATACCAGGCTGGCAGAGGTTTCATCTTTGTCTTTCACTCTAATATTTCAAAAAGAATTAATCCTGTAAGACGTATCTTTTCTTAAGAAAAATGTACAATATGTTGAAGTAGCTTAAATAAATTATGTTAACTTATATCATTCCACTGAAAATACGAAACAACAGAAATATTCAATTTGAACCTGAGTTTCTTTGGAAAAAAGAATCGCCGACAATACGGCTTTGCAGAACAAAATATTGACAAATACGTTAAATGTATATTACAAGGATAAGAACACATTTATGTTTATTTATCCCTTTGTCATTTGGATCAGAGGTAAAATGGCGTTGTATAATACTTATTCTGGACCCTTTAATGGTTAATAAACATTCTTTCTTGACACTGGTTTATGGAGGCAATATTTCTGACTTTGGTGGCATATCCACGAGCCTTCTCTGCTACAGAGCCCTCTCAGCAAATACCATACAGTAAACAGTACAGAATAGCTCTGCGTGTATGCGTTCAATAAGAAACCCTTTATCACCTGTATTTCCCTAGGGTGGTGAGTTCCTGTGGTCCAAACAGATTCAAGGCCTGCTTCTTGGTGCCATGTTCTGGGGCTATATGGCAGCCCAGATACCCTCGGGGTGGCTGAGCCAGAGGTACGGTGCCAGGATGGTGGTGGGCATCGGAGTGGGTGGTGCGTCGGTCGTCACGCTTCTCTCTCCGTTAGCAGCTAGAACAAACATCTATCTCTTCCTGGCCACCAGACTGATATTTGGAGCATTGTTGGTAAGTTTAAGATTATTGTTAATATTATAACATAGTTCAAAGTTGTTTAATCTAATGCAGAATTTGAATCATAACTTGATCATGTTTGACAATGGATGTATTTCAGACAGTGATATACCCAAGTTTGGCAACTTTCTGGTCCAAGTGGGCACCGCCGAGCGAGTACAGCAGACTTTTAACTATCAGTCTACTAGGCGAGTGCAATGACAAAGTTGATTATCATGAAATATACTTTCAGGGACTATTTCATGCACAATAATCCTAAATACATGTTGGTATCAGTATGATTGCTATCCAAACTAGAATTGTGTTTGTAAGAACTTTAAATGTCCTTGACATCGTCCACAGCAGCATGCATCTCAATACTACTTTATATAACCTTATTACAAATCAAGGAAACAAATAACTTTTAATATTCATGCTGTGTTGTTTTCCTTAAACGATGAGGTCAATCACCTGTTGTTTCGCAATTGAGGGTGTGTAATTTTACTTTGGAACTTAAGCAATATTATGCATGTATTCCAGTCATGTTCATTTCTTCTTCTCTGTGATCTACTGGTAGAGTGTCTGCCCAGAGAGCGGAAGGTCCGGAGTTCGATCCCCGGCCGCGTCATACCTAAAGACGTTAGAAGATGGTACTTGTTGTTACCCTGCCTGGCGCTCGGAGTCAGTATACTGTGTCTGAGTGGGGTATTCATGTTACGCTACAGCATGGTATCTCAGTGGGCTAGCACTATAAATCGGCATCAGTCCGGACTAGTACAAGCAGCCAAACAAATACGCACGTCGCGATATAGGTGCAATAATCTTGGACGCGACGTTAAACCCGATTTCACCTCACCTCACCTCTTCTTTTTATCAAATTTATCCCAGGGCCTAATCATGACGCACTGGACAGTGTACACATTATGAATGTCTCTCATGCAAATGTAATGTCTTGGACATGTGCTCTTATCCTATGTCTGTGTTACAGGATGTACTATAGGCAATGCCGTCGTGTTTCCGATTGGTGGAATACTTTGCGGCGATGACGTCAGCCTTGGGTGGCCATTTGTGTTCTACATAACTGGTTAGTTGGCGTGTAAGACCCCGTGACATAACTGAACTGGGCGTTAAGAACAAACGGTAAAAATATACTTTTCAAACAAGTACATGTAGGCGTAACTCGGAAATAACTAAACATTTCCAAAATTGTAAGAAATATTAGTTTCCAGTAATAGTTGTAAGATAATAATGAACCAATTGGAAACACATTAAACACACCAGTGAGGTATCAGAGTGGACGTAATGAACGCCAGCTATCATGGAGGACGGAAGGGGTAAGATGGGAAATTTCACAATTGACGTTTAAAGATCACTATTGCGTAATACCACCACGATTTGTCAAAGATCCCATTTACAGCGATGGCGATTTGAGGGAGTCTGTCCCACTCCTCTTGCAGCCCTTGGCAAGTTAATCGGCGGCCTACGTATACTGTCCCTCCAGTAGTCTGATGAATGTTTGCAGCAATTTGATTCGCCGTTTGAGCTCGGCAACTTTGGAGATATAAATTTCGAAACAATTTTGAGAAGACAATTGCCTACCGTGATCATTTTCCATATTTGTGCTTGTAGGCCTCTGCGGCTTTGGGCCTTTTCACCAATTTAAAAAAAAACAGTTGGGTTTGGCCGAAATACGACCGAAATGATACCTTGTTTCATGTTGTTGCTATGACAGGACAGGCAGACTAAACAAAGGTGACTTCTCGTAGTCTATGGTTAGAGTAACTTCTCTATGATGTGGGGCAGTTGCTCAAACGGATGGACCGATGGATAGCCGCGAAAGGCCAGTAGAAACAAGAATTTTGCCTATATGTAGTTACGCCACTGCCGAAGAAACAGGTTTCGGTTGGAACTAGGTTAACTGTTGTCACTGTCCGGCTGATAAATCACTGCGATTTAGGCATAATATGTATGAATGCGCACATTCCAGGAAAACTTGCAATATTTAGGTAATGTTTGTGAGAGATGTCAACAGGTGTTTCCACGATAGAATTGAAGAATGACATTATATGATAAAGAGATTATCACGCTTGTGTGTTTTGGGATGTTACATATCCTGTATTAGGAATAAACATTGTATTTAGCGAGCTTAATGTGCTCACAGAATTCATGTCACACAACCTCTTCATCATGTAATGTCATTCTTAAATTCTGGCCGCCGTGGCGACCATATTTAGAAACCAATGAAAGGCTCTTAAAGCACCATCAATTTTAAAATTATATTGAGTCTTTTATAGGTGAAGCTGGTAGTGGGCCCTAACATCTTTGATCGTTTTTCGAATACCGTTTTGTCCTTGATTCAACATTTCGAGCATAACAGTCGGCGTTACTATAGTGACATGGGCACAACAAATTGGAAAACCACTGCACACTAGCCTGTCATCATGTGTCATGAAATCATCTGTATACATTGGAGGGTCAATAAAAAAAGTAGGATTGTGCATGTGGTTGGAAACCAAACTTGCCATGGACCACCCCCCAAAAAAACCCAAAACAATAACAACAAAAAACAAAAAAACACACACATAAAACAACCCGAAAAAACAAGCAACATTGTCGAGCTACATTTTGAGAGTCTGTTGGTTGGATGGTACTGTCAAAGTGTCATCATTCTGCATCTTTTGAACATAGCGAAACAAATTCAAGCAGGATTTAACTGTCCAGAGAGGGCAGGTCAACGTGCTTGTCAAAATCACTAGTGTGTCAATTAGGCCTTGGCTTGTCACACAGATACTGGTTTCGGTAGTTGACACAAGGGCTAGGGACCTACAGCGTTTCAAAGAGGGGTAAATTAATTTTAATAACATTTATGTAATCAATTTTTATAAATAGTTTAATCTGGTTTTAAATATCCACTAAGCACGGGGCACAATATGGATGTGATGTTAATGTAAATGTGAACCATTAGAAAATCCGAGTCTTGTTCAAGACATCACTATTTGCACTCAATATCCTTAGCCTGCAAATATACTGTGATTTCGTTTCTTCTTGACAGAATAGTTTGCACCAACTCCTCAATTCGCTGTACATATTTGTTCAAAAATGAGTGATACATTTGTTACGTCATAAGTCAGGGACCCGTGAAGATCCAGGGTATAATAGGTCTTCAGCATACCATGCTTTCCGTAAAAGGCGTCTATGCTTGTCATTAGAGGCGACTAACGGGATCGGGTGGTCAGTCTTGGTGACTTGGTTGATGCATGTCATCGTATCCCGACTGCGTGGATCGATGCTCATCATGTCAATCACTGGATTGTCTGGTCCAAACTCGATTATTTGCAGACCGCCGTCATAAAGCTGGAATATTGCTTAGTGCGGCGTTAAACAACAAACAATCAATCATAAGTGAGGTGAGGTACATATCACTGTGGCACTATTTTGTACATTAGGTGGTGTGTCGGCAATATGGAGCGTGCTGTGGATTGTCTTCGCTCGCAACACCCCATCTCAGTCCCCGGGCATATCAGCAGAGGAGAGAGAATACATTGAAGATAGTCTCAGACACCGGGTGTCCATGAAAAGAGTGAGTTTAAAACAGCAAAATACAAATTAAAGCAATGTTTACTCAGTGAAGATGAGCCACAAACAATTTAATCTGCATGGGTCTTGGCGATGTCAAATGTCAAGGTCATTTTAAAGGTCATTCACTCATGATGTGGCTCTCGACTGTAAGTTTTGTCTGTCCGGTGTGGAGGGGCAAGTTTATTAAACCGGATATACATGTAACTTTGTTTTTAACAAATATATAGTTTGTCGTTTACTGCAAAATACATTTGACATTCTGTCGTGTACTTGTCATATAGTGATGTCATCAAACCGGAAGTACATACTACTTTCTTTTTAAGGTAGCAAAAAAGAAATGGACATTCTGTTATAAAGTCGCACTACATATGGCATGGTTTTCAACAAAATCGGAAGTAAATTTTACGTTCTCGTGACGCGAACTAGAGACGAGGGCGCCCTCTTTGACTTGATAGTTATATTGTATAAAGCATATGTTGTTCAAAGCGCACATGATGTAATTAGATAGAAAAAGCATCAAGCTTTGTTATTCAAATAGCAGAAATAATAATTTTTGTGACCTTGATATTGCGGTGAAGGACAGCACATGGTTTTACCTTAAGCTTTCCCAGTACAGCAGTACAGGAAGCACTATAATTCACCGTCTTTAATGTGAAAATTGGAAGGTTCATGTTGAGTACAGAGTTCTAGGAACACCAAAAGGCGATAAAATTCTTTTGCCAACGCATTTATGAATAAATATTTAGAATTGCAGTATTTGTGTTATGTAAATAAGATGAAATTGAAAAAGGGAAACCATACTTGAGTGGCGACTTTCTTCTTTACGTCGATAATCTGGGATATCTTCATCAGTTGTAGGTCTTCAGGAACCTATGATTGCCGTACAAAAGCGTCATATGAGGCGACGAACGGGATCGGATGATCAGGCCCGCTGACTTTGTTTGATGCATGTCATCGTATCCCAATTGCGTGGATCGATGCTCATCATGTCAATCACTGGATTATCTTGTCCAGACTCGATTATTTACAGTCCGGCGTCATATAGCTGGAATATTGCTATATTGCTGAGTGCGGCGTTAAACAACAAACAAACAAAACAAACATTAGTTTTTTGTTGGGTTAGTGGGGAAGGGGAAGATTGATAAATTTAGAAATTATGAGTATTATTCAATGTCATTTGTCATTAACGGTAAATAAACCACGATGAAGAGATTCTCACAGTTTACTGAGATGATATTGATGATTGCAGGTCCGCACAACACCGTGGAGGAAAATGTTCACTTCCAGACCCGTCATCGCCGTCATCACAACGCATTTTCTATCCAACTTCGTTCTCTACATGCTTCTAACACAAGCACCAACCTATTACAATGACATCTTAAAGCTAGACATCAAAGCTGTGAGTTGCAAAGTAATAGTACTGTTCTTTGTCCTTGTAGCCAGTCCTGATGGAACAGTTTTATTCCACCCTTCCTGGGTGTCACAGGAGACGACAGTGTATAGGTTTGGATTCGTGTGTTTCTATTTGTATGGGTGTAATCTTTGAACCACGGAATCACAATTGTGGTCTTTGGGTTGTAGTGAGAATGATCTCTGTTTAGAGTGCCAATTTCCCTGTTGCAATGGCTGCAAGGTTGTTTCAGTGATATTGTATACTCCCCAGGGAGTTTGAGAATTAAAATCAAGTGAACACTGTTCCACCCACGAGGTAATGATAATGCGCACTGAGCATTCACTTGAGTAAAATGGCGCATTTTAAATTAACTGTTATTAGCATCTGCTAGACGAAGTGTCAAACCCTCGACTCGTCACTATTACTTAATATATTTTTGATCAGCACGACTGATTTAACAACACACGGTAATTATTGCGAGGAAAGAAGAAATAAACGCTTTTCCATGTGACTTATATATATATCACAATCATGACATTAATTTTATGAGACAATAAGTCCTTTCTCTAACGCTTCTTCCCAGACATTGATGACATCGTTTTGTTTTCCAGAACGGGGTATATTCGATGTTGCCAGTGATATGTATGGGCGTAGTCGTGTTTGCCGGAGGACAGCTGTGCGACTTCTTCATCTCAAGGAAGATATTCAGTGTTGGAGTGACGAGGAAGATCGTAAATGCTCTAGGTCGGTCCAGAATGGCCTCAAATTTGTCACCGCTACTTGCTACACCTCAAACTGATATATTTCATTATAATTTTGGCATTTTCCACTTCTTACTTAACATTTTCATCAAGGCATCAAATTGCTAATAATCGACTTTATTTTGATAATCCTTTAATTAGCTAGAAATATATATACCTACAGATATAACCACGCTTTATTGAATCTGGAACCAAATTGGAATTCAACTTAATGTTAATGTTAGGGTAGAGCACTGAAACAAGCAGACACTTTTATGACCCATCGGGTAAGATCTAGTTTTCAGTCATCTTTGTAAGCATTTAGTTTACAACAATACAGAATAAGACTTATGAAGGAACCATGACACAAATCGTGCCATACTCGAACGAGCGATCCAATTCTGTTCGGGAACATACAGAAATGATATCAGACATTAGAGCGCCCTTACTTATTGTTGTGTTTCACTGCTCCCGCTGCCTGCTAATTTATCTCCCGATGAATGAGTTTCTTTTTTTTATTCCTGAATTATCCACAGACCTGTGTTACTTGTGAAGTCTGCGTTTGGGTAAACCTTGGTTATTAAAGTACACATAACTTACTACCGCTTTTAAAAATATCTTGACTACTAACTTCGGTGATTCTCTCAGCGATAGAGAGTTAAAGTACTTTGTACCACAAAAAGCTTCACTCCAGCTTCCCTCTATCAACTTACACAACTGGTTCACTTGCAGTAAGCCCACTTGGTAACATTTACTGTGATTCCATGTATTTGTACGCATATTATTTGTCATTTCATACTTCATGCAAATATCAGTGAAACCGTTAGCTAAGCCAAAACCTACCGGACCGTTATCACTACTAAAATATACACAAGTGCGTACTTCGACCTGCTGTCCTATTACAAGAAGGTTCAAGACATGTACATGCTGATTCATATATTTCTTGCAAAACCCACAATTTAATAAGTCTTTATTGTAGGAATGTATTGTATGATTGTTTTTAAGATTTGAAAATGCTTCACTTAGAAAAGGATAACGAGCATTTCTTTGTTGTAAAAGTTTGGTGTAAACTTAACCGAATTTCTTGGGCACACAATTATATGTCTACTATTTTGTGTAAATGTGATAATGTGATAATGTGATAACCCCCGCCGTGATATTGCAGGAATGTACTATAAGCGGCGCCAAAGCATAACTCACTCTCTCACTTGTCTTTATGTGAAGCAATGTTTCTGAATCAAATGTCGAAATGGTCAGTCCACAATGTCACTTGGGCTTAGGGTATCAGGTGAAAAATATATGTGCCCATCGGCTTCATTTTCCTTATGGGGCGGTCGGGTAGCCTAGAGGTTAAGGCGTTCGCTCGTCACGCCAAGGACCCGGGTTCGATTCCCGACATGGGTACGATGTGTGAAGCCCATTTCAGGTGTGCCCCGCCGTGATATTGCTGGAATATTGCTTAAAGCGGCATAAAACTAAATTCACTCACTCATTTTCCTTATATTTAATTGTACCATTCACTGTTACCTTAAATCTAACTGATTCACTTCCATACTCTATGTCCAGGTACACTGTTTCCCGGGATCTTTATGGTCATTCTGGCTCAGGCAAAGCAGGGTCAAGATGTGTTCGCAGTGGCGTTGATGTGTCTGACCCTCGGCTTCATGGGCTTCGGCTTCAGCTCCTACTGCATCAACTACGGTGACATCGCGTTACAGTACGCCGGCACGCTGTCAGGCATAGGCAACGCCATCAGCTCCCTACCGGGAGTGGCGGCCCCCTATATTGTGTCACAGCTCACCCCAAATGTAAGTCACATATTAATGTATCTGTAATTTATCAGGCCAGGGTACTCAGCATGCTGGGGATATGGCTGTAAAGATCTGAAATTGACAAAAATTCCTTACTCACTGGCACATTAATGGCTCGGATGGTCAGGCGGTTGTTGGCGTGGCCTAGCACACCGATGGCATGGGCTTCGCACATGATATTAATTACTGATTGTTCTGGTATACAGTCGTTTGTATACAGGCAACCGACGTATGGCTGGGTGGGACATGAGGTGGGACATAAGGCAATCAACAAACACTTACATTTTCATAATCGAAACTGATCGTTGACATCAATCCAACCCAATCACCTTGAGTGGTTTAGGGTATAAATTAAGCAAGAGAGAAATATTGAAAACATGGTCAAGGGCGTTGTTTGTGCCAGGAGAATCGTCAAAAAGCCATTTCGCTTTAACAAGGTGACCGTTTCCAACGCGTTGTTGCGTGCAGGACGAATTGGGGTCTTACAAAATGCTCTAACCTTTTCATCACACCAATTCCGGACGAGATAGACCCCGTTCTGGCAGACCAAGCATAACGACAAGACGTACGAAGCAGTACCTGGCTCCGACAACGCCCCAAAAGTGACCCGTGTGTCTCTCTCGACCGTTAGAGGCCGCTTGATTGCTCACGGATTCAGAGCAAGACGTCCAATCATGAAACAAAGCCGCAGGGTGCAGAATTGCATAGGGCAGAACAGCATGTACAGTAGGCTAGGGAAACTGAAGATGGTCACACACAGTAGTCTCTGGTGAATCCCATTTTAACCTCATGTTCAAAGACGGCTGCAGACAAGTGTCAAGGTGAACGGTTCTATAACGTTACTATGGTAAACATGATAATTGTTTTGTATTGCTGTCATATCTCCAAGGTGTTGACACCAGGCCGGGTTTTGTTACTAAATGTTTACGTCAAGTTGGTGTCAGCCGTATGGAGTGACAAAGTCTCAGTCCTGATCTCAATCCCATTGGGCATGTGAGGTGCATGCTTGCATCTGCCTCTGCAACGGTGATTGACCTTTACATGGCAAGAGGCGTGGCAAAACATCCCTAAACGTCAAATTGAATGCAAAGACGTTGCCACATCAGAGTTGGCCGATCAAATTATGTTTTACATTAATGTTCTTCGGTCTATATCGTGACGTATCGGCGTCCCCGCATGGACCCGGCTCAGCAAGAACCAATCGCAATTTTCCAGTATGTCAATGCTCGTCCCCACGAAGCACGAATCTGTTGTGAATCTGAAGCTCAGAACATGAACATACTGCCATGACCGTGAACACACGGTGACTGGAGCTCAACCCAGTTAACGTCCACGTTAATCAGGGCCACAGAATCTGCAGCAAATATGTCAAGCCCTCAGGAAGAATTGGATACTCTTCAACAAGATGTGATCCGTTGGCTCCATGGTTCCATGGGCAGTATGTGTCTTGAAGGCAATGGTGGAGCCACCGGTGCAGGACTTCACGACTGCCGTGCATGAGACAGTGACGTGACCGCCATATGCAAATACGTTAACGTTTGATGAACTCGGTTTCAATTTGTAATCTTCCAAACACACACATACACAACACATCGCATGTTTGCCTTGTAGAGTGAGTGAGTTTGGTTTGACGTCTCTTTTAGCAATATTCCAGCAACACCAAGACGGGAAACATCAGAAATGAGCTGCACACATTGTACCCATGTCGGGAAATCGAAACTCGGGTCGGCCTGACGAGCGAACGCTTTAACCATTAGGTTACCCGACCGCCCCTTGTGTCTTGTAGAAGTTACAGAATTAATCTCCTGAAAACCCTATATTTCTTTCTTCTTTGAGGGAATATGTATGTACATACAGCAAAAGCAAGTAGGGACCCATCAAGACGTAACAATTTCCGCCTCCTACATATGGCTGTTGATTAAAGGTGACATGTTTATTAATATTTACTAAGAAAAGTAAACCTTAAGTTATCATATTAGCTCTCCGCTATTCAGTTGATGCCAGGAAACATAATGGGATTTTTCATTTTCAGGGTACCCGGCAAGAATGGCAACTGGCTTTCTATGTCACTGCTGCCATAGCAGGACTATCGGCCCTTGTTTTTACCCTGTTTGGTTCCGGTGAACTGCAACCATGGGCAACGCGACAATCTGCACAGGAAGTGATATTCATCGAAAAACCGAATCAAACTAAAACAGATTCTATGCTGAAGTGTCAAAAGGACGAAGATATGCCATGAAACACATATGATAAACACATAACGAAATAATCTTGGAATCACACGGAGATGTTGGTCCAAGACGGATTACATTTTCAACTTAATGGCTGGTATCAATCACAAGCACTCTATTGACATCGGGTATCATCAAAGTCTCCCGTCCCACGTTGAATACCCACCTCTTTGATGCTGACATCTCTATGGAGTACATCTTGCGACGGACATGACACCAAAACAACCAGGACAGTCATTGTAACCAGTCGATCCTCAGATACTGGCTCTAAAGATTTTTACGAGTACCAGAGACAGACTCTGGAACAAGTGGGTATGTTTCTTGAGTTTAGCATCGGTGCCGATTAAAACAGTAATTGAGTTCAGCTCCCACTGACTTACATGTTGCAGTCCATTGCAACCATTTTTACGAGTACCAGAGACAGACTCTGAAACAGTCTGTAGCAGACTCTGTAGCAGTCCATTGCAACCATTTTTACGAGTACCAGAGACAGACTCTGAAACAAGTGGGTATGTTTCTTGAGTTTATCATCGGTGCCGATTAAAACAGTAATTGAGTTCAGCTCCCACTGACCTACATGTTGCAGTCCATTGCAACCGACAAACACAGTATGAAGCTGAAGGATCATGGGCTATCAGTGCGGTTCTTAAATAGTTTTATATTTTCGGTTGTCCAAAAATGACCTGGAATTGATGAAACAATTTGCATAGCTAGTAACGATGGATACATTCCAAGCTGAAGTTATGGTACCGTGTTATGTTGGTGGCTTCCACTATGCTAACAGCAGCAGTAACATTCATCTTAACATCTGTCTTCCACATTGGTCGCTGATGAAGATCAGCTGGCTGTAGCCTACCTGTCATTACATAACCATTCATTTATACAGTGCATTCTGTTTTGTTGAGTGAAAGGTAGTGTAATATTCCAAGTTTGTACAGCTTAATAAGTTAACCTTATACAATGTTATGTGATATAGATAAAGGATGTTTGTTCGTCTAATTTTGTGTACATAAATAGCCACTTCAGGTAATATAGGAGGGAGAACATCTGCTTCCAATGTACAAATATGTATCTTAATACCTCAGGAAGAGAACCTACTCATCAACTAACCTCTCAAAACTGTTGGCCTCTTATCAATCATAATAGTCTTGGCTTTGTTATCCTTTGCTCTACATTATCATTGTTATTGTTTGTTATTGTGTATATATACTCCTACCTCAGCTCTGTAAATCATTAACCGATGAAAGAGCAAAAACATTCTCCGAAACGTTGTTTGCCTATCCACAATAAAGAAAAAAAAATGACATTCCTGTATGTAGACTGTGTTCCTAAATGTATACCATATCTTTGTGCATATCGAAGATCGATGTTCCTTTATAATATTGTTTTGGGGTAGACATTGCATCCCTACATCGCGGTACGTTTCGTAATTAGTTGTGTCTTATGTTCATATTTACTGTTATTTGAATAATTATATTCGTATCAATGTCATGGAACAGAGATAGACATGCAAAAGTCGCAGACGCGTAATTAAGCTCAAATGTACAAAACCGTCAAATTGTAATTACACACACGAATCATAGTCACGATGTTGACAATGTAACAGATGTTCTATTTGGAATAACATTTCTTTTTGGATTGAGTCAGAGTGAGGCACCGAATCGCCAGAAAACAAAGTCAGCGATCTAACCCACTAGTTGTTGTTGTTTGTTGTTTAATGCCGCACTCTGGACCCGACAATCCACTGATTGACATCATGAGCATCGATCCATGCAAATAAGATACGATGACATGCATACAGATGATACACGAAAGGGGAGATAAGAACATATTGGAAAGGACTATACGCTTGTTGTCAGAACAGGTACAGGACACTTCTACTTATCATTCACTACCACATGGAATATATTTATAAACATTCTTTTGACATTTTATTAATATTTTCTCAATTCAATAAAGCTGAAATTACTAAATATTATTACTTCTTTGGAGAATGAGCCCTGTTCATAACATCTAATACACTTAATAGTATTTGATCAGAACTGGGGGTATTTATTGGCATAATTGTGTCATCACATTGTTAATAATTTATATCCACACCGGTGACATTAAAACCAAAATTAAACATAAAGTTTGTATACGTTATTACAAGATGTAAGATTATTAGTAAGTTGAGGCATGGTCATAAAGTTGTTTCATCACATAGTCAGCGATTTACAGCTATGACCAGACTATACAAATACAATCCAAAGCTTGGGGTACAATGCCTGACAAATGACCTCCTGGTCCGGAAGTTTGTCAGATCGTAAGAATGGTTTGCTTTGGAGCCATTTAGCCACAGCATCTACAAGTTCGCTGTGAGTGAGTGAGTGGGTTTGGTTTAACGCCGCTTTTAACAGTATTACAGTAATATCACGGCGTGTCAGCTTAATGTGGGAGGAAAGCCCGAAGTGATGCAGGTTTCAGACGTTTACCACTTCGGCGAAACCCACGAGCACGGATATGGTGCTGACAAACCTAGACACATAGTCGGGGCGAACTGGGATTCGAACCCACAATCATAGGTTTCTGGCGTGCCCAAGGGACGCAACCCTGCACATCGAATCGCGGTGTCTTAGACGACTAGGCCACCCGTACTCCCAGTTCGCTGTGCACCCTCTGAAACTGCAGCAGGCTAAATCAAGCTATATCATTACTGAGGCAGCAAGTTCAATGGGTAACATCTCACCGATCTGAAATTGAGTTTATGGACATCGTTGAAGTATGTTGGCATCTGCATGAGCAGCATATACAGACCGTAGTTGGTCAGGAAGTTGTTGGCCATGTTTGCATACACGGGACGGGACGTGAACATACTTCGCCATGGAACACTGTGTACCTGCATGAATACATAGTATATATGTAGGCCCGATGATCATCATGGAATAATATAGTTCTTATCTTTCAAATTGCGATAGGGAAATTCATGATGTGTACAATCCGTTATTGTTTTAAATGGGATGATAAACATACTGGTATACAATTTATAGCGTTGGTTAACTTTGGATATTAGTCATACACCTTTTGAATAAAGGCAACATTCCTATGACGCTAATGAGACTATATCATTCACTAATCTCATTTAATCCTAACACCTGAACGGTGCTTGATACCGATCAGTATATGAGAAGTACTAAATAAATGTACTTTTTCAAACTTGTATTGGTAGAGTGAGTGTGTGAATGAGTCATGTAGTGGATGTGTAATATGTTGGCTGGTTGTTGTTTAACGCCGCACTCAGCAATATTCCAGTTCTATGACGGCGGTCTGCAAATAATCGAGTCTGGACCAGACAATCCAGTGATTGACAACATGGGCTTCGTTCCACGCAATAGGGATACAATGACATGCATCAACCAAGTCAGCGAGCCTGACCACACGATCCCGTTAGTCGCCTCTTACGACAAGCATATCCCCTTTCACGGCAAGCATGGATTGCTGAAGACCTATTCTACCCCGGATCTTCACGGGTGCTTTCCCACTCAGCCACCGAGGTTGCAACAAAAAGGCCCGCACTCAGCCACCAAGACTTCAACAAAAAGGCCCGCACTCAGCCACCGAGCCACTTGATGAAAAAATGAATTCTTTGATTTTTGAGATAAACATACTGTATTTCAATGTAGAGCTAGGTTACCTGTAGATTTAACCGCGCTAAATTTGGGGATAAGACATTTAGGCAAGAAGTAGGCATCCCCATGGGCACCAATTGTGCTGCCTCCTTACTGACCTATTTCTTTATGCACATGGATATGAAATCTTTTCTTAAGTTGATGGCAAAGTTTTGATACCTATATTTAATACAGGGAAGAAGGGCACCGAGCATCGAATGACGTTACTCGGCCCTTTAACGAACTCGGCAAGATAGTGACAATGACATTCAAAGCGGAGTTAAGTCCCAGTATGTTTGTGTGTGTTTACCTTATAAGTGGAAAGCGTTCGTGTGAAAGAAATTAATGTGGTTTGGCGGAGTTTTCAGCGAACAGTGCATTTATAGGTGTAGGATTAAAAGTTGCCAAATTTGCTTTGTCCCTAAATTCTCTTACGCTAAGTAAAACTGCAGTCAACATTTGGTCCTCTCAGGTTTTCAAGCAAGTCTTGCATTTTCAATTAATTTGAAACCGATAGAAGATAGCACTCTACATTGAAACATAATGTAACAGTTAGACCGCCACACTCGAACAACGTCCAAACATTGTATTTTAGATCTCACACAATTTGCGACAGAAAATTAACGATATCTTAAGTTGTTGTTTTTTTAATGATCTCGAACTTTTGCTTAATAATTATCAATCACACAAAAATAAATTGACAAAATATCTTATTTGGTTTGGTTCTGACCACCCTAATACTTTAATCAATCATTTATTTTTATTGGGGAAAAGGAATATTAATGTATGTGGAATAAAAGGAATCACTCCGAAAATAGATATACTTTTAAAACTACTTAAAACATTATATTCAATCGAGAAATTTATTGCTGTAAAAAGGATCATAAAAATAACTTAAACAAAAAATGGTCGCTTTTATTCTCAGCGTTTGATTCTTTGTTCTCTGCTCAAACGGGCCATGTTTGTTTAGTCTGATTGTGTGTTACAATCTTTTTGGTTTGAAATATGACAATGTTTGTTTCCAAACCTTTATTTTTTTTAAAGAGTGTATTGGTCATTCCATGCAATCCGAAATATGTTTTTGACGGAACACTGTATTACTCCACGGCTCTGGGAACAACAAAAGATTTTTTTTTTTAAAAACAACATAAAAAACATAAGTGATCATGAATGATAGATGACGTTATTCTGTTGCTTCAACTGACCAACCAGCTGTGAAAGTCCACAGGATGCAACTATCTCAACGATACTGTGACGATATGTACTGTAGCTCACAGGAGCAATTTCATTGTGAAACAATGCCTTGATATCATACAACTCATTTCTGTTGTTAAGACCCGTGACGATCCGGGGTGGAATAGGTCAACCCATGCTTGCCGTAAGAGGCGACTATGCTTGTTGTAAGAGGCCACTAACGGGATCGGGTGGCAAGACTCGCTGACTTGGTTGATACATGTCATCGTATCTCAATTGCGAGGATCGATGCTCACTTACTTGACTTTACTTGCCGCATTCGGGTGCTTCCATATTACGATTAATGTAGTAAAGTGGGAAACTTACCATACCAGTACTTTTATCAATAGCTAGGCAGTGCATAGATATTTTGGATTTGTTGACTTTAGATACTGTTGGATAGACAATCAACTCGAGTTGCATTTGGTACAACTTTCAGCCGCTTGCAAGCGCAACGATCGCTGGCTGATGTCGCTTCGTTCTCAAACCAAAATGGCGGCTGAGTTTGACAGCGGAACAGGAAATTTTTGTTAAAAAATCTGTGGTAAAACAGAGGGCTCGGATGACACAGCCGTCTGAACCGCAGCAATCGAGGGCAAGTGAGGCGTCCCTTATAAAAGCCATATTGCATTATGAAGGTTGTCAATATGTTCCATTAAGTATGCAAATTAATCGCCTTTACTTTCGATCAAATAACGTATGCTGTATTTTATTCGGAATAGTAATTAGCAGTTTTCAACGCTCTGCTAAGCATCACAGGCGTGTTATCAATGTAAGTTCGTTTCTGATCTGATAATAAACTGAATTTGAATATAAACTACTGTATTAATTATGTGTTGAGCTTATGAATAAAATATAATGTCGCAATGTATTAAATACGAAATATTTCGAACACCTTCTCGCCTGCATGTCAGGCTGACCACGACCGTGGTCAAGTGGATAGATCGTCTGCCCGGAGAGCAGAATTTCGGATCGTGCTTCTACCTGTGAAGATCCGGGGTAGAATAGGTGTTCAGCAACCCATGCTTGCCGTAAAAGGCGACTATGCTTGTTGTAAGAGGCGACTAACGGGATCGGGTGGTCAGGCTCGCTGACTTGGTTGATGCATGTCATCGTATCCCAATTGCGTGGATCGATGCTCATGATGTCAATCACTGGATTGTCTGGTCCAGATTCGATGATTTACAGACCGCCGTCATATAGCTGGAATATTGCTGAGTGCGGCGTTAAACAGCAAACCAGCCAACGGTGTGAAGCAGGACTGAAGCCCTGAAGACTCCCAGGACTTGGACTGTTGGCCAAACACGGTCACCCGTCCGACCATATCTGAATTGTGTGTGTTTGTTTGTTGCTTAACGCCGGAGCGAGATGGCCATGATGCGTAATTAAGCTGACATGTACAAATACGTAGATTTGTAATTGCACATACGAATCATTGCCACATAACAATGGTGACAATGTAACAGATTTTCTATTTGGGAATTTTTTGGTAAATTACAAATCCTAGTACCTTTTGGGGCTGAGTCAGAGTGAGGCACCTGATCGCCAGCACACAAAGTCAGTGACCTAACCACCTCGTTACGATGACTTACATCAACTAAATCAGCAAGCCAAACCAACCAATCCCATTAGTCTCCTCTTACAACAGGCATGGATGTTTGGTTTGGTTTGCTGTTTAACGCAGCACTCAGCAATATTCCAGCTATATGACGGCGGTCTTTAAATAATCGAGTCTGGACCAGACAATCCAGTGATTGACCTCATGAGCATCGATCCACTCAATTGGGATCGATGACATGCTTCAACCAAGTCAGCGAGCCTGACCTCCCGATCCCGTTAAGCGCCTCTTACGACAAGCATAGTCGCCTTTCACGGCAAGCATGGGTTCTTCACGGGTCTACAGCAGGCATGGGTTGCTGAAGCCCAAACCTTTCCCGTCTCTGCATTAGGGTCATCGTATACTCCAGTATATATTTATTTTTATGTCGGATAAGCAATAATCATTGGATTGAATGATAATCTTTATACGTGAGTTGTTCCATAACTGTCCATTACCATACGTAGGCGATGCTGTTGTAGTGGTATAAGTAGATAAGGTAATGCTGCGTGCGTTACCGAGTCCTAGCCAGGAATAGGCCAACGATTACCTATCACTGAGTCTGATACAGTTTGGGTGAGAGAATATGTGGTCGCTCACTATGAGCCAACAATGACTGCGAAGTGCAATACCATTCACCTCACGTGGTTTCCTACGTTGACTGAATAACGATTTAATTTTCTGATGCTTAAGATATCAAGCTGTTTCATACTGGTTAGTACGCTGTTCCACAACGCCACAATGGCTGGATGACGCATCTGACGAAACAGCTGAAGACGGCAAAGGGGACAGAGATGCCTCACGCGGAATTCATTCAAAAACCAAATAGTAAGTACTGCAGCGTCAGTTCTGTATTGAGTGGTCTGGATCTCCCACCACATCACTACAGCTTTCATCTCACGTCAAAACACACTGTTTCCCTATCGATTGCAAGCATGATGTCGCTTTTCCCAATCTAACCATGTGGGTATACAGGTTCTGTGAGCACATCTCGCCATAATGTGTAGAATGAAATATTCTTTCATTGATTGACTTTGCGGTCAGCTTGACTTTGCTGTCAGCTAGACTTTGATGTCAGCTTGACCTCGTTCAGCAGTTACTGTGGTTCGGAATTAGATGGATGCTTGTAAACGATTATGATATCTCATGTCAGGAATTTCTACATTATCATAACACTTGCAAATTTCTCCATGCACAAGAGGGCCGCCTTCGTGGTCTAGTGGTAGAGCGTCCGTCCGGAGAGCGCAAGGTTCGGGGTTCGATCCCCGACCGCGTCATGCCAAATCTACATCGGAATACTCCTCGCATGTCATTATCAAATTTCCTATTCTATTCATGATCACACATCCAGCCCATAATATTATGCGGATCAGCAGCTTATGGTATATTACTTTTAAATGTACGTCGGAGTGCTTGATTTGTGGCAGATGATAAACATTTACCCAGGACTATGAGAACTTAGTAGAATATTGTTAAAGAGTGTTTAGCGCTACCCCTGGGCAACTGGTTCCAAGGCATTGTCGCCTTTTACGGCAAGCATGGGTTGCTGAAGAACTATTCTAACCCGGGTCTTCACGAGTCTTGTACTGTTTGGAGTTTCTATTCAAACATATTGGCGATATGAGATTATACTTCATTATTTATACTAAGCTCTAAGGATATTTTGAAACGTTCACGCTACACAAAATGTCATTCAAGCAGGATCATAATTGTTGGCCTTACTGTAGAAGGGTTGTTTTTTTCCAAGACGGTGCATAAAGGAGTGCATAAAAGTACCCAAACATCCCCTTAGAATTTGTACCTGGTGTGAAAGCCTTGTTTTATTCCAGTTAAGTATCCACTTGTCACGTATTGGTCCGTAGAAAATAAGTTCACTACAGTGTTGGGTTGCCTGCATTTATGTCCGTGATAAAATTGTTAAATAAATTAATTATACATACACAGTGTCTGTATGTAAACTGTATGCTTCATCTGCAGCATTGTACATACACTGTATCTTCCTGTATGGTATTCTTCCATCGTTTATGTCAGTATTTTCCAATATTATATCAAGTTCAACATAGCAATATATCAATTCATTCCATAGTTCTAAGAAATTTCTGCTAAAAGCAGAGTCCATGGTACGATTCAAACTATACCATAAAGGCGAGCGTATCCTGCCCCACCGGGGACACACAAACGTCCTGTATTACAAACACCCGTCATAAACACATGCAAATGTAGTAATGGTGTCCCAATAAAATATATAAAATTAGATGCTTGAAAAAGCATTGGCTTTGGTGTTACTTAGAGTTCAAATTAAATAGCAAACAAAATTACACTTATTGATCTTACTGGTATTATTTATTGACAGTTGCATCCATCAGAACGTTTGGTATCTTCAAACACCCAGAAGTCAATGTTTTATGTGTCTTAATATTCCAATGGTATCTCCAGTCAATAAATATAACAAATGAAAACGACTCCACCACTCACAATTGAAAGTATATGTTCCTGGTCTCACCATTAGGCGCTCACTTATCTGTTCTGTTAGTTTCAGCATGGCACACAAAGCGCTACCAGCTGGCTCTCCTGTACAGTCTTGGGTTCGCTGTTCAGGGTATGCTCATGTACAACCTGAGCATATCTATAGTGTGCATGGTGAATCCCCAACACATCTCCCACAATGCTGGAGCCAACAACGTTAATGTTAGCACCGAGATGACAAGAATTGGCACCATGCCGCTAGAATGCAGCGATGCACACAACTTGACGACCTCGAGATCCTGTGGACAGGTGAGGGTGAATTCTATCAAACTGCCCGCCTGCCTACTTGATGACTACCTACCTTCCTACCGAAAATGTATTTATCTATCTATTCTTCTATCTGTCCATCTATCCGTCTACCCATCTACCTACCTACCAACACGCCTCTCAATCTATGTGGGGGCACGGGTGCCCAGTTGTCTAAGGCGCCGCGATTCGCTGTGCAGAGTTGCGTCACTTGGGCACGCCGGAAACCTATGATTGTGGGTTCGAATCCCGTTTCGCCCCGATTATGTTTCTAGGTTTGTCAGCACCGTGGTAAACGTCTAATACCTGCATCACTTGGGGCTTTCCTCACACATTAAGCTGACACGCCATGATATAACTGGAATACTGTTAAAAGCGGCGTTAAACCGAACTCACTCACTCACTCACTCAATCTATCTATTGTGACCAATACGCAATATGGTAGTACTTACAGAAACTTTTCTATCAGTTCTATTCCTCCATCTCTCTATCTATCCATCTATAAATTTATCTATCTATATGGCTACCTACATACCTACCCTGACCGTCCACAATTGACCAGTGAAAGTCCGGGTAGAGAATAGGTCTCCAGCAACCCATGCTTGCCGACTACACATATGTAGGCGACTACACATATGTATGCTTGTCGTAAAAGGCGACTAACGGATACCGGGTGGTCAGACTTGCTGACTTGGTTGATGCATGTCATCGTATCCCAATTGCGTGGATCGATGCTCATCATGTCAATCACTGGATTGTCTGGTCCAGACTCGATTATTTACAGACCGCCGTCATATAGCTGGAATATTGCTGATTGCGGCGTTAAACAGCAAACAACACACAAAACAAAACAAACCTACCTGCCTACATGTACGTATCTACATACCTATCTATCTATACTCTTTCATCTATTGTGGCAAATGCGCAGTATGGCCGTACTTACAATTCCATCATGCGAATGCCGTCCAGGTTGAATGAATGTGAATATTTTCATATTTATTAGCCTATATGTAAGAGTTTAGGAGGCTTCTTAACCTTTTCTGGCTCGAAGCATTGCATCTTTGGTTGGACAGAAAATTGCAGTGAAGGGGAACATTGGTTCAATGCGCCAATGCGTGGGACCTGTTGCGGCAAAGGGAAGTGTAGACAGTTATCAGCATTGTCTTTTAGAATTGCTTATTTATGCCGCAAGCATAACGTGGATATATACTGAGTCAAATTAAAAACTTCACATTTCTAAAAGTAATCCCATATATGATATACAACGGACAAATGTATCAGAGAAGGTATTTTTTAATCATTAATGTCAAAAGAAGGATTTTAATTAACGGTGGTAACCATAATTTGTTCCAAGCACCTACGGTATTCGGTAATAACCTCAACAGTTTAAATCATAAGTCCCAAGCACGAGAATCTGATGGCACACAAGTTCAGTAGCGTGTATGGCCACCATGTGCGTTGACAGCTGCCACACAACGCCTCCGCATGGACCTTGTGATGCTTGTGAACACATGATTGGGAAGACGACGCCATTGTTGCTGCAAAATGGTGCCAAGATCTTGCACATTCTGTGGTTGGTTCTGGAGAGTGCGCAGACTTTTGCCAAGAGCATCCCAGACGTGTACGATGGGATTGAGGTCGGGATACCTTGACGGCCAGTCCATGACGTTGACTCCCGCATTCTGAAGGAAATTCCTTGTCAAAATTCCTGTGTGGGGTCTGGCATTGTCGTGTTGGAAGATCAAACCGGGTTCATGTGCTGCCATAAAAGGCAGAAGTTCTGGTGCCAGTACCTGGTCGCTGTAAGCAGCAGCGTTGAGGTTGCCACGGATGACAAGAAGCCTGGAACGTGCATTGTCACAGAAAGCACACCACAACATGACACTTCCGCACAATTGACGTTGACGTCTGTGTAATTGAGTCAGAATCGGCCCGCAGTATGGCCGTTGTGCTTGAAGGTGAGCAGTTCTCAGACGGTTTCGAACAGTTTGCGCACTCAGTCTACCCCTAAACAGTTCATTTCTGGTTGATGTAGCCTTCAAAAATCGGTTACGGAGGTGACGTAAGACAATCTTACGATCCTCTGCATGTGACATCACACGTGGTCGACCTGGCCGAGGGCGATCAGCGGTGGTACCCGTTTGCAGTAGACGCGTCTGTAAATCATAAACAGTCCGTCGACTACAACCCATCGTTCTTGCGACTTCAGCTACGGACGTTCCCGTCTGCAACATGCCAATGGCACGTTCACGTTGCACATTTGAAAGGCGTGGCATGACAAATGGCCGTAAAGACTTTTGTTTTCTTGTGTTTTTCTTTTTTTTGTTAATGACTGCCAACAAGTATGGCTGAAAACACGTGCGGTATTATGGCCACGTGACCAGTTGCACGTGAAAAACCACTTTTGCCACTATAGTGCTGTGCACATGATTTTGATCGATTCACCTGCACAAAAACGGGTCTTATCTGAAGATAATACGTGGCCATTACTGTTTAAATACACAATAAGGATTGTGAAGTTTTTAATTTGGTTCAGTATATTTGAGCCGGCGAACTGTCAGAATCCGTGAATCCTCAACCTGGGAACTGTGGAGCAAGTCATGCTAGGTAAACGTTACTATCTGGCCTTGAGGTTGTATGGTTCATGGGTTATGTGCATATGAAATGGGTCTCGGTTGTTGGCTGCTGAGCATTGGACAGGAATGCTATCACAACAAGTAATACTGATATGTTGTATATGCGCTTCATAATTATTGGTTGATGTATGTAAAATGTTTTACCTATTTACACGAAGCCCTCTATGCATGAGCCGTTGGCTGGGGTGACCTTGAGAAGTCTGGTAATACAAGAAGTGATAATTATATGTTTTTTTATGATGATGTTTGGATAAGATTTTATCTATAATATTTATATGAAATAAATATTGACTGTTGAACATCAAAGTTATATTGGCTGTTGAGCCATGGAGAAATATTTTCTTCAGTTATGGGCTATTATGGCGTGTATGAACTACACATGACGGTAGACCTCTACAAATAGCGACATCACACAAACTAATTCTGTATACTGAATGACAGAGCTGTACTCTTGTATAGTAAGAACCAGATTGAAAGGGGGTTGCTTTAAAATGTCAAGCGTGTCGGATCCATGTTAATCGATGTTAAAAGCTTTAACAGTAGACTTTTAAACATACGTTACAGTTGTTGATGTTAATCAAAATGGAGCTTTCTCTCCTCTTTTGTTTCACGTCCTTAGTAGTTTGCATCTTTACGTAGCAGCGATGTAGATACTGTAAATCGTGAAATTAATGCGTCTCCAAAGAATGCGACCGTTGGCCCCTAGCCAAAAATGCGACTCAATATGAATGCGACACCCCCCTCCTCTCAAGTATCAGTGGATTTATATCTAATGAAAATACAAGAGAATCCTGTATATAGATATAATTATGTATAATTCCACTGGGGACGGGGTGCGGGGAGTCACATTGATATTAAGTCGCATTTTTTGCAAGGGGTCAACAGTCGTATTAATTTGGAGACGCGTTAATTTCCACATTCGAGAAGAAATTTATTCGGCTGCTATTTAGTTTAGTCCCCAAGGTCATGCTATTCACTTGTTAATAGCTTATATAGTTTACTTTTGCTTAATAACAATATTAATATTATATTGTTTTCAATTATTAACAAGCACAGAGGTATGCAACTGACAGCTGCTCATATCCAGTAAAGCAGAGAATTATTACATTGTATATTTTGTTCCAGGACAGGAACAGTTTCATATTGAATGTTAGCAGTGGACCATGTCCATGGTTGATTCTGATAGATTATTAATGTGCTAAAAACAATCTACATTTATATTGTATAAACTTCATTTCATGCTGGCAATGCCACCAACATTGTTATACCAGAGGCCTATATAAAATATATATTCCTACCAAGACACACTGGTTAAATAGTTTGAAGGCCTTTTATCTGCCTCTGCCACGTTACTGACAGAAATAACCAAAGACCTCACAACCCTTCTCGTCTCAAGCAAGGCATTCCTCAGAAGTGTGAGTTTGTGAAGAGTTTTATCTTCCAAAAGGGTGAGTTAATGGGTTGTCAGCTTGCCCAGATTGGTGAGTTAATGAATTCTTATATTACCCAGAAGGGTGAGTTAATGATTTGTTAGCTTTCCGTAGAAGGTGAGTCAATGGATTGTTATCTTCCCTAGAAGGGGGAGTCAATGGATTGTTATCTTCCCCAGATGGAAGGGTTAATGAATTGTGATCTTCCCCAGATGGGCGAGTTAATGAATTGTTATATTTCCCAGAAGGGTGAGTTAATGAATTGTTATCTTCCCTAGAAGGGGGAGTCAATGGATTGTTATCTTCCCCAGATGGGAGAGTTAATGAATCGTTGGCTTCTCTAGAAGGGGGAGTCACTGGATTGTTATCTTTTCTAGAAGGGTGAGTCAATGGATTGTTATCTTTTCTAGAAGGGTGGGTCAATGGATTGTTATCTGTACTGGAAGGGGGAGTGAATGGATTGTTATCTTCCCTAGAAGGGTGAGTAACTGGATTGTTATCTTCTCTAGAAGGGTGAGTAACTGGATTGTTATCTTCACTTGAAGGGGCAGTTAATGGATTGTTAACTTCTCTAGAAGGGTGAGTAACTGGATTGTTATCTTCACTGGAAGGGGGAGTTAATGGATTGTTATCTTCTCTAGAAGGGTGAGTAACTGGATTGTTATCTTCCCTAGAAGGGTGAGTCCATGGATTGTTATCTTCCCTAGAAGGGTGAGTCAATGGATTGTTATCTGTACTGGAAGGGGGAGTGAATGGATTGTTATCTTCACTGGAAGGGAGAGTTAATGGATTGTTATCTTCTCTAGAAGGGTGAGTAACTGGATTGTTATCTTCACTCGAAGGGGGAGTGAATGGATTGTTATCTTCTCTAGAAGGGTGAGTAACTGGATTGTTATCTTCACTGATAGGGGGAGTGAATGGATTGTTATCTTCCCTAGAAGGGGGAGTTAATGGATTGTTATCTTCTCTAGAAGGGCGAGTAACTGGATTGTTATCTTCACTGGAAGGGGGAGTCAATGGATTGTTATCTTCAATGGAAGGGTGAGTTAATGGATTGTTATCACCCCTAAAAGGGGGAGTTAATGAATTGTTATCTTCTCCAGAAGGGTGAGTCAATGGATTGTGATCTTCACTGGAAGGGGGAGTTAATGGATTGTTATCTTCCCTAAAAGGGGGAGTTAATGAATTGTTATCTTCTCCAGAAGGGTGAGTCAATGGATTGTTATCTTCACTGGAAGGGGGAGTTAATTGATTGTTATCTTCCCTAAAAGGGGGAGTTAATGGTTTTTAGCTTCTCCAGATGGGAGAGTTAATGAATTGTTAGCTTCCCCCGATTGGTCACTTAATGAATTGTTATATTCCCCAGAACGGTGAGTTAATGGATTGTTATGTTCCTATTTTAGTTAGTTAATGAGTTGTTATCTTTCCCAGAAGGGTGAATTCACGTGGTCCAAACAACTCCAAGGTCTTCTTCTCGGAGCCATGTTCTGGGGCTACATGGTAGGCCAACTATTCGCTGGTGTTTTGAGCCAGAGATTCGGTGCCCGCATGGTGATGGGGCTGGGGGTAGGAGCATCTGCTGTCCTCACTCTCTTCAGTCCTGTGGCTGCAAGGACAAACCCTTACCTCTTCCTGGCTATGAGGCTTCTGTTTGGTATATGTCTGGTGAGTAGCCATCGAGACAGATTGTTCTATAAGAAGGTGTTTCTTACGCATCGTACTCAACGTGGTGAAAGCAGCTGATGGCTATGGCACTCGGCATTTTCTATTTGCATAAAAAGGAAATGTAGTTTTGTGAAAATAAACACCCTGAGGCAGGATAGAGTTCAAATTTCACAAAAAACATTAATGGGGGGCCCATTGTCCCTAATTTCACCATTTTTGATTTTTAGTGTCTTTTGTTAGGAAGACGACATCAACCAAAGAATACATGATTGAGTTCTAATGAACAAAACGTGGTTTGATAATGACAATTGCTCTTTACTGATAAAGATGATGCGTTTCTATGTTTCAAGTCTGTTTTCTTACGTGTCCCTTAAACAATACAATAAGGCAAACTATGTATTATTTCGTAAAATGCTACGATTTAAATTCAATTCTAAATGGTAATTCACATTTAATGTCTGTAACAAATCTTGAAATTTTGAAATCAGTGCACAGTTTTATTCTATCTTCCTGCAGATTTAGAGATTTTGTCTGAGATGTTGGCTTTGTTATATGATACTGCTATGTTGGGGTGCTGGATGTAAACAATAACGTAATTGCAGTTACGAAAGATAATCCAGTAATTAAACACTTACAGAACAATACCAATATCTTTCATGTCAATTATACAACGTGTCCTATTTCCCATGTCACTTTCAATACGTACATTGTAATTTGTACGTGTATCATGTTTGGGAGATAAGCAAACTTTGCTTGTTTGCCAATCCCTCCACTTTATGGAAATAAATATGTTTATATCAAGTCTGTTTTCAGGCAGTGATATTTCCAAGCATGGCAACTTTCTGGGCCAAGTGGGCACCACCAAATGAATACAGCAGAATCGTATCTGTTTGCATAGCAGGTGATCATACTACTATTAATAATTTTCATACGTCATACATAGAAATTAATCTGAACTGTTCTCGCTCATCGAGGTATTACTAGCTGACATGTGATGTATCCGTGTCATCAGTTGACGAAATGTCTTGTGACATTTTGAAATGATTACATATTTTACATTAGATCAGTTACATTAGTTTTTTTCAATTTTTCACCCGACGTAGTGAAATTTGTTGTGAGGAAGAGCAATTACATATACTATGTTTTACCACCAAGAGAGTACCATACCTCCATAGTTGGGGTCTGAAGGATCTAAGGGATTAGTCAGTGGTCAACATGTTCTCAAATCAGAATCACGTAAGAAACCTGTTATCACATGTGCGTGGCATCAATACCAACCACAATAGGCCCGCTGATCCCGAGATAACATCGAGTGTTTAGTTAACAGGAATGTCGACGTATCGAATGTAGGTTGTATGCAGTGTTCACCTCCGATGTTACAGGGAGCACTGTAGGCAATGCTGTTGTTTACCCTATCGGTGGACTTCTCTGCGGGGATGGCGTCAGTCTTGGTTGGCCTTTCATATTCTACACAACAGGTGAACCACTTGCATACTGAACACTATTGTTCATTGTTTAATAGTCAACAGAGGTTAATTGGATTTTAAAGCTCATGTATACATGTTGTTTGTCTGTTCCATTAACGCCGCACTCAGCAATGTTCCAGCTTTATGGCGGGGGAATCACACACACACATATACGCACACGCACACACCCCCATCATCCATCCATCCACCCATCCATGCATACATACACACATACATACATACATACATATATACATACATGATGGTAACTGATTAGTGAAATCCACGAGCATGTACACAGTGCAAACAGAGGAATGATCATTATCGGAGTAAATCGGGATTCTAAACCACGACATTTAAATGTCTTGTTTGTACATGAATGCGGCTCAAGCATTTAATCGTTTCAATTTCAGACCCTGTATTTAAATTATTTTGGAGTGTACATGGACGTTTCATGATGTTCATCGTGAACAGACAATGCAGGTAATAATAAACTGTTTCATTTCTTAGGTGGCATAGCGGCACTATGGACTCTGCTGTGGGTTCTACTTGCCCGGAACCAACCGTCCCAAGCAGCGGGGATATCAGCAGAGGAGAAAGCATATATTGAAGCTTGTCTCCGACACAGAGTGCAATTGAGCAGAGTGGGTCATGCAAGTTAGCGTACACTTACATTGTTACAAGTAACATCATATATATATATATGTGTGTGTGTGTGTGTGTGTGTGTGTGTGTGTGTGTGTGTGTGTGTGTGTGTATATATATATATATGTTTGCACTACGTCTACAGATTCAGGGGCAGTGTAGTAGCCCAGTCGTTAGAGTGGTAGCCTGTATTTACCTTTTGTATTTGGCTGGAACATTGTTAACACCGGCTTGAATCTCATTCCCTCATGCACCCCTTCACTCACTCACCCATTTACAAACTCATTGACTCATCACCCAGTTATATATTTACACTACCCGTGAAGATCCGAGGTAGAATAGGTCTTCATCAACCCATGCTTGCCGTAAAAGGTGACTGCTTGTCGTAAGAGGCGACTAATGGGATCGGGTGGTCAGGCTCGCTGACTTGGTTGATGCATGCCATCGATCCCAATTGCGTGGATCGATGCTCATGTTGTCAAACACTTGATTGTCTGGTCCAGACCCGATTATTTACAGACCGCCGTCATAGAACTGGAATATTGATGAGTGCGGCGTTAAACAACAACTAACCAACATATTACGCATCCACTACATGACTCATTCACACACTCACTCTACAAATACAAGTTTGAAAAGGTGCATTTATTTAGTAATTCTCATATACTGATCGGTATCAAGCACCGTTCAGGTGTTAGGATTAAATGAGATTAGTGAATGATATAGTCTCATTAGCGTCATAGGAATGTTGCCTTTATTCAAAAGGTGTATGACTAATATTAAAAGTTAACCAACGCTATAAATTGTATACCAGTATGTTTATCATCCCATTTAAAACAATAACGGATTGTACATATCATGAATTTCCCTATCGCAATTTTAATGATAAGAACTATATTATTCCATGATGATCATCGGGCCTACATACATTCTATGTATTCATGCAGGTAAACAGTGTTCCATGGCGAAGTATGTTCACGTCCCGTCCCGTGTATGCAAACATGGCCAACAACTTCCTGACCAACTACGGTCTGTATATGCTGCTCACGCAGATGCCAACATACTTCAACGATGTCCATAAACTCAATTTCAGATCGGTGAGATGTTACCCATTGAACTTGCTGCCTCAGTAATGATATAGCTTGATTTAGCCTGCTGCAGTTTCAGAGGGTGCACAGCGAACTGGGAGAATGGGTTGCCCAGTCGTCTAAGACGCCGCGATTCGTTGTGCAGGGTTGCGTCCCTTGGGCACGCCAGAAACCTGATTGTTGGTTCGAATCCAGGTTCGCCCCGACTATGTTTCTAGGTTTGTCAGCACCATATCCGTGCTCGTGGGTCTCATCGAAGTGGTAAACGTCTGAGACCTGCATCACTTCGGGCTTTCCTCCCACATTAAGCTGACACGCCGCGATAATACTTTAATACTGTTAAAAGCGGCGTTAAACTAAACCCACTCACTCACTCACAGCGAACTTGTAGATGCTGTGGCTAAATGGGTCCAAAGCAAACCATTCTTACGATCAGACAAACTTCCGGACCAGGAGATCATTGGTGTGGCATTGTACCCCAAGCTTTGGATTGTATTTGTATAGTCTGGGCATAGCTGTAAATCGCTGACTATGTGATGAAACAACTTTATGACCATGCCTCAACTTACTGATAATCTTACATCTTGTAATAGCGTATACAAACTTTATGTTTAATTTTGGTTTTATAATTAATGTCAGCAATGTGATATAAATTATTAACAATATGATGACAAAATTATGCCAATAAATACCCCCAGTTCTGATCAAATAATATTAAGTAAGTGAGTACTATTAGAAGTAATATTATTTAGTTATTTCAGCTTTATTGAATTGAGAAAATATTAATAAAATGTCAAAAGGATGTTTATAAATATATTCCATGTGGCAGTGAATGATAAGTAGAAGTATCCTAGACCTTTGTCAGGTAGTTACTTTGGAAATCTTACGTGCGCTTGCCGACTTGCAAGCGTATAGTCCTTTCCAATAAGTTCTTATCTGCCCTTTCGTGAATTATCTCCCTTTATCAAGGCCACTTCCGGAGATGTTTTAGGTTCAAAATGGCGTCGAGCAAAAGAGCATTTATGCGGGAATGCAGAAGACGTAAATTTGCATTTTGACAAGTTAAATGTGCGTGAACTCAAGACCTACTTACGGAATCATGAAGAATACGTTTCAGGGAACAAGTCGGACTTGATTTTGTGGGCCAAAGGTGGAAGTGATCTTGGCAAACGATCTATTGAAGATGTAAATACAACCGATGTGGTCAATGTGAGACGAAGACGATTTGAGAAGTTTCTGTCACCTCTTGGCGAGCTTTTACCAAACCCATTACTCCTGAAACATGGCTGGGATAGCAATGTTGAACTTGTGCCATCATTAGGTCAAATGATTTGTATAATTATTTGGTTGTGAGCAAACAGCGGGCCCAAACAACGCTAAACGTCAATTGAAAGCTAAAGTTTTCTATGAAGACAGACACGTCCATACAGTCCACTATCACCATATATCCAAGTACTTTTCTCATTGTTATGTCAGTGCCAAGGTGATTCCTTCAATACCAACACAGAACAGGAAACTAAAACCGGATTCTTATATGTGGGTGTCCCTGTCCAAGGTTACTGGCCGAGTACATACTCCTGGTTCCAACTGTAGTGCAGGGTAAGTAGATCTAATAAATTACCATCAAACAGTAGCTCTAAGGTATCAATTTTTTTTATTGAAAAGTACCAGAACTGGATGTATGATTGTTCTGCAATTGAATGAATTTTGCAAAACATAACCAAGCAACAATATTGCATTTTCATGGTGCATTAGACCCTCTGTATACTATATGTGCATGGTATGAGGTGGTAATGCATAGCAACATTTTATTAATCCTACATTTTGTGTTATGCTACTTAAACTTTTGGCTCTGGAATTAGATGTGTTCATCCATTTTTAATTAAATAATCAGCGAACAATATATCTGTTTCAGTGAGGATGAATCCTGCAACCTTGTTGCTGCTGTCCTTTAAGCTTCAGCTGACATCTCAGAAAAGAAACTTGAGGGATTGCATGCATCTACTTCAATGGAATGCAAGTCGAACCAGCCAAGAAAACGCAAACTTAGCCCGGTTAAATTACAGGATATGCCATTCACAGAACACCAGTGGATAGAACATAAAAAGATATCAACAATTTCAAAGCAAGATGCTTCTTATGAAAGTGGTAAATCAACTGTTAAACCAATAAATGTGGATAGATTTGCTCGAAAACATGCAGGTTGGTTACTGACTCAAGAGGATGTTGTCAATATGGTTGAAGAAACAGATGTTACAATACCTTCCCTTCACTCAGTTGTTTTAAACTATGCAGACAGCTGTGATTTGAAATGTGAGGAGTGTGCCAGACATTTTTCACAGTATTTCAGTGATTTGTGCCTCTCAGAAAAAGACTGTGTAACCATAGAAACGAACACACGTGGACAAGCAAACAATGAATTGTGGAGCTCAGCAAGGGAAGGCCGATTAACCTCTTCCAATTTTGGACTTGTCTGTAAACTGAAACCATCAACTGCCCTTGATAATGCAGTTGAGACAAAGTTTGGATATTCATCATTTGATAATGATAGTAAAAAATGGGGACGTAGTCATGAGCCAATTGCAAGGCGAAAGCATGCAAATCTGCTGAAAAAAGATAATCCGAATGCAAAAGTTTTTACAGGTGGTCTCTTTGTGCGGAAGGAGTATCCTCATCTCGGATCAAGTCCTGATGGTGTTGTTCAGACTGGAGATGAAACTGGTCTTCTTGAAATTAATTGTCCTTACAAGTGGCGCCTTTCCACTATGCATGAGGCAGCAGAAGACCCACAATTCTGTTCTCCACTTGAGGAGTGGAATTCATTTGAAAGTAAACCATACATATTACTATCAAATACAAGGACAAATGGCTCTTTCCCAGATGAAGTGGTGTGATTTGATATTCTTGACTCTTAAGGACTGTCATGTGGATACACTTTGATTCAAAGTTCTGGGAGGGTTGCATCAATACCGTGAATGTCTTTTATATCAAAGCCATTCAGCCAGAGCTTTTCTCAACTCGTTTGAAACGAGGAAAGCAATTGTATCCTGTGTAATGGACTTTATTAAAAGGCCTTGCACATCAACCCAACTTTATATCTGAAACGTAAACACAGCAGCTTAAAGTGTGCGTTCAGTGGGTGGTCAACTTTAGTTCTTAAAGAACTATGTGTGTATGGACTCTTCACAAAGACGTGTTCATTCTACTAGCTGAAACAAATGTAGTTCCCTCTGTGCCTATTAAAATGGGATCATTTTAAAAATAAGGAAGACACAACCTTATAACCACTGAAAAGTTTAATTCAATCATAACATCATAAATATATATGTAAGTTTTACAAATCTGAATTTGAATTACTTATGCTGGGCAGGATTGATGATATTAATCATGTTAATTGTTTCACATCAGGATGTAAACAGGCTTCTGTCTTTTTCCCTTTTCAGTCGGATGTCATGTTTATGAAATGAGCACTGTCATAAAGCATGAAGAAGGGTCTTATGACATTAAAAGTTTCAATACCTGTCTAAATCCTAACGGCTGTTTGTCCTTTATGTCACCGGCTGTTATCGTTTAGTTATGGACAGTTGCAGAATTGAATCCCCAGTTGTGAGATACCAAAAGATTCTATTTAGGAGATAAACCTACTGTGTTTTCAATGTAGAGCTAGGTTACCTGTAGATTTAACCGCACTAAATTGAATTTGAAACCGAACGCGTATGTGTGGGTGTGTGTGTATGTGTTTACATCATAATATGAGCAGCAGACGACAAATGTCGTTTACGTCTTTGTTCAACTGATTTTTTCAAAACATATTTCCGAAGATGTTTGTGTTATTATAATCACCAGAATTGTCCAGATTGGAGAGTATAACGTCAAAATCTTCGTCACTCCATTCATCTGCAGGATCGACATAGACATCAGCAAAATTTCCTATGTCAAAAGTTCCCACTGACACGGAATTCGTGAGCTCCGCCATCTTTATGGGCAAGCACAAAGTGCACATGCATATCCCTACGCGGTAAATAGGCCGTTAAACCAGCTGTTTCAATCAGAGGGGGTTTATTGTGATTTAATAGCCTCTAATTGACCAAACAGAATCGAGTAAATTCCAAATTCATGGTAGAATAATATTTAATCGTGGGTACATCAATGGACATAGTGTTTCTCTCCAAGGTGCTGGCATTGGGATAAAGGGTTGAAGAAAGGACTGATTCGCGCAGTCAGTGTGTGTCCCCAATGGGGGAGTGTGACTGTGACAGGGTGTCTCAGGGAGCATCTGAACTAGCATTAGTATTAATATTAAAAGTCAAAAGTCCTAGCTAGTGCAATCAGACATGCGCATTCAACAGTTTTAGAATGACATATGCTTTTATAGTTTTTGCCAGTTACATGAACCAGACTTGTTAACGTTATTTGCCACGACTTTGACCATGGATGAACATAAATTTCATGGTCTAAAATAGAAGGCTGATATTTGAGTTTTCACGATGGACACTGTGTGTACACTGTAAAACATTTCAACACCACAGTGTGGAGGCTGAAGGTTTGTCAAGTGAACACACACTTTCCAAATTTTTGTGACTTTCTTGGCCAAAGTAATTGGAATGACCCCTTGCACAATCCGGAAATTCTTCACACGTTTAATTGCCATTTCAACATATATTCTTAAATTTACTCTGTGTCTTGTTTCTTCAACTTCTCTTCTTAAAAATCTTTTATTCGTAAATCGTGGAATGTGTAACTTCACACCTAAGGGTGTTGTCAGTTCAGAAATGGGAAATCCTTTATCAGCCATTATTGAATCCCCAGGTTCACAGAAATGTAGCAGGCCACATAATTTGGTAATTTGTTGATCACTAGTACTACCACACCAAAGATCAGACAAAAAAGTTATTACCCCAGCAGGACTAATACCAATCAATGATTTGTAAGTCATATGCGACTTGTAATTGGAGTATAAGAGGGTCCTGTTTGTAAGAGGTTGTGGTGTTTCAGTAAAGATTTCAGTACAGTCAATGATAACTCGGGTATTGGGGTATTTTCTAAATTTCTTAGGCATTGTTTTCTTAACGACTTTCATGTACAAGTTCATTTTCATGTTATTGTGTTGAAACCAGCCATGGTGTTTTCCTCGAGCACACTTAATCTTTGTTACCTAAAATCGTTGGATATTCCAGTTTGGGTATTCCAGTTTATTAGACATAGATTAGGTCAAGACAGCAAGTCCATATTATAGTATGGGGGCCTACTTCATGATGCCTGTATTGGAATTACCAAGTGTTCATGGTAACAGTAAGGTGCCTATGGAACTGTGCTTGAGCTTGTTGTCTGTATGGCTATACTTGTGTTTCCATGTTGACAGAATGGCGCCTACTCCATGGTGCCTGTTGTCTGCATGGGTATAGCTACGTTTGTTTGTGGCTTCCTGGCTGATCTGCTCATATCTAGGAAAATATGTTCCGTTGGGGTTACACGGAAGATCATCGTTACGCTCGGTATGTTAAGTTTAGTATATGTGAGTGAGTGAGTGCGTGGATCGATGTTCATGATGTCAATCCTTGGATTGTCTGGGCCAGACTCGATTATTACAGACCGCCGTCATACTGCTTGGATATTGCTGAGTGTGGCGTTAAACAACAATCAAACAAAAAGAATGATGAGTCCCCACTGATTATGAGTGAGTGAGTTGGGTGTAACGCCGCTTTTAACAGTATTCCAGTTATATCACGGCGTGACAGCTTAATGTAGGAGGAAAGCCCGAAGCGATGCAGGTCTCAGACGTTTACCACTTCGGTGAAACCCACGAGCACGGGTATGGTGCTGACAAACCTAGAAACATAATCGGGGCGAACCGGGATTCGAACCCACAATCATATGTTTCTGGCGTTCCCAAGGGACGCAACTCTGCACAGCGAATCGCGACGCCTTAGACGAGTGGGCCATCCGTGCCCCTTTAGTATATGAATATGTAGTATTTGAGTTACTACAAACATTAACTAGAAACAGCAAATCTATAATGTTGCATATGTATGACAGTTAATCTAGATGGTATCGCAGCTCGTCATATCCTAATGTTACCACATACTCACAGTTAAGAGTTATATTTCAAACAAATGATAAATTATTGATTTAATATTGCAGGTACGCTCTTTCCTGGAATTTGTATGGTTATATTGGCGCAGGCCGAGCGTGGCCAACACCTGTTTGCTGTCTCGATGCTGTGCCTTGCGGTGGGTTTTGTTGGGTTTGGGATGTGTGGATTCAGCACCAACTATGTCGACATCGCTCACCAGTACGCCGGCATTCTATCTGGTATAGGAAACGCAATCGCCTCTCTACCAGGAGTACTAGCTCCCTACGTCGTGTCAAGGCTTACTCCTAACGTGAGTCTACTAGTCAAATAAACACTGCAATTGTATTGCATTACCAATATTGTCTGAATTACGTCAACAATAATGATTGTATTACGTCAAAAATAGTTCCTGTATTACGTCAACAATAGTACCTCTATTACGTCGGCAAAAGTGCCTGTATTTACGTCAGCATTAATAACTGTATTACGTCAACAAAAGTACCTGTATTACGTCAACAATAGTACCTGTATTACGTCAACAAAAGTGCCTGTTTTTACATCAACAATAATGACTCTTTTACGTCAAAATAGTGCCTGTATTAGGTCAAAAATAGTGCCTGTATTACGTCAAAAATAGTGCATGTATTACATCAACAATAGTGCATGTATTACATCTACAATAATGCCTGTATATTACGTCAACAATGATGCATGTTTAAAGTCAACAATGGTGCTCTATTACGTCATCAATAAGGCCTTACTATGTCGAAAAATATGCCTGTTGTTTGTCATGAATGGTGTTTGTATTACGTTTTACTGTTCACTGAATCATAAGATAACGCATTCAGCGAGTTGATCTTATTTACATAATGTCATCAATTAGTGTTTCACTTTCCATACCAGAAACAGGTTTTCTCGAGCTGTCGATTTACATTGAATTTCCTCGGTGCGCTTACCTTATTTTAAGGGGTATGCATATTAATCCACTTTCATTGCAAAATGTTACCTAATTTATTTGTACAAGTGGAATTAAATAAATATAATTGGGCACTGTGCAGAACGGCAACGCTTCTCTGTTTGTGTGGCGTGACATATGTCTTTCTAGATGTCGCGCGTTTCTGTTTCTTTTCTAGTTTATATAGAGTAACATATTGCATTCTAAATAGCGTAACTGTGCACTGTGCTGTCGAAGGTGTCGGAGTTATTTAGTTGTTATCAATTTGTTTATAATATTTTTTTAACGACGCACTCTAATATTCAACCTATGTGACGTCTGTCGGTAAATCCTCGAAAACCCTATCATTTGGGATACGACAACTGGGATACAATGACATGCAAGAAACCAACTTATTGAAGACCATTTCTAACACGGGTCTTCACGGGGATTGTATATTACAAAAGCACCATAATGTCCGTATGAACGAATAATGGCTACAGAGTAGTTGTAAATAGTATTGATGTTGACGTTCTCACAAGCATTATAAAACCGGGTTAACGAAGTGTGATTGTATCATTTTTAATGGAGCACCATCTGAATAAATTCAAAAATATGTATATTCAGGTTATATACTTTCCAGGGTACCCGCTCTGAGTGGCAACTGGTCTTCTATGTGGCTGCTGGGGTTGTTTCTTTGGCGACGGTCATATTCATTCCGTTTGGATCAGGTGAGCTACAGTCGTGGGCGCAACCTAAAGAAGTGGAGCAAACCGTGTTCATTGGAAAACAAACTATGCAAGACGAGGCTCCTATTATTAATGATTGCCGAAAAGACGCAGAAGTCATTCATGTATTTAAGAATTGAATTTCACTTTGTGTGAGTTCACTGGAGTATGAACTTTCATAGTTTCGCAAGCTCCGATGTTCATACAGTTTGGTCCTCACTCTATGAAGGTTCATACTTCAATGAACTCAGACAGAGTGAAAGCCAATCCTTATATTTTTTTAAATCAATAGTTTTACCCCAAAGGACTTTGATCTTTGATCAAAAGAAAGTTTTCACTTTAAAAATAGTTGTATAAAAAGCAAAAAAGCTGGTACAGATTTGAACCCCCGCAGAAAACATTCGCCCAAATGCAACATGACCACAACCACAACGCAGATTTTCGAACGCAGCTTTCCAAATCATGTATTGTTGAAAACGTGCAAAACGTGATTTTGAGACATTGGTCCAAATGCACGTGCGTGATTGTGGCATAAATACCGACGTTGGATAGAGCAGGCATTCAGTAAGCAAAAAAACACCAAGAATATGCCCTGACTTACACAAGCGCAACGAAACAGAGCGATCGGTATGGCCAATATGGGGGCAACTCAACGTCAGATAGCCAGAACCTTCAACTGCTCCCAGACCACCATCAGCAAGTTGATAATCCGCTACCAACAGACAGGACAGACTCAAGACCGGCCAAGATCGGGAAGACCGAGAGTGACAACCGCTAAATCCGGCAGATTCACCTCCGAAACAGATGTGTGACGGCGACGTCAACGGCGGCAACAACACTAGGGCATGCCATCAGCAGACGAACAGTCCTTCGACGACTTCGTACGGCTGGTATACGAGCCTACAGACCCTTCCGTGGAATGGCCTTGACCCGTCTACACCGTCAACGCAGATTGCAATGGGCACGAACTTACGTCGGTGGCAGTGATGCGACAGAGTTCGAGTTTTTCGACGAAGGGGAGAGCGACTGGCGCCAAACTGCATTAGAAAAGTTCACCCGTTTGGAGGTGGAGGCGTCATGGTATGGGGTGGCATATGTGGCCAGATTACAACACGGCTAGTTATCATCCGAGGAAACCTGAATGCTCAGCGATACAGGGATGAAATGTTGAAACCGGTTGTGGTGCCCTTTATTCAACATCAGCCAAGAGGATTAATTTTGCAACAAGACAACGCAAGGCCTCACACCGCCCGAATTGTTCAAGACTACCTGAACAACGTTAACGTCAACATATTGCCATGGCCACCTTGTTCTCCAGACATGAACCCCATTGAACATCTCTGGGATCATGTTGATCGTCAGCTGAGACAACCTGTACCGCCTCCAGCGAACCGACAGGAACTTGAACAGACTCTATTGAACTTATGGAACAGGATTCCTGTTGACGTTATCCGCCGACTGACGACGTTAATGAGGAGGCGTGTGTTGGCGTGCATGGATGCCCAGGGTGGTCACATTCGCTATTGATGACGTGTTACCTGTCTACTGTCACTCAGTGTCATTGATGGACTCTTCATGCACTTTTTCAATGAACTCTGATTTGTGTAATTTTTAATTTGGACACCTTGACTTGATTGAGGAGAATGCAATATCGGCACTACAATGCATTTTCATTCTAATTCATGGAAAATGAGTTCTGTTTATAAAATAATCATCATTAATCTCACATATGCCTTTGTTTTTGGTGTTTCGTCAAGTGAAGTAGGTGAAAACTTTCTTTTGCCCGTTAGTTTATACACAATTATATTTCGTACGCGTGACTTCATGTTTACACTGACAGACATACAACAACCAGCTGTATCGTGGAATAAAATAGTTCCTCAAAACGAGAGGTGACATGCTCTCATGTATGCTCAACATGCTAAACAGAGACAACTTTTGTAGTTGCTTCAGAACGAATGTACTCAAATAAAATCCTCAGTAGATGAGAAAGGTCTGTTAAGAACTACCTCAGTGAGTCAGTCACAATGACCCCGCGTCGCAATACATTTACATCAAGTACAAGACGTCAAAATGGCCGACACGATAAACGTGACGGGAGAGATTTCCAAAGTTGTTAATGAACATATGTGTTCGTCATCATTGATCAACTCGCCGATCAAAGGTGATTAAAGAAGTGTCAGACAGACGCTAAGGTAAATTCACAGATTGCTGAAGACGGTCACTGTCAGCCTAGACACGGATCGAGTCGATACTACGATAGTTTGGATGTGCATTTCTTCGTTTTGTTCATGAGTATGGCCCGTAGCGAGGATATTCGTAAACAATTATGCAGTCAAAGTCTCTGACAATTCTAAATCTAAACTTAAAAGCTGAGTTCAAGATTAAAGATTCTAAATGATCAGAAAAAACGCTTCTGTGTGTTTTCGTGCTGGGGAATTCAAAGGGGTTTCCCCAGGAATGTGGAAGTAGTCCGTTAGTGTTTACGTCATTTCAAGAACACGGTTTCGTGAAAAACGTATGAACGTCAAATTGTGTCGTGTATACACTGATGAAGGTCAGTTTCGCGATCATGTGACCGACCTCTCGTCCAATGCATACATTGCACAAACCATAAACCATTGCATACACGTATGTCGACCATTTGTAGTGACGGACCAGTTATATATGTTGTATGGTAACGCTTTATCCAAATGCAACTTGGGCGATGCATAGGTAACCAAACTTTGTCAAGCATGTATTACTTCAAATGTTGAACATCATCGCGCATCAGATGGCCCCGATGTGGCGCAGAGTAGGGTAGTGTGCCATGTTATTCAAACTTTGCTTTGATCAAATCACCATCTTGAAACAAACATGCCATCGAACTAAAGTACGTTCAGTGTGTGAGTGAGTGAGTGGTTGGGGTGTTGAGTAAGTCAGTGAGTCAGTGACTGCAAAAATGAAGGCTTGAGTAAGTATCCCCCGTAAGCTACACGCATATATGTTTTCAGTGATAAAGTGTACTTACAGTACTTATACGTAAGCATACTTGGAGCGGCGTAAAGTAATATGCAGTTGTAGCTGATGTTGTATTATTGAGACCAATGTACAATGATATGAAGTTATTCTAAATATTATCAAAACATTAAAACAAAGAAAATTCTGTGTTTTGTCTGAAAAAGCGGATGAACAGGTTATCTTGACATGACGACTTTCATGTATAAGTCTTCATACATTTGCAATATTATCAGAACTTTAAACATGATACCTTTATATAAAATATTGTATGATGTTTAATGTTCTGACAAAACTAGAAATGTGTGAAACAATGTACTTATTTAACAATTTAATTTTTGTCGTTGATGTTATCATCACTGAAGAAATGTTTTCGTTATAGTGCATTGAGGGTTGAAATCAGATCAGCTGGTCGTACTCAGTGTTGAATCAGGGATGAGTTAGTTGGGTTTAATGCTGCTTTGAAAAGTATTTCAGTTATATCATGGCGTGTCAGCTTAATTTGGGAGCATGTCCAGAGTGCTTCAGACGTTTACCACTTTGGTGAAACCCAATAGCACGCTCTGTTGCTGACAAACCTAGAAACATAATCGCGGCGAACCAGACATCAAACATCCAACAATAGGTTTCTGGCGTGCCCAGGGGACACAAACTCTGCACAGCAAATTGGGGCGCCGTAGACGACTGGGCCACCCGTGTCCCGATGCAACAAAAACAGATCTATACAAGCACAGAAATTTCAGTAACATCTTAAGTACTGACAATACCATTGGTAATCTTATACACTAGGTGTTGCTGTCTGTAGCCGTATTTCTGTATGAAAATGACGAGCAAGGATGGAAGTTCGAGATCAAATGAATGAAAAATATAATCGAGAAGGTGTCAAGTGCACCTGGAACACGTGATTATGTAACACTTGCGACACGATCGCGGATGTGTTCCTATTCTGTCCGGTATGATGTTTGTTTGTTTGTTGATTAACGCCGCACGTAGCAAAATTCCAGCTACATGACGACGGTCTGTAAATAATCGAGTCTGGACCAGACAATCCAGTGGGGCATCGATCCACGCAATTGGGACAAATGACATGCATCAACCATGGCAGCGAGCCTGACCACCCGATCCCGTTAGTCGCCTCTTACGACAAGCATTTTTACGGCAAGTATGGGTTGCTGAAGACCTATTCTACCACGGATCTTCACGGGTCCTGTCGGGTATGACGGTGAGGTGTATTGGTAATAGTTTTTTTATGGTTGCTTATAACCATCGAATTATGTATCTAAACAAAGTAAACTGTTATTGTTTGTACTTCCTGGTATGTATAAACCAGGGATCGTTATCAGTTACCACACCTGGTGAGCCTGATCGGGGCTAAATGTCATATCATGCAGTTCAATCGACCACTTTCCCGTAGTACAAAGGTTACTGGACTACTGCTGACAGACTACTGATCATTGTGGAATTTTTCATACCAACAAGATCAACGCACCCTGGTATGGCTTAAGTATACTTTTCAGCACATCGAAATGTAGCGCCTTCAATATTTGTGATATCGAACACGTGGACCTTGTTCTCCTTCCTAAGCATAAAGCGCAGATTTGTCAATACAGCTTTTATCAACATGCTTGTTTGACCTAGGTATGACACAATCCATCGGAGCCCAACTCATTGTGATAACAGCTCTACTGTGAGGACCAGATTGGTGGGCACACGCTGTGCATTCATTCCTGGTTACAACGCTATTTGAAGCTTACCTGGTGACCCACGATCAAGTAAATATTTCGTCGTCTGAAAAAACAGCTACCACTACTACAGTATTGAGATAATGGCTATTTTGAAGCGTAGTCATTCAATACTGAAGGAATGAAAGAACCTGAAATATTTAGCTTTTTTTATTAGTTTGACAATCAGAAGCTTATTTCTAATATAAGTTTATTCTTTAGTGTTTAGTATCATCAAAATAAGCATTTTTTTTCTAAAATAGTTCCAGAATGTACTACACATAGGGTTTAGTGATTGTAGTGGACATGCAATCAAAAGTATGATTTAAAATACTGTTCAGCACAAGAACTTTTAAGTCTTAACTAAACACACGTATTAAGTTCATAGTGAAATTCAATACAGAAAAAAATCAAACCAGTGACCTTGACTTTTCGGGATTTCAGGCAAATACAGCAACTGAAAAGTAACTTCTTAAAAGTATGTTTGTTTGGGCTTAGCTGTCCTACAAACTTCACAAATTAATAAAATAATGCGCAAAACGTTTCATAATATTTAAACTGTGAGGCAGCAAAACACTAAAATTAGATTGATTGAGTGAGTGAGCATGGTTTACGCCGCTTTTAACAATATTCCAGCAACATCATGTCGGGAGACACCAGAAATGGGCTTTACACATTGTACCCGAGTATAGAACGGAACCCGGATTTTCAGCTGGACTAGCGAAAACTTGAACCACTATGCTACCCCATCGTCCCTAAAATTACATTGAAAAAGAGTAATTGACATAGCGCCAGGCTACACTATTTACTCAAGACTAGCGAAACGTTAAAATGAACGGATTGATGGGCATGAGAGATCACTGAAAAATTTATAATTGCAATGTAAGAAATTTGAGATTCAAATAGATGTAACCGTAAGTGTAACTCCACCCTACTCGACATTCACCACAAGCGTAAACATCATAGAGATCAAGAAGTGTTGACATGTTTATGGCAACAAACCTATATTTTGTATGCAAGTTGTGTGAGCGAGAGTGCTACTAGTAAGGTAAGACATGCTTAAATTACCCTTTTCTCGAACAACTGATGACTTCACTTATTTTCAGTGACCCTCTCAGGCAATTATTACCACCATTTTGTCTTTTAAGCCTATGGAATCTGTTTTATCGGATAATCGAGACTGGTTGTTCGCTGGGGTTGAGGTTTGATATTTGTCACTGGAAAGTCATCATAAACATATTTGTTTTAAATTTAGGAGTCCGAGTTTGGCAGACTGATCGATAAAGCAAAAGTTGGCGCTCGGACTTGAGACAAATTTAAGGTTTCGGCATTAGTGACACAAGTGTGGTCAATCGCAGAGGAATTGACACCTATATCAGCCTTGGGGGATTTTAAAGTATCTAAACCAAAGATGGTACTTGTTGTTACCCTGCCTGACGCTCCACATTGCGTGGATAAAACAAGGACTGGTCGGTTTGGAGTCAGTATACTGTGTGTGAATGGGGTATCCATGTTAAACTATGGCATGGTACCTCAGTGGGTTAGCACTACACACACACGCGGATCTTTACGGGTCGCGTGCATGTATGAGATTACAGTGGCTATGTCGATAAATAAACCTTGCACATGGACACCACAAATAGGGCTGGCAGGATTTCCAATTCATTGCTTTTCCTGTCTTACACATCCTGATCACATCTTCCATTTGTTCAAGACCTATTCGACCGCCTCCGTGGTCTAGTGGTAGAGCGTCCGCCCGGAGAGCGGAAGGTCCGGGCCGCGGGGTTCGATCCCCGGCAGAATCATACTAAAAGACGTTAAAAGATGGTACTTGTTCTTACCATGTCTGGCGCTCTGGCCAAAACAAGGACTGGTCGGCTCGGAGTCAGTATACTGTGTCTGAGTGGGGTATTCATGTTAAACTGCAGCATGGTATCTCAGTGTGCTTGCACTAAAATTCGGCATCAGTCCGGACTAGTACACGCAGACACACAATGCATGCACGTCGCTATATAAGTGCAATACGTGCCATTATCTTGGACGCGACGTTAAACTCCATTTCACCTCACCTCAAGACCTATTCTCTAAATGACTATCCCAACCTGATTTTCACTGTCGGGGAAAATAGCTTGTGTAATTTCCGTCATAACGTTATCTGAACGCATTGCTGGGACATATGTTATCTCCAATGTGACGCAGACGCAGGCAACTTGTAATGCAGCATAAGACGTGGTCAATTATATTGTTTGCTACTTCCTGAATAACGTCTTTATATTTAGCCTTATGTTCTGAACAAGCAGTTCTGAAGACTAAAGCTTAGCCCTCTGTCAGCTACCATTTTGTACACTGTCTGTGACGAAATATATCATTGGATATGTTGACATAGTGAAAATCGGCTAGCGATATTCCTCGGCCGTGTCGTCTTGTAGATAGACGTGGCGAGGTGAAATGAGGTTTATCGTCCACTTCAATATTATTGCATTTATATGGCGACGTGAATGCACGTGCGTGTGTGCATGCGCGCGCGCGTGTGTGCATTTGTGTATGTGTGTGTGTGTGTGCCTAGCCAACTGAGATACCATGGTGGACTTTAACATCATGTCGTGAATATCCCACTCAGAAACAAGCTGGCCACTCCTTACTCTAACCCCTAAATATCGAGCGCCAGTGAAACAACAAATACCTTCTTTTAACTGTTGGTATGGCGCGGCTTGGGATGGAACCATGACCTTCCGCTCCCCGAACCGACGATCTAGCCACTAGACCACGGGGTCTCCGAGTCCTCATCATGGACGTGGCTTTCGGTCCACTGTTTACGGGACTTGGTTGTAAAGCAAAGGTGATCACTGTTGAATATCGACCCGGTAGACGAGGAATGACAACCGAACTGGCAGGCCACTGAGAAAACTTTGTTCAACTTATGCACGGAACAATCGCCATATCAATTCCAGCAGTGTCATCTGTTTATGGTCGTGGTGATGCGTGGGAACTAGTTGTCCAGATGCTACATCATGTGACAAACGTAATACACCACGATGTTAGTCATTATGTAAACAAAAGGCAACAAAAGCCATTGCCACAATGAGACATTATACCAGAAGCAGAGTCCACTGTATTATTCTGACTATATCATAAGCGTCTGTTTATGATTCAATATCAAATAGTGATGATACAAAGTGTTCGCGAAAAGGTGACGTATCCTGCCCCACAGGACATAAACACAAACACTGTATATCAAAATAACAATAAATAAGAAATTCCAAAAGTATAAAAATATTAGATGGTGAATGAGTGAGTGAGTTAACATACAGTGTCCGTTATGTCATAGTTGATTTAATGATGTGCAGGTTATCATCTATGCAGAAGATGTATCCCCCCCCCCCCCGCCCTCTTAACAACCATCTAGTCTCAGTACCAAATCCCCACATATATCGCCTCCTCCGGTAACGACGGTCACCTTTTTTTCTCTTTCCTTTAAAAATGTACCAGATACAACGCCTTGTTGAATAATCAACAGCCGTTGATAATAGAAATCTAACCCGTATATGTGCCAGGCATACAGCTGTCGAAATAGATAACAGTGCAGATCATGTCTATACATGGACAAATTACTTCCTTGTAGGCCTCGTGACGTAACACCATGTGACACACAGAGGACTGTGAAGGTGCAGATACAGTCTAGCCAAGACATTTGTCGAGCGACCTGACAAAAACCCGTCCTGGTTTGTGTTCCTTACAGTTTCTGGTAAATCTGATTTTAATTTTAGTTTCTTCTATGTTGAAGTAACCTGTATCGTATTGACGCATGTACACCGAAATTTATCACGTTTGCGAAGCTGAATTTGTTTTAAGTCCAGATCAACACATGGAAATATGAAGCCTCAGTTGGTTGGGGCGGAATGGGATGGAACAGGGGTCGAAGGTAACAGTTGTCGTGAGTATTGTCATAAGAAACAGGATCGCTCTCTCTGTACGTCGGATGTTTTAATAATTGCGATCCCCACGGTTCAAACATATCCAACCACTCTTAATGTTTCAAATAGCAGAATCCTACTCAATCATTGTCAAATGGTCTATGTTGGACTACCTTTACAACTACATGATACGGAATCCTATGATAGTTACTTGGTTATTTTTCGAATGACAAGTTTAACAGTAACAAGTTTATTCAGTTTTGAAACAGCTGCCGTACATGATTCCAAGAGTACATTTCATATTACTAGGTACGACAATATGATGTTCATGTATGACTCTAGTACTGTACATCGTACCACCTTGTACGCTCTCAAAATAAATATTATCCTGTATCCAAATGTATATAAAAAGTCAACACCTAAGAACAACCAGCCCCGACTGTCCGCTGACTCCAATGGGCGCTTAAGGCAAAACAGTGGTGAAAATCACACGTATGGACCACCAAAATACCAGCATGGCCCGCTCGACTGACAGCACCTGGCTCTTACACAACCTGCATAAAAAACGTAAGTTTGCACAGTAGCGACCCTAGGCCTGCCACTCCATAACATACAATAACGAGAGAGACAAGAAAGTCCAGTGACACGACAGCTGCCAAACAAATTCGAAATATAAAATCTCTTTTTGCCATTCAAAGCTTGACTGCAATCCCAATTGCTTGATCACTACCAAACCAGGGCTTGTCCGTTATCATAAATGCATTGATGTTGAAGTGCGGCTCACAAGCCGTCTATGCCTGTGACCTTATACCCTTTTCATTGTGTACGTAGGCGTTCGTAAGAGATAACAGCTTCTAGCATATCGGTCATGTCATTGTGTATCCTCCCTTGTTGTGGGTCTATGGCTTCACACTTAAGGCAGGTGGTTTTACCTAATTAAAGTTCAGGATGACTCAAAGATAAAAAGGTAAGTGGGGGTGGTGGATGGATGGAGGATTATTGAGACACGTTGTGAATGGTTAACGATTGACTACTTTCATTTCAGGTTCATTACAATCGTTAATGAATGTTAAAATGTTTCATTACATTCCTTAAAGCTGCCTCAACGAATACTGTCGCCTCTCTGCGTCGCCATGACCAACGTCGGACCAGATCTGGACATCACCAAGTACAATTCTTGTACACGACGTATGAACTGAATGAGACCTGTGGCCATAGGAGAGAATGTGTGCAGAACGAGGTGGTTCAAGATAATGTCACTAACACAGCGTCGTGCATGCAAGTATACGTGTGTGTGGTTTCTTTACTTGTCCGAACTAATGGCGATTTGTAGTGTCAGCCCACTGAGATACCATACCTCAGTTTAACACGATACCCCACTCAGACACAGTATCCTCATCCGAGTCGACCAGTCCTTGTTTTATCCCTTAAGCGCCAGGCAGGGTACTAACAAATGGAATCTTTTATCGTATTTTGGTATGACACATGATCAGAATGAACCGGGATTGGAACCCACAGTCATAGGTTTCTTTCAAGCCTAAGGGACGTAACTCTACACAGCGAATTGCGTCGACTTACACGACTGGGCCCCCTTGTCCCCAGTATATAAAATGCTGTCTGTACACTGTACACTGTACATGGACTTGGCGGAAGAACCTGGATGGTCAATGATGAACATCAACCCACGTGACGGGTAATGATGACACTCTTACTGTATGTTCACCGAATGATCCGTGCAATGCAGCTGTTGTGATAGATAACAGTGCATCGTGTCCATACTTCCTTGTAGGCCTCGTGACGTAACACCACGTGACACACACAGAGGGCGGGTGCAGATACAGTCTAGCTCAGACTTGCCTTCCAGACAGTTGGCCTTTTTTCTTACATTCTCACGTATGACTGAATGTACTTTTAGTTCCTTATATGTCGACGGTATCTTACAGACGCATGCACACCGAAACCAATCACGTTTTCAAAGCTGAATTTAATTTGCAGCCTCGTTTGGTAGGGAGGGGATAGGATGGAGCCGTTGTCGGCACCCCTAATCGTGAGTGTTGTCATACCAACAGGATTGCTTTCTCTGTACGTCTAATGTTTTAATAATTGTGATCTCCGAAGTTCATGCATGTCCAGTCACTTTGAGTATTCTTTCAGTTTACGACAGCACATTTCTATGGTGGCCGCGAGTGGACTTTTCAGCTTCAATTGCTGTCGCGACAAAACAATAAGGTGGTAACGCGAGATAAGAAAGTGAAAGCACGCGACGAGAAAGCGATAACGCGAGACGACAAAGCGAAAGCGCGAGACGTGAAAGCGATAGCGCAAGACGAGAAAGCGAAAGCGAAAGCGCGAGACGAGAAAGCGAAAGCATGAGACGTGAAAGCGATAGCGCAAGACGAGAAAGCGAAAGCGCGAGACGAGAAAGCGAAAGCGCGAGATGAGAAAGCGATATGTATCTGTAATGCGTGAGAGATATGACAGTCGGTATTGGGAGAAAAGGTGCAGGTAGTTGACTTGAGGAATGTGACAATATGGTTTCTGTCAACCACCATCAACTTCAACTGCAGATGTTTATATACCATTCCGCCTAGTGTATGATTAGTAAATGGAGTGTGCTAATGTCTCTTCCTCCAATGCATGTACCATAGCCTAGTTATGTTGTGTCAAAATTAAATTGTTTGCCATTTTAATAAAGACATGATAAAAATGTGTTGCCTCATGTTGATACCTCGCATTAAAGTGTTCTTGTACATAACTTGTTATGTTTTGTTTTGTTGTGGCTTCTACCTCTTGTAATACAAATAAACAAAAAAGACGATGCCAATTGCCTGATGACAACAATATCCAGCGCTCACTAAACCAGGGCAGTTCAGTATAATATGAGCATTAGTTTAGTGACTCCGAGATCAAGAAGGTAAGTGCAAGCGTGCGTTTGGAATGGATTTCGTGGGGAATGATTGAAGTGAAAGGTGATTATCGGTTGATGTATGATAAATGGTGAATGTGTATGTTTGATAATAAAGGATGAACAAATTATGGTATCATCAATAATTTTTTATTATCTACTTTCATTTCAGGTTATATACAATCGTCCACCGATGTTCAAATGTTTCGTTATTTTATTTAAAGCTACAGGAACATACGCACCTTCCTCCAACACTGTGACGGCTACAACGAGCCTGCCAACTACATCAACCCCGACTACAACCCAAACTTCATCCACTGCCTTGAGCCTGTCAACTACATCAACCCCGACTACAACCCGAACTTCATCCACTGCCTCGACAGCTACAACCAGACCACCCTACAAAGCTATGACCGACGTCGGACTAGACCAGGACTGCACGAATGCGCACTGTAGTGTAATCCACAGCGCATGTGTAAAGGATGAGGCTGGGGACCGAAGATGTGAATGTGTGCAGAATTATTTGAAAACCGTGAATGGGCATTGTAAACAAGGTGAGACGTGAAATTAAAAAGTCACATTTCGATGTGGTTCTGTCGGTTCATCTTTCTATGAAATATACACACCAATATTCATTAAAGATGGGTGTTCTTACATATATCCGTCGATCACCGTCGGCTGCGTTTATGCATATTATGCATAATTATATATAATACTATGTGTGCCTTCTCAGATTTAGCAGAAGGCGTGTATTAGGTTAATATAAACACCACTATTCCACAAACTACTTTAGGATGACAGTGTGGATCGAATTGTTTGATATGACACATGAAAATAAGAAACGATAAGTAAAGGATTCAGTCCGGGATTCGACCCCAGCCTGCCAGAATGAGGCAACTATAGTGGCCACCACTCAAAGTCAGCCATCTAACCCACTCAGCCACCGAGGCTTCCACAAAGTAAAAGTCTGACAACTGGTAGTCTAGATCACGTACTTTATGTACCCCTCTGACAAGTGTAAATTGGCACGGCGCCCATGGCCGAAAGCTTTGTTTGTTTGTCGCTTGTTTATGACCATTAATAACCATTTGATTACAGCTCCAGCCATGCTGGTTGCCAAGGACACCCATAACATTACTGTGAAAGGCAGTCAACATGCTGGAGACGTGTGTAAGTACAGCAAGTCGTGCTCACCTGACCCACTCAGTGTAAGCCCTGATATAGTGAATGAGTGATTGACTCACCTACGGTATTTGTGTTGTACGGTGTTTTACGAGACACTCCCATTATATTACTAATAAACGGGTGTAAATTGTCTGATAGAGAATTAGCAGAGCAGTTTAGCGAATGTTTGTGGTTTCAACGTAATATTCTAGTTTATTTAAGACTAAGTCTCGAATAAATAGAGTTGTTGCTTAGTCTTGAGAAACCATGGGGTGTCTTAAACATACTTTGTGGAGAGCTGTGACGAATCTCTTCACGTTATGAATGAGTGATCAGTGTGTAGATACAAAGAGATTATTGCTGATATCCATGTATAGGATAACATCGCAAGACTCCGTGACTAAGGTAGCTTCATACACCATGAGCTATGTTCTGTAGACTCTGTTTGACGTCATGAGTTGGTGTTTACACGGCTTTTAGCAACATTTCAGAATTATGACTGAAGGGGATACTAGAAATTATATTCATTTTGGGAATCTATCCCGGGTCTTCGGCGTGACGAGCGACCTATTGGACCACTTGGCTACCCTATCGCCCAAATGTGGAACCTAAAAGAACCTATACGTACAAATTACATAGCGACACACTGGTTGATTTGATGATTATTAACGTTTCTTGGGCAGAAAATGAAGAAGAAATGTACGAAATCGAAGGGCTGATTGCTTTAACGTCGCTTTGAACTGTATCGCATGTGAACACATCGCGTGTATGAACATGTGAGCTTGAAGTAGGAGGAAAGTCCGAGAAGATGCATGTCTGAAATAAGATACGATGAAATGAGATTACACTTTATTATCTTGAAGCAAATTTGTGTTACATCAGCCCAAGGTCTCAGGTTATTGATATTGAAATTACCATTTTGTTGAAACCATCGAACACTGGTATGATAATGATTAATTAAAAATGATAATCAGGGCGAATCTTGGATTTGAACCAACGATTATAGAATTTGGAAACACCTTATGAACTCAACTCTGCATAGCAAAATTTGACTCCACAATATGACGGATACGTGTGTAAAAAGAAAGGAGGTTATATGAATTAGGTGGCCCACGTGTCAATGTTACAGCATGAACATATAGGACCGATCTGATTATGTTTCAGTTGGCAGTATTCCCTTCATCTCATTGGCCGACTTCTCGAGGTCAGAGTTCAACATTACCGTTCACATCCTCCCAGCTGGAAGTGGCATCAAGGCTCAGGTCACGCCCACGAACATAACATTGAAGTCAACGTCCAACACAGAAAACACACGGACAGACATCGTGTTACAGATCGACGCTCATGTACATTACATACACATATCGCAGGTGGTATCAGTGCATATTGTCTTTGAGGAAATCACAATCCATACTCGGATACTGCACTCCTTTCTCTATGAAGGAACAAAGGCGGAAACTATCATTGGAGATACCACATTCACGTCGCGGTATGGACAATCTGGGTACAAACTCTCAATTACTAGTAACGACAAATCCGACATTGTTGAAGCATTGTTTTTGTTGCAAGATTCTGGGCAAATCGTACTAAAGAAGGACATAGCCCTTCAAGGCTTGACAGGGTCTTCCCTTGTTGCATCAATAGAACTATCGTTTCAAGTAAACCTAACCCGCGATTCTGCATCCGAAGCTGTGGTATTAGCAGTTTATCACATTCTGATACTTAACGATGAGTATCATTACACTATCGATGAGAATAATAGTCCAAATAAGGCCATTATGCGGAATCAGCTTTTGGGTGATCATTCTTTTTTCAAAATCGCGGCACCTGATATGTCTTCAGTATTAAAATTTCAAAATAATGATGTCTTGGTAAGGGAACAACTCGATTATGAAATAGTATCGGACAGAGAAACTGAGTTTGATCTTTATGTATCCACGAATGACGCAGACGGATCGAAGGACGTTCGAATGTCTGGAAAACTGTTCGTGAAGAATGTGAACGACGAACCGCCTCATTTTGAAGAAACCCAATTATACCTCACCGTTCTGAGTGGTTCACCAAAGGGAACAATTCTTGGTGTAATACCTGTAAAAGATCAGGACACACCTTTATATGGCTTAACACTTTCTATCAAAGGACCATACAGTGCATACTTTATAATAGACAATGGAGGTACACTGTCAAGTTCAACTGATATACATATTGGACCCTCGAAGTTTCCACACAATTTCCATTTTTTGGTTTCGGCTAGTGACGGCGAATTGACATCAGACAACGATTGCATTGTGGATGTTACAATCAGAGTGGCGAATCAACACACGACTAATCTAAACATGTCATTCCCCGCCACGTTGCCAGAAGAGTCTCTCCCTGGCACCTTTGTGGCTGATGTCAGACAGATTAATTACACCAACTATCAGTTTACAGAGCGTGAGGCTTACTCCTATTTCCATCTCAACAAAACAACGGTAAGAACCGAAATTGGACTTTCATTACCTGTGATTTAAATGAAAATGATTAATGTTTTCATTGTGTGCAAGCATCGATCTTGCCAACAGGTTTTACATGAAAGAAGAATGAGTGAGCCAGTATGATTCTACACCGCTTTTAGCAATATTCCAGCAATATCACAGAGGGGACACATAGAAATGGTCTTCCCACATTGTACCCATGTATGGATTCGAACCCGGGTATTTGGTGTGGTGAGCGAACGCTTTAACGACTGGGCTACCCGACCGCCCCGAATGAATGAAGAAACACCAAGATATTATTCACGAAAACTTAAGATATATTGTAAATTAAATATATTTAATGTGCCAGTGTTGAAGAGACAAATGTGTATTTTCGTCCAGTTTGGATGTTTTTTAAGTGTCACCATCCTGATTGAATATTATTTAAGTGAATACCTGTTTTGCTCAGCAAGTGTTTGTGTTACCTCTGACATTAATATACTTGTGATTGAAGCTGCGAATAATAACATATTTTGCAGGGTAGTGTTACAACTGCGAGACGTCTTGATAGGGAGAAGAGCACTGACGCCCACACTGACTTTGGCATCAGCGGCCACATGGAGGATCAAGATATGTGCACCTTCATTGTTAGTGAATAGTTGATGTGCTAGTGTTATCTAATATGGTTTCCACCATTTAATATTCCCAGTGGGAGACTGAGGTTTTTGTTTGAGAGAGAATTTTTTAAAAGTAGGTGAATAAAGGGTCATACATACGCTTTCCTATAAATCAAATGATGTCGGGTAGAGGGAAAATTTTGCTTGATTTATTTGCAAAAAAAACTCAAGCCGGGGGTCGTAAGAGATTATTTTCAAGCGAATTGTAAATCCCGTTTTGATGTTTTTAGGTCCACTTGATCAGCTTAAGAATAATTTACTTATCCTGCAAATTGTCTAAATGATATGGCACAATGAATTTGAACTGGGTCTTTTCCTATTAATATGACCTTTGTTTTTCAGATTATTGGTGAACTCCATACTACTCTGTCTGATATTAATGACAACAGCCCAGTATTTCATTGTCCTGCCTGTGCGAGCGTTAAAGTCAAGGAAAATGTTGAACCCGGATACGTCTTGGTGAGTACCTGGTGTTCATGCTTACGGATTTGTTAGGCATGCGTGAGTACCATAAAGTTGGCAGAACAGAACTTTATTACGCCCAAGGCTACAAAAAGTAGTATGTTGAGGTTTAACAGGAGATGTGACGTATAATAGTGATGGCAACTATGATAGTTATTTAAATGTAGCCATTACTATTTTACAATATTTTGATAATTTTTTCAAGAAGATATTATTTTTACAATGAACATCTGTTGAAGTTTAAACATAGATGGATGTACAATAAGAGTCTTTGGTATGTATAATTGTCTTACTTCTTTAAAATATTCACATTTAAATATATAATGATATTCATCCGCAATGTCTTGGCTTTTACAAACAGTACACTTTCTATCTAATAAAGGGGCGTGATTCCATCTTCCACATTCATCGGTAAATAATGGCAAGACGTTCTGAACAGTAGTAGTGGTATGAACACTCGTTTTGGTAAATTACATAGATATGTTTCCAGTGAGATATTATCTTTAATGACTTTATAAAAAAATTCCTTTACTTGAATTTGTGACATCAGAATTCCACTGTTGTATAAACTGATCTTCCAAACAAGTTCTAATCACACATGTAAGCCAATCAACTGATGAAAATGACTGATTTATCCAAACATTGTTATTACCTGTCATAACAAGAATATGTTTTACAAACTTTAGCCAATTTTGGTGCCATAACTACTTTATTCCTGACAATGTATTGGACCAAGTGGACATTCAACACAAAAACATTTAAACCCATGAAATGTTCGTCCGTTATTATTGTTTTCGTGGACTAGAAAGACGAAGTGACTGTGTACATACATGCAAATTGAAGATATTACATCACAGGTTTTATCATGTTTTTCGAAATTGGCAAGAATCACCATAAAAGCATGCAATAAAAATAACTCTCTCCGGTTCTACAAATCTTAGGTGCCCCTCAAATACATTTTCAAGAGTGGTCAGGTTAAATGGATTTTACCAAGCGTCCAAGAAAAATCCACTTACATATCGATGTGCATGCACGTTTGTCGTAGCTATTCACACACTATTCACACACTGATGCGCCACTTAGACATTGAAAGTTGTATTCATATCTGATGCGCCTCCATGGTCTACTGGTAGGGCGTCCGCAAAGAGAGAGAAAGGTCAGGGGTTCCATCCCCGGCCTCACCATACCACAACTCATTAAAAGAGCGCAGGCAGGGTAACAACATATGCCATTAAGGGGCTAAAACAAAGTATACTGTGTCTGACAGTGGTATTCATGTTAACCTGCGGCATGGTATCTCAGTGGTCTAGTTTTATAAAACCAGCATTAGTTCGGACTAGTACACACAGCCACACACACGAGCATACACGTCGCTATATGAGTGCAATCATCTTGGAAGCGACGTCAAACCCAATTTTCCTTTGCCTCACCTCATATCTGATGCCTAGGAACACGTTAATCCTTGTGACTTTCGGAGACGCTAAATCCTATCCCTAAGTATCTCTGAATGAGGTTATGTTGTTTTCAGATCGAGGGAAGTATACAAGACGATGACGAAGGCAAAAACGGACAGTCAAACTTTATAATCAATGAAACGTCAGCCTTCACAATAGAAACAAGTAATGGAAAATCGTTCAAAATCCGAGTGAACACCACGCTTGACAGGGAGACAGTACCTGCATATTACTTAACCATTTACGCCGTAGATGGTGCAGCAGGCAGTGCAGTGCGGCAAACAAGTTCGACATATCTGAACATAAAGGTGGAGGATGTCAACGACAACCCTCCGGTTTTTACAACAACAACGACGTCCTTTCATGTGCAGGAGAACCAAGGTGGCGTTCTTGTTACAACGCTAAACGCTACAGACAGAGACGCGGGGTTGAATGGAAAGGTCTCCTTTCTAATAAAATCTGGTGGTCTTGGTTTCTTTAGTATTAATAATGGAACGCTCAAAACGACCAAAGGTATTGATAGGGAAGCTTATGCTTCTTTTGATTTGAATATTGTAGCCTTTGACGCTGGAAGTCCTCAGCTGAGTACATATCGGAATGTCACCATCGACATCATAGACGTGAATGATAACGCTCCTGTGTTTCATGGCATCGATGGCCAAGTGTTTCAAGTTGACGAAAATACTGCATGTTCGACGGATATTGTAACTGCTACTGCAACTGACTTAGATACAGGGAACAATGGTGTCATCGTATACAGTCTTGGAGGTAACGATAGTCACATGTTCTTAGTGGACAGCCACAACGGAGGTATTAGGTGTAAGACGCCACTAGATTATGAAAGAAAATCAGTGTATAAGGATTTAATCCTTTTAGCCACCGACCAGGGACAACCGCCTCTAAATTCAACATCTGCTATCACTGTGAATGTCTTGGACGTCAACGACAACCCTCCGATGTTCTCCAAGTCCAGCTACGAAGTTAATGTTACGAACACTGCGACGAAAGGTAGCATACCGCTTTTACTTCTCAGTGTACATGATGCTGATTCAGGAGAGAATGGAAATGTGTCATTATCTGTTGCAAGTTCACAGTATCCTAACCTATTTACAGTTACTTCAAACCTCATACGACTCACTACATCACCGCAGCTTACAAACAAAGACTATGTTTTCAACGTTATTGCAAACGACGGCGGAACTCCTTCGTTGTCTGCTACGACCACGGTAACGGTGCACGTCGACCAAAGTGTATCAAACGGACTAAAATTCAAGGACACTGACTTCAGTCTTACTGCCAAAGAAAACATTGACTACACAACGAAGGTTATTGGAAATGTCTCAGTAACGAATTCTGGAGAAAGTCCTTTGACGTTCTCAATAGATGCTGATTTCGGCAAATCGAACTTTTCAGTAAACAGTGCAGGGGATATTTTCTTTGCTGGCACATTTGACCGAGAGATACAAGACTCGTACAACCTAATTGTGAGAGTGACTCAACACGGTGCGGCTGATGTAGCAGTGGTAGGATATTCTTTTTCATGTATTACCAAACCAATTTAACGAGCATTTGTGTCTCCAGTTGAACCTCGGTGAAACGAGTAACATGTCCTGAACAATCGTCCTTTACGACTTTGACTTACCATAGACAACATACGTTTATGGACTAATATAGTTTGGACTAACGAGGCTCAACCTACACACGTGACCATTGGGTCTTTATGTACAGATGGGTATACACATTAGGTGTTAATGTACTTTGTGAGATGTTTTAAAGTCAACGATATGTGTTGTACAGGTATTTGATTACTAGTAGATATTGGTATAATTATGTTAAGCATTTACCTTTGTGTATGACGGAAATAGTGATCAAATAGGCTAAGTGTTCAGATTCTTTGGAGATTGTTGCTTTCATACTTCGTGTTTATGTATATTCGGGGCTGTATTTGGCAGGTGCGTGTCCATGTAGATGATGTCAACGACAACCCTCCGATCTTCACTCTTCAATCCGATCAACTGATCTTCAGCGAACCTGAGGACGTGAATGTCGACACAGTCATATCGACTGTCACTGCCAGTGACAAGGATGCGGGGGAAAACGGTCACGTGACATATTCCCTTCATCCAGTAACAGGTAATCTATTTTTATTGTAATGAATCCAGTTTACCACCAATGAAGATTCGGGTTAGAATTGGTTAACAGCAACCCATGCTTTTCGTAAGAGGCGACTAACGGGATGGGATGGTTGATGTATGTTTTTGTATCCCATGTGGGTAGATCGATGCTAATGATTTCAATCAATGGGTTGTCTGGTCTAGACTCCTTTGTTTACTGACCGCCATAACTGGAATAATGGCGTTAAACAGAAAACAACAAACCATCAAACCAACAATGGTTGGAGACTTTCAGATGTCAATAAATAACAATTAAGTAATATTGTTTTGCAAAAGTATGCTTGACTATTTTTTTGTTTTTAAATATGATGAAATAATGCCGATGCTTAAAACAATCGGACACTTAAGCCACATTGTCACGTTCTGGCATATTTCATAATCATTCCTACAGTAAACAGTAACAAATGTTCAAAATGCAAGAACACGACAAGTGATATTTATCAACTATTCATGTACATATCATTTCAGATTTTTCGATACACCCAACCAAAGGCAAATTAAAAGTAGCCAACGGCCTCGATGCGGATAATCCCTCTCGTCGGTCTTACAATATAACAATAACGGTATGGGTGTGAACGAGTCATTGTCGTATTAGCACTATCTCAGCGTTGTTGCAACAATGTGAAGGAACGGAGAGTCAAAGCGTGTTCTTGGTGTCATCGCAGATGAAGCAAAACTGCGGAATCTTGTTTCCTGACGTATTTAAAAATTGAAATTGTATTTGATCTCATTTAATATTTTTAGAGTTCATGATTTGTTCATAATGACGTCATGGGAGCAAGTGAGAAAGTACAATGTGGTTTATGATGTTGAACGAAATATTGTAGCTTTACCACAGTGACGATGAAAAAACATGTACATTGCTGTATACCGTTTCTCATGAGATAAAATTTGTCATTGTTTACTGACCGTCGTGTTGGTACCGTGACTGGTAGATATACATAAAAATAGCTTTATTAAGGCCTTTATAGGGGCATATTCAACTGCCTAAAGCCTTAATAGTTATCCATCCTCGGCAGTGTTTAAATCATATGCATGTTCAGTACATGTGTAAGATATTTTAGGAAGATATATTCTGTTACTGTTATTCCCCAATCAATTGTTACAGAAATAATGTTACGCATAACTCTTGTCATCTACGTCTACTGTTATTGTGCATCGCTTTGCAATTCAGAGAGAAAATGTAAGTAAACGTAAAATAAAGTAAAAGTGCAATTTCTAAATATTCTTGATCGCTTGAGCCACCCTCTAATAAGATTTAGATAAGGTTGGAAGCCTTTGGTGGCCCAGTCGTCCCTTGGACACGCTGGACCCTATATATCGTAGGTTCGAATCCCGGTTTCAGGGTTTGTCTTCACCATACACGTCCTTTTGGGTTTCACCAAGGTGTTAAGCGCTTGAGATCTGTATCACTTTGGGCTTTCTTCCCACACTAAGCTTACACGCCGCGATGTAACAGGAATTCTGTTGAACGTTTATTAAACTCTTTTTTTCTATTTGCAGGCGACGGACAATGGTATTCCAAGAAAAGGTGCAACTGTAACGGCAACAGTCCTTGTGACCGACGTCAACGACAACTCTCCAGTGTTCAGTTCACCGACGTACTCTTTCAGCGTAAAGGAAAACGCCGCTGTTAACTCTGAGGTCAGGTTGTTGACACGGGAGTACGAAGGAAATTGAAATCTGAGACGTGACACAAACCTATGACATGTTTTATTCATAACCATTTTGGTCCATCTTCCCGGGGCAAGAGAGTTAACTGACGATAAAAGTCCAGTTTCCACCCTTGCCGAACTAGGCTTGAATTCCTGGGCTCGATCGTAGCGCCACCAGTGGCTTTAGCGAGGTATGTCCCTATGGACCAATCAGATTCCACCTCTCGTATTACATGTGATGGCTCCAAACCAAATGGCGACGCTCGGTCAAGACGATCTGATCGATAATCCATATTTATAGTGTGATAAAACGGGTCTTACATCGCGAAGTGCACCAAATCAATCGAGCACCTTGATTAAAAACATACAAGGATTTGGCGGAATACATGCTTTGTAAATCCTGCAATTGCACGACGGTTTTCGAACCGGATTTCGATTTTCGTTGCGCGATTTTGTTAGACTCGTTAGTCAAGCCAAAATGTAACTCCGTAATATCAGCTAAGTTCGGCAAGGCCGGAAACTGGACTTTTATAGTCAGTTAACTCTCTTGCCTCGGGAAGATGCGGTCAAAATATTGGGGTTTTGGTATCCAAGCATGTAAAACATATTGTGGCCACATCCAAATTTATTAGTCACTGCGTTCCATTGCCATGTTGGTGCCTTTGTTTTTATGTCTGCTAACACTGTATCTTTTAATTAATGACGATGGTTTTAATACAAAGGTGTCCACAATACAAGCTACAGACGACGACTACAGCAAGGACACCAATGGCTTGGTCAGCTACGATATGGCGACATCAACACAGCCATGCCCTTTCTTCATTAAAGAAGGTAGGAACTCACACGACGGTAGATTCCCAATACCACTATAATTTTATGCTAAAATTAATGTTTTGTGTTACATAGCCGAACACAGTGAACCCATATTTGAATGCGATCCTTTCCTTTGAGTTTGAAATAGGTTTTAACGCATCGTAAATGTGATCGCTTGGGTAATACAATTCATGACATATTTTGCCGTTATGGTATGGTCTTCCTCAAGTCCCATGTATGAATCTGATGTTTCTCCACGGTTATATAGGTCCATGGTTTCTCGGTGTGTAGGTATCTTTGCGTTTCTGTATGATACTTAAGTTGTTGTTTGTCACTGATTCACTCAGTTCGTGCATCCATTGTTACGTAATAGTTTAGATAATATTCCTTATTTATAAGGATTTGATATTTTGTGCACAAATAGTGTGGATGGCGGGTGCTACCGGTAGGGCAGGACACGGTTGTCCTTGTCGTGAACACCTGGTGTCATCACTGATTTTCAGTGGTCCATTCATATACATTTCACAGTTATTTTGCCATGTACGCCAAATTTGTATCAGTTTTGGAGGATAATCTAGACTGGGTATTCTCTTGCATTGACAATATATATTATAATAACGTGCCACCTTAAAGTAGAAGTGAATCATAACAAACGCGAACTGGGCTCCTTGCTTAACCAGTTGCAGTGTCTTAAACAGCAGGTCAACCCGTATTACAACGAATATGATGAAACTTTGAAAAAAGAAACACACGCTTGTGGTAACCTGGAGTTGCATGTCAAAAGTAAATATGAATGTATATCTTTGATGAACTGCCACGTCTGTAAATATCGGTACAATGGAAAATGTCCCCTAACTGTAAGGCAGAAGTCTAATTTACTTGGGTTTTTCGATAACGTTTGTATGTTTCGTTGGGATGGGAGCGAAGTTAGCTTGACCTGAAAAATCCCAGATTCACTACACACACAAACATATTCATTTGAGAGTACGACCCGTGAAGATCCGGGGTAGAACGGGTAAAAGGCGACCATGATTGTCGTAAGAGGCGACTAACGGGTCGTCAGGGTTGCTGACTTTGGTTGATGCATGTCATCGTAGCCCAATTGATGCTTATGATGTCAATCACTAAATTGTCTGGTCCAGACACGATTATTTACAGACAGCGGTCATATAGCTGGAATATTGCTGGGTGCAACAAGCATGAGAGCACACGCACGTCATACAATATCGTACTCAATATATTCATCACTTGTAGGCGGTTTCCCAAATTAAGAATTCACTAATTTTAGTTTCAGATCCAAACACTAACGATGTACAGGGCAGCATCCAGGTCAAGGAGACACTGGACTATGAAAGTGTCAGGGCATACACGTGTATAGTCACGGCGCATGACAACCCAGAACGGTCCAGTCAGAAGAGCAGCACAGCCACAGTCAACATTGCTGTGGAGGATGTTAACGATAACGTCCCATTTTTTCTGAACGAGCCCTACATCGCCAATGTCAGTCGAGAAGGCGCAGAGAAAACTTTCACTTTTAACGTCACCGCCGACGATGTCGATACGGATGCAGTCAATGGTCAAATCCAATACAGCCTAGCAGACGGTAACAAATATATTTTGAAGTCTATGAATTTTTAGTAGTAGAATCCGGTGATAGATATCATGAGCATCGATCTACGCAATTGGGATACGATGACATGCAATAACGTAGCTAGTTAGTCGCCTCTTCCGACAAGCAGTGTCGTCTCTTACGCCAATCTGCTGATGATGACCTATATTCTAACCGGATCTTCACGTGTAGTAGTAGTAGTAGTAGTAGTTGTAGTATTATTATTATTATTATTATTATTATTAGTAGTAGTAGTAGTAGTAGTAGTAATAGTAGTAGTAGTAGTAGTAGTAGTAGTAGTAGTAGCAATAACAGCAACAGTAATAGTAACAGTAGTAGAATTGTTTTTATAATACATTATCATATAAAACTATCTGTACACAATAGAGATCAATAACTATCTGAAATATCTAGTTAAGTATATGTTTTAATACCCTATGTGTATGTTAAAATTATCCTCATATGATGCTTCGCAAATGTTTGGATTTTCGAAATTTTTATCGTCATATTGGTAAATTATTTTTGACATGGAATTATCTTCAGATCTGAAGACAACCAATCCGCTTTTCAAGATCGATCCGTTCACGGGGACTGTGTCAGTTGTGGACTCCCTTGCAACTGTTCCTGATTTTTTTAATTTGACCATAACAGCCAAAGATACCAAGCATAGCAACAGCACAACAGTAAGTAAAGACTGTCACTAATATAGATAATAATTAAGTTATCCATATATTTCAGGTACATGGCAAATAGTTCAAGGCTTCACCTGATGAAGGAGGAAGAAGTAGCTCTGAAACGTCGTATAAAGTAAAATTGAAGTTGCTATCCATAAAACATGTCATGATTTCAAATAGTGCGTAGATTTTGGGAAGTACAGGTGTTGAATCTTTATGAAAGGTAAAACAGATAAAAAAGGATATTTGCCATGATGAATTCATTGCCGTAGTTTGTCTTCATCTGCTTGGGACATACTTTTGTGTTTCCAGCTCACCATTTACATCATGGACAATAATCAGAGGCCAATGTTTATAAAGCCAAAGTACACCATCAGTATCGTCGAGGAAAGGGAGATCCTCAAGCCACTTATCCTCACCAAAGTGACAGCGAAAGACGATAACAAGCCAACCTGTAACTGCACGTATGAAATAGGTAGGACGCAGCAGGTGCCCCAAGTTATTGTGATAGCGCTTGGTGACTTAAGGTCAACCTGCAACTCTACGTATGAAATAGGTAAGACACAACAGGTGCCCGATGTCGGTGTGATAGCGCTTGGTGACTTTAGGTCACCCTATAACTGCACGTATGAAATAGGTAAGACACAACAGGAGCCCGATGTCGGTATGATAGCGCTTGGTGACTTTAGGTCACCCTATAACTGCATGTATGAAATAGGTAAGACACAACAGGTGCCCGATGTCGGTGTGATAGCGCTTGATGACTTTAGGTCATTCTGTAACTGCACGTATGAAATAGGTAAGACACAACAGGAGCCCGATGTCGGTGTGATAGCGCTTGATGACTTTAGGTCAATCTGCAACTGCACGTATGAAATAGGTAAGACACAACAGGAGCCCGATGTCGGTGTGATAGCGCTTGATGACTTTAGGTCATTCTGCAACTGCATGTATGAAATTGGTAAGACACAACAGGAGCCCGATGTCGGTGTGATAGCGCTTGATGACTTCAGGTCAACCTGTAACTGCATGTATGAAATAGGTAAGACACAACAGGAGCCCGATGTCGGTGTGATAGCGCTTGATGACTTTAGGTCATTCTGCAACTGCACGTATGAAATTGGTAAGACACAACAGGAGCCCGATGTCGGTGTGATAGCGCTTGATGACTTTAGGTCATTCTGTAACTGCACGTATGAAATTGGTAAGACACAACAGGAGCCCGATGTCGGTGTGATAGCGCTTGATGACTTTAGGTCAACCTGTAACTGCATGTATGAAATAGGTAAGACACAACAGGAGCCCGATGTCGGTGTGATAGCGCTTGATGACTTTAGGACAACCTGTAACTGCACGTATGAAATAGGTAAGACACAACAGGAGCCCGATGTCGGTGTGATAGCGCTTGGTGACTTTAGGTCACCCTATAACTGCACGTATGAAATAGGTAAGACACAACAGGAGCCCGATGTCGGTGTGATAGCGCTTGATGACTTTAGGTCAACCTGTAACTGCACGTATGACATAGGTAAGACACAACAGGTGCCCGATGTCGGTGTGATAGCGCTTGATGACTTTAGGTCAACCTGTAACTGCACGTATGAAATTGGTAAGACACAACAGGAGCCCGATGTCGGTGTGATAGCGCTTGATGACTTTAGGTCAATCTGCAACTGCACGTATGAAATTGGTAAGACACAACAGGAGCCCGATGTCGGTGTGATAGCGCTTGATGACTTTAGGTCATTCTGCAACTGCACGTATGAAATTGGTAAGACACAACAGGAGCCCGATGTCGGTGTGATAGCGCTTGATGACTTTAGGTCAACCTGTAACTGCACGTATGAAATTGGTAAGACACAACAGGAGCCCGATGTCGGTGTGATAGCGCTTGATAACTTTAGGTCAACCTGCAACTGCATGTATGAAATAGGTAAGACACAACAGGAGCCCGATGTCGGTGTGATAGCGCTTGATGACTTTAGGTCAACCTGCAACTGCATGTATGAAATAGGTAAGACACAACAGGAGCCCGATGTCGGTGTGATAGCGCTTTATGACAAAAGACCAACATGTAACTGAAATGGGTAAAACATAGCAGGAGCCCTATCTTGAATTGATTCTCCTATTGTGTGTCGTATTATTGGTACACATGGATCTGCTGCCGTGACGATGACGACAGACACAAGTTTCTAATATCACTTGTAAACCTGGTCTAGCCTCGGTTATTTACAGACCACCGCCACATAGCTTGACTTAACCAACCAAATCTTCTTGTTAAATCAAATCAGCACAAATCATTACCAACTATAAATATATTTGCGATGACGATTCTAGTGTCACATGTTCTTTCCAGATGGTTCAGAATATTTTACTATGGATAAAACGACCGGAAGCGTCCTTCAGGTAAAGTCTGTGGACAGAGAAACAACGGGTAATAATATAACGCTACATATCACAGCCACTGACCACGGGTCTCCTCCAAAGTCTACCGCTACGTTGCTTGTGATCAACATCGTTGACATCAACGACAATGCCCCATTCCTCAAGTCCCAGAACTTTACAGTTTCCCAGGTATGTCTGTTTTGCTGACACTGCATATATGTTTGCTCACGTATGTTATTTCTTCCAATGCTTTCGTTTGATTTAAATTTTAAATTTGTGGGATAGGTCGGTGTTTGTATACTGAAGAAAAAGTCTACAGTTCTGTGCTTTACTGTCTAGAGTTGCGTCCTTTTATAATGCCAGGATCCGCTGACCGTGGCTCCGAATCCCGATTCGCCGAGCTTTTGGGTCTTTTTTATCTTACATCGCAATCTCATCCTATCTTATTCCCATGCATACAAGTGGGGGATGAAGTCTAATCGTTGTCAAGAAATATGTAATTGTCTACTGGAAGAAATGCGGGTGGCACAGTCGTCTTAAGCGCCGCAATTCGCTGTGCAGAGTTGCGTCCCTTGGACACGCCGGAAACCTATGATTGTGTGTTCGAATCCATGTTCGCCCCGATTATGTTTCTAGGTGTGTCAGCACCATACCCGTACTCGTGGGTTTCACCGAAGTGGTAAACGTCTGAGACCTGCATCACTTCGGGCTTTCCTCCCACATTAAGCCGTGATATAACTGGAATACTGTTAAAAGCGGCGTTAAACCCAACTCACAACAACAACAACACAAGCGTTTGATACTATACATTGAATCGTTTAAGGCACAAATATATCTCCTCTGAAGACATATAAAATAATTCCAAGTCACCGTGACATCATACTTTATTGCAGAAGGCACCGATCAACACAGTAATCAGCCACGTAGCTTATACAGACGAGGATGAACCGTCAACATCACGTCCACGTTTCACCACTATGTTCAACACCAACAACAGCATACGACTCCGTGAAGATGGAGCGCTGGTTGTAACTCGATCTCTTTGGAACCCTGAGATGGAGAGTTATGATATTACGGTAATGATAATTCACTGGGCCAAATCTACCTCGGTAAAAGAAAAAAATCAAAAGTAGCGTGTTTACATTTAAATAATGTCATTATGTAGTTTGACGTGTCGCTGAAAGAAATTGTCAATTTCACAGAATATCGAACATTTCAGATACCGGTTCATTGTGATGCCACTTATCCGCTTCAACTTGTGTCCTTTGACTGCTAGTAATATAAATTACATAAGCAAGGGCTGTGGGTCTTGAATGTCGCAGTTATTTATTCACTTAATTGACAATGCGAGGTTATATTGTCATATGAGTACACTCGCCTGAGCGTATTATTGCATCGTGATATACAGACAGTTTTCTCCAGCCTTTAAATTATTTTTTATTGGTTGATTGAGTATGGTTTTGTGCCGCCTGTATCAGTATTCCAGCGTTAAATACCACGAGTGACACACGAAATGGGCGTTACTTGTACATACCACGTGGGGAGAATCACACCAGGGCGAACATAATAGTGAATCATAAACACATGCTATTGAGAAGTCGGAATCGTAATGGAATCTGCTTTTAGCAAAGTTTTCTTGTTATTATGGAAAGGGTTTTGGCGATTATATTTATTGTTTCGGAAGTGATATACTTTTATCAGAACACAGACACATGTCTCTGTAAATGATCTATGGTTGTATGACTTGCTTTTGTATTTTACTTTATTAATAAATGCTTCCTCTGATTTCATCATATGATATGAACCATAAATGTTCGGTGACAGCTTAGACATTTATCAATATAAGTAGACTTTCATACGTAGGTATTTCCAAAATATAAATTGTAGTTTGGGACGTATAAACTTATAGAAGATTCGTGCTTAACACCAGGTGACATATAAAGATTTCTGTATGTGGTTCATTGACACCTTCGTGTAATCATTTAACGTTATCATTCTCAGATATTTGGTTAAGACCACATCAAGGAAAATTCGTGCTTCTTATCAAAACACCTCTAACATTTCTTACCGATCCTAATAATGTGTATTTTCCCCCAAGTCGCATGCCAGACAATATTTTAATTTAGAACAGTAACTTGAGTCAAAATTTAGAAAAACGCCACCCAGTGAAATGAGGCAATAGTTTCTTCTGTGCCAGCCTATCGCCGATTATAGCTGTCAGATTGCTGATGCGGCGTTAAATAACTCACTCACTCACTCACTCACTCACTCACTCACTCACTCACTCACTCACTCACTCACTCACTCACTCACTCACTCACTCACTCACTCACTCACTCACTCACTCACTCACTCACTCACTCACTCACTCACTCACTCACTCACTCACTCGACACAATAGGTAAGATGTTAGGAACGGTTACACCTGCTAACCCGTACGTATCATTCCTTGTCACCAGATTGTGACGCAGGTTCTGGACAGGAAGAATGTCATCCAAGCGCTCCCCGAACACAGGAACTACACTGCAGAAAAGGAACATAAAAATACAGCCTCGGTCATCATCACTATACACCAGAAAAACAACACATATGCTCCACAGTTTACACGAGGTAAGCACGAATTTGTTACTCAACATTTCTTGTTTTATTCTTTCACTTTTCCTCTGACAAGAGATAGGTCTTTGTAGAGTGAATCATCCGAAGGCATAAACATTAAGAACTGCGAGTTTTTTTAGGAATGTGAAAACATTCAAGGCCTTATTAATCAAAGCTTTCAAAATGTTCTGTGGTAGACGTGTGGAGAACATATTCAAATTTTACGTATCAGAGAACAATAATGTCTGAAGCAATTCCCTTTTTGCCTTGAACCATATGTTCCATTTTTTTTTCGGGGGATCATTGACTAGCCTTTGCATGCCTTTATGGTGGAATGCTTATGATTCAGGAAATTCGATGCACTAAACCTTTATCATATATGTGGTTAAAAGTCCTTTTACGTGTGCTTGTATCAAAATAATACATAAATAATTCGACCAGTGAAGATCCGGGTTAGAATAGGTCTTCAGGTACCCATGCTTGCCGTAAACGACGACTAACGGGATCGGGTGGTCAGGCTCGCTGACGTGGTTGATGCATGTCATCGTATCCCAATTGCATGGATCGATGCTCTTGATGTCATTCACTGGATTGTCTTGACAAGACTCGATTATTTTCAGATCGCCGTCACATAGCTTGAATATTGCTGAGAGCGGCGTTAAACAACAAACAAACAAACATAAATAAATAACTCATTTACCGATATTACAGAGTATGTTTGCACCATCAGGTACATATACCACGGAGCTCTCCACTACAGCCAGGAGCTCCCAAGAGGTTCCAGTACCAGGATTCAAGGCAGTAGACAAGGACGGCGACAACATTACATATGCCATACTTTCCGGCAACTTCAGGGTAAGCCTGCGCATTGCCGAATGGTCCAACTGTAATTGCACAATTTAACAAAGCTATTACTATTCACCTTATGCGAGCTTAGTTTGAGTCAGTTTGAGTCATTTCACGTTGGTCCGGGGTAGAATAGGTCTTCAGCAACGCATGCTTGCTGTAAAAGGCGACTATGCTTATCGTAATAATGCGACTATGCTTATCGTAAAAAGGCGACTAACGGGATCGGGTGGTCAGGCTCGCTGACTTGGTTAATGCATGTCATAGTATCCGAATTACGTGGATCGATGCTCATGATGTCATTACTAGATTGTCTGGTCCAGACTCGATTATTTACAGACCGCCGTCTTATAGTTGGAATATTGCTGATTGCGGCGTTAAACAACAAACAAACAAACAAACATTTCACGTAGAGTCAGCTTATTGTGAGAGGAAGTAGGAGGCCAAATATCTCGTTTATGTAGAAACTCTCTTCTATCACGGATATGGTGTTGACAAACCTTTGACACAACTCAGAATAAATCTGGGATTCCAGCTCTTGATAATAAGATCCTGGCACACTTCCGAGACGCAACTCAAAAAATGAATAATGGTTTCCTTACGACTCATTGTCATGATCACTAGCTTGCTTTTGTATTGATAAATTTGTCTAGATTAGAAACCTTGCATTCAAACTTGCTACCTCTGCATACTGCTCGGAGTCATGGTACCATGGTCTGTTTTTCAAATAATTGTTTTGCTGTTTCAGGATACTTTCAGGATAAATAATGTAACTGGTGCAATCACGTTGACGTACGACATAGATGTTCATGTTCCTCATGTCATAAGCCTCACTATCAAAGCAACTGATGACGCCGAAGTGTTTAAGACAGGGTAAATGATTGTTCTTTTCATATCTTCACTTTTTGGTCATAGCATCATTGAAATATGATAATCACAGTATGAATTTCACATTTTGAATCAACCAGTCCACCAGTAGCGTTTCTTTGGAATAGCCTTGCCAGCTGTTTGAACAGACCTTGCCTTCTTTGGAGGAGGAGACGTTTGATATTTCCACTGCTATGACAACATTTCTGATTAGGAGCTAGCGTGCTGAAACATTTATTGTTGTCAATAATTCCTTACAGTATTCTCAGAGTTTTCATAACACATTTTAGTCTGTTGTCTTGGCTGTGTGACATGAAATGACTCGTCGATCATCCATAATCACATCATGTATTTTGTGAACTTTCTCCCCAGTGGTGGCAGTTGAAGGTCTTTCTGATCTTGGGTCACCCTCGAGTTTCTCTATGTCACTTTTGAATTCCGCTGCGCAATTCTTAACGCCTGCAAAGGAAGGATCGTCATGTCCTGAAGTTGGCAACATGTCCACATGGCTGACTACTGGAACCCGCCCCTTCAGTTGGAGATGCTTGACAGTGCGAACGCCAATTTTGTCAATTTTAATCAACAGAGAATAATTAGTAACTTTGATGTCTGGTTGTGTATTTGGTTCACATGCCGCATGACAGAGTGGAAAGTTTTGTACTTAATACATGCAAACTGTTATCTGTGTACGATACATCATTCGTAGTTATGCGCAGAACGTTAAAGACATGTCAAACAGTTAGTCAGTTCGATTTTACGTCACTTTTAGCAATATTCCAACAATATCACGGCGGGAAACTCAAGGCGTGGGAATCAAACAATGTACCCAAGTGGGGAATCGAAACCGGGGTTTCGGTGTAACGAACGAACCTATAGGCTACCCGCAGCCCGACCTGCGTTTGCATATATTTTAGAACTTGCATTTCAGGAAATAAGACCCTTCCGGGTTTTCGTCTATATTTGTGAAATATCAAATTGATGGATTCATGAACAGTCACACTATTAAGTGTCATAATGTATAAGCAACAGCATAAACAGTATTGCGCATTGTTTTATATAAATATTATCCGAATATCACTGAAACTTTGGGTACTTCTTTTAATATTACAATGGTTAATCGAGTGTACGTATTATATGACATTAATTTTATTTTCATCAGGGATTACATCACTTTAACTTAGTTACATTTGTGTGTAGGTTTCACCATAATCTCGTTGTTTGTCATGTTTCAGAACGTGTTTGGTTCAGATTACACTTGAAGGCTCATCAAGCAGGCAATGTTATTCTCCCTCTGAGCTGAGCCAACAGGTCGCGTCCAACACATCGCCACAGACACAGTTCATTGCTCCCCTTGGTGTTACGGCGGGCCTGTTGGCCCTAGCGATCATCGTATGCCTTGTCCTCATCGTCAAGTATGTACAGAAATGACCACGCAGTGATTGTATGTTTGTTTGTTGTTTAACGCCGCACTCAGCAATATTCCAGCTATATGACGGCGGTCTGTAAATAATCGAGTCTGAACCAGACAGTCCAACGATTGACATCATGAGCATTGATCCACACAATTGGAATACGATGACATGCATCAACCAAGTCAGCGAGCCTTACCACCCGATCCTGTTAGTCGCCTCTTAATACAACCACTGTCGCATTTTACGGTACGAATGGGTATCTGAAGACCTGTTCTTAATCGGATGTTCACGACTCGATCACGCAGTGAAGGTTCCTTGGTGACAACAAGAATATCATTTCGATGTTAACGTTGATGTTGCAGTGTGTACAGAATAAACATCAGTGATGTTAAGCCGAAGGCGTGTTTGAAAGGATGGATATACAATATGGTCTTGGCATCATATATGCCTATAAGCACCTTTCGAATTAGTTCATGAAAGCAAAGCATAAAGATACGATCACAAAGTGGCTCGCTACTGTCATAGTACAGTTGTTCTGAAGTGTTGTGAAGGTAGCTGTAAAAAGCATATAGTTTCCGTAGGCAGCTAGGGTTGTATACTCCACATGGAGTTGAGAATGATAACTGGAATGCACACTGATCTATGGTCGGGGAAGAAATAACCGCATTTGAGCAGATACTACTACCTGAGAAAGTGCGGTATAAAAATTACATGTTTTAAATATTAAAAATAATAATAATAATAATGATGATGATAATGAAAATAAAGATAATAAAAATAATTGTCATGTCAATTACATGTTTTTTACACTATTATATGCTATAAGCAGCTGTTATACATAGCATGTGTGTAATGCGAAAACTCTTCTGTAGACTTCGTCTGAAAAAAAGAAACGACACATCTGTAACGAATGCAACAACGAACCAGACCAACTACAGCAACTTATCTAAAGCCAGAGAAACTCCCGAACCTTACGAGCCGCTTGCTGATCCAAATCGATTTGTGAGTAGTAATGATTACCTGTTCATGCACGTGAGTGATTTTTATCACTGAGCGAAGCTTGGACTAATGTGTGAGGCCGCACCACGGCTCGTCAGCTTCATGTGGGACCCAATGTGACGCTTAGCAATTTGGTGAACCATGACTGCGGATTGCGTGTGGACAAACCAATAATCCACGATCGAATCTTGGATTCGAACCCAGGACAAGCAGACAACAACTGTGTGTTTAGCACTGCACGTGTTTTTCGCCTTAGTCCAATGTGTCACATGTGACGCATTTTCTATGAAACTAATTCTAGACCCTTTGAAACACATCAGTACATGGCTGTTCAAAGGTAAACCTTTGAATGTTCAATTTAACAGTAACGGGCTCAGTTTCACCAGAGTATAGATGCAATATTCACTTGTTACTTGTTATTGCAGTCGGAGGAGCCAGTGAGCAATCCAGGATATATTTCACACGACAGGAGGTAAAGTACTTTCAGTCTGTGTCCTTGTCTCAGTTCTATAAAGGTACATGATACGGTCATTTCCAAATATATATTTCCAAATATTTGTAATAAGCCATAAACATGTCCTTTCATGTGTTATCACCCATATCGAAAAAAAATGTAATTATGTCTGTCAGGTGTGCATGGCTGCTCTTTTTCGAGAAACGTGATATTGCCGCAATCCTTTGATTAATCTTGAAGCAGTGTGTGATCGTATTTATTGTTGAAATTCATTCTGTAATTTTGTAAAACGATGTATGTCCCTCTAGCTCCATTTACCTTCATATATTATGCCTAACGATTCGACCCGTGAAGATCCGGGGTAGAATAGATCTTCAGCAAGCCATTCTTGCCGTTAAAGGCGACTATGCTTGTCGTAAGAGGCGACTAACGGGATCGGGTGGTCAGGCTCGCTGACTTGGTTGATGCATGTCATGGTATCCCAATTGCGTGGATCGATGCTCATGATGTCAATCACTGGATTGTCTGGTCCAGACTCGATTACTTACAGACCGCCGTCATAAAGCTGGAATATTGCTGAGTGCGGCGTTACACAACAAACAAACCACAAACAAACTTAACAATTCATAATACCTTGAAGTAACTTGAATCGTCCTCCGTTGGTTTGTGACAGGCGCTCAATTTCTGTTGAAGTGCTACCTCTGACGTGAATTATATAGGCAATGTAATGTACCAGTATAACAGTGGTGAACATCTTTGTGTTTTAGTAGGACGAGTGCATGCGCACAACCGCCTCCACCCCCATGTGAACCCAGCCCAGTCAGCGATGAACAGCGGAGAGGACCATATAGACGCGGTGATGGGGGTAGAAGCTATGACGATCTTGAGAGGAGTCGCTTACCACGATATTAAGATTCTGAGAAAAAATACCAGAGGTGTTTTGTCGCGAATGATTTTGGATGCAGGTTCCGTTAGCATAATTGAGTATGCGGTTGCTCTCCGGCACTATGGTGAAGTTTGGTAGATATAGGTGGGGCCAACCATTGATGACAGAGCTAAAATGAAAATGATATCGAGTAACTAAAATTACCATTGCACCCGTGTATCATAATCATAATTGCTCTCTAGATGAACTATACACATTGATGAACTTGTTTTATGGTCAGAAACACACACATACACATACACACTACACACATACAAACGTGTATCAATACAATTTATGGTATGGCGTTTCATCACAGTTGAAATTGTCTGTAACATGTAAAGAAATTATGTTTTGTGGCCGAAGAGACCAACGCTCATGATGCAACAAATAAACATCAGAAGCTTCAACTTGAACTGATAGACGTAGATTTGAATTGGTTCTGCAGTGTACTTTCAGACTAACGATATTAACGATCGTCAAATGCACAAAATAGTTCACTTTCTCAGTTTTAACTTTTCTTACACACTGTCTATTGAAAACAGTTTCACTAGTTTCCTATTAAAAACAATCAGTAGTCCTCATATGGCCACGTATTTATATGCAAATGCGAGACAAAATACCGACATGTACATAAGTCTATTTTGCTATTTTAAACATTCCGATTATCCAGAGATTATACCTAACTTCCTTTCTATTATGATAAATAGGCTGGACCCATTCGGCACTAAAATCCCCGTTAGCACCCCTTAGCACAGAATTATTACCAGACGAATGTACCGCAATATTCATATTTTCATCCTGTTAACAATTCAGCTGTCCGTGTATGTGTGTTTTTATACGTGTATTTCGTTTTTCGTGATTGTGTACATATAATTTCGTGATTGTGTCCAACTTGTGATAGATGTAAGTATATAACTGAGCATTGTATTACTCTTCAAGCAAATCTATCTCTGTTACATCTATATTATCATGCCTTAGTCATATTGGTTTTGTGAGAGTGTATATTGTTTAACGCCATTGGTTCTGGTACGACAACAAGTAACTGATAGCATGAACATAGATCCACATCGCCAGTGTCCATTGAGAACAGGTCAGACATCCAAACACAGGGTGGGTAACGGTACCACTAGCTGTGCCAGCAGTGTCGCCATTTGGTATTAAATAATCCAATTAGATAATCTTTTTTAATGTTGCTGAATATGTTTACCACTCGTTTATATACTGTTTGTAAATATATAGATTCGAGCGATTTCTTCTTCGTTTTTTCTCTCTCCACACAAGCGCTTAACCAATTTTAAACGAATTGCAATTATTTATCAATAGAATAAACATTAATAGTTTTTTGAAATCATGTAGTAACGGTTAATGAGTGAGTGAGTTTGATTTAACGCCGTAACATGGCGTTAAAGGCTTTTTATGGGAGGCAAGACGTTTCCCTCTTTGGTGAAGCACGAGAACAATATGGTGTTGACAAACCTGGGATTCGAACTCATGATCATACGTGTAGGGCACGACTAAGCGACGCTGCACAGCTAAAAGCAACGTCTTAAGGACTCTGTCTTCCCCGCATCCTTTAGTCTTATAAAGTATTCTCAAACATGAACAAAATATCATTTTATGGTCAGACCACTGTATATACAACATATCTATTTCAACCAGCTTCAACCTTTTGAGGAACGATTGTGTGCTCTTTCTATAAATATTTCAAATAGCGACATACGACTCTTGCTAAAATAATTGTTTGATGAAAATGTTTGATGGGTGACCTGTGGAGGATGTTCGATGCGACATCAGCGCAATTCCCTATTTGACTGAACCATAATGTGTTTGTTTGTTCAGATGACTTGACTTTATGAAGGGTTGGGTTTCAGGTGGTAACCTCGGCTCACTCCATCTATTGTTGAAACGACGTCACATGAAACTTTGCGTGAAACTTATCAATGTCTGACCTCTTCAAGTATTTGCAACAGTGCGTTTATACGGCATCATGTTGCTATGGACCACAACGCAAACAGTACCAACTAATCGTTAAGCCAGAAACAATAATTTGTAAATGCTTAGTGAGAATAGCTGGAAAGAGCCATGCATCTGTAGGTGATATCCTACCTCATCGCCCCAAAACTACTATCCATATTTATGAAGGTATGAAAGTCAGATACGGTATTCTATTATTCGATCGTTCCAAATAAATGACATACAGTTTAGAATAAATGGTACTGAAGTAAACAGAGACAACGTCATCAATTTCCAAGTTGAACAGTATCACTGGACTCGGCAAATTCTCTAAAAAAGGTAGTTGAATTACGCATGATGATTCTTGTAATCACACCTTTCCGGAAAATCAGGAGATGAGTTATCACATTGTTATTTTTTAACAACGCTCATCATTTAGTTGTAGTATATGTAATGATACTTACAATTACACCTTTGTGCTTGTGCAAAACCAAGAGATGAGTATTGAGCAAAACATTTCATATTGTCCTTTTTTAATATATACTCAACATATTCAATGTTCGAAAAACCTTTAAAGGAGACTTCTTCTGGGCAATGCGTTTCCAGAACTAAAAGGGACTCGTTTAGTATATATGACAGGGTGATAGTGAGATGGATGATAGTATTGTTAAGAGGAGTTCGTACCCAGACATGAGGCAGGAACCCGCTCGGAAGGATTTTATTGTTCCTCCGGCATCCGCTATGCTTTAACACCAATTTCGATATCTGTGGTATCTGTGCTGTACGTTATAGAAAGTAATGTTAAACTAAATGAAAATGTTTCTAAACAAAATGCGACGAAAACCATTTCCCTAATGAGCAGAATTCTCAACTGAAAGCAGAGTTTTTGTACAATTGAAATGGAAATTTTCAGTGCAAGTTAAAAACCAGTCTAGATTATCCGCCGTAGCTTCATTAGATGAAATATGCATCATATTTGAAGAAAACATAAAATAACTAAGCGCATATTTTAGTCATAACTGGATCATGATTGTGAAGTAAAACTTCTTATTACCTGTACGTATTTTCTGCATCACAGTATGCAAGAAGAGGCTAATTATACACATTTGTTAATAAGTAAATGCAAGAAGTATAATCGTGCTTCCTTTTGTAATTAAGATGTGCTAATGCGATTTATTAACTGTCCCGCTGCAAATGAGTCTGTAAGAATCGTAGCGCGTGGTAGTTGAATGAATCGTACATAAAATACTCCAACATCCTTTTATTTCCTTAGCTGTGCCAGAGGCTGTGTCCTGATTTTGCTGACTCAAATGATCGCGTTTGATACAGATCCAGACACATATAATTCAGATCAACCACAGAATGGAGGAGGCGGGTAGAAAGGAATCTTTCGATGCAGTTCTTGGCAAATCCTTATGTGGTAGTTATTTCATTGCTTAAACTTCCCTTGAATTGAAACGGCGAAAGCTATATTGTTTCGTTTAAAATCGTGAGTGAGTGAGTGAGTTTTACGCCCCTTAAAGCGTTGTTCCAGAAATATCACGGTGAGGGACACTAGAAAGAGGCTTCACAACCCGGGTCATCGGCGTGACGAGCGAACGCTTTAACCACTAGGCTACCCCACCACCCCTAAGAAATACAAATTGGTATTGTAATGTTCATCAACTGGACAGTTTGCCTTTTTATAGGAATAGAACATTTCCACAAAAATATTTTGGACACACAACCCAGCATTTATGCTGCACTGCAGGCCAAACTAAAAGTTCTGTTGATATGAACTAATTGCAATGAAATCATATGGGTACAATTCTAGCATCAAATACTTTTTTTTAACAAGCATATACTTCCTAACAAACATAGTAAGTGAGTCATCAAGTATGGTTTTACAACGCTATTAACAATATTCCAGCGATATGACGACGTGCGACACCTGACACTGGCTTAATACATTATACAAATCCCTGTCGGGAATCGAAAAACATTTGCACTGTCGAGTGAGTGTGCTATCTGTTTACTACAACATGTCGTTATCTTCTTTAGAAGTGTTTGGTTATGTCTAAAGTAGAAGAAGCTTATCTGATAAACGTTCAACAATGGGGCCGTGGGAGCTGATTTTCAACTACCCTATGACAGATAGCAATATTCACGTCAGAACAAACGGATTATAACAGCCCCAGAGGACAATGAATAATATTTATCTCTTGATTTGGTTCTCACTTCCATTATTGGTCCCATGTGGTAACTATCAAGAACAGGATGAACAGATTTTCTGGCCAAGTTCAATATTTATATCCAGAAGTGGATTTCAAAGAAGACAATCAGAAGACACGAAGGACAATTCACCTGGTGTGCCAGTTTTAAACGGATACCACATTAAGCAACACAAACGTCAGTATTATGACGGCAAGAAGGACTTGCATAAACGTTTTATGAATCTGTCGCCGAACAGGACTACCATACCCCCATGTGCTTCTGTTCTACAATTCAATGCATCTCGAAATACATCTCATTATTTCAACAATACCTGCAACAATGTGTTTGGTCATGGCAACTCGAGTTTACAGATTGTCCTTGCACCCGGGCTAATGGAGCCACTGCTGAGACTGCAGATGTCTCAAGATGGAAGGAAGCTGTTGGCGAGCTTGTCTTACATGTTCAGGAATCTAAGCGAGAAGGACGTAAACATGATATCTTCCATTCTGCCTCGGGCCAATCCGTATATAGCCCCAGGGGGAGGCTTCATCCGACTCGTGCACAGTTTATGGGCATCCGGAGATGGAAAACAATTCATCCTCAGGATGGTGCGGAATCTCAACAACATCACATCCCGCCAAATCTCAACTGTACTGAATCTCATGTCTTCACAGAGAACGTCAACACGGCTTTCAGTGTTCACATATTTCCTGTCGGACAAAGCCGGACATGATCTAGTGAATGGTATCTTTGGTAGAAACGTCAGTGACAGTCTTCTAAAGTATGTGTCTTTCATATCCCAACTGCACAACAACACTCGACTTAGCATTTTCAACGATATTGTTTCACCTGGAAGCCATCTTAATACAATATTAATGGATAAAATCAGACATAACATGACATTTGATGTCACAAGAGGTAAGTTAAGAGACATTCATCAAATATACTATGAACGATGCCCTTGTTAAACAAACTGCCGGGCAAAAGAAAGTCTACACTCATGTTTGAAGGGGGATAAAATGAAACAAACAAGAAATGGTTTTTCGATGGTGATGCATTTGATACGGGCATCAGAGTGTTTTGGGTCATACGTTTTGTAGCCTAGTAACGTTTGGATAACGTGTGCAATTCAAGCGTATGCTTTCTTATGCCCTGCAGTTTATCTTCATGTTTCAATAACCATATGGTTAAAAGAAAAACACGACAGTAACATTCTTTTCCATTTTTACTTGTGTTCATGTCACACTGCATATCGATGGGAAACTGCCCCAACCTGTATATTTCGTTTTCTTTCATTTGTGTATTCGAGTTAATTTTACCTTTACAAGATATCTACATAAATGTCGATGTAAGCTGACCCACAGTGAAAGGCATTACACGTTTGATTACCGTGACCTTCCCGTGTAGCCACACTTCCTGCATATGTACAAACAACATAAGTACATTTTAGGTCAATCGTCCCTTAAATGTATTATGTTCTATCTGTATGATCGATGTTCTTTTCCGGCCGGGTCAGGCATGTATGTTTGATTACCGTGACCTTCCCGTGTAGCCACACTTCCTGCATATGTACAAACAACATAAGTACATTTTAGGTCAATCGTCCCTTAAATGTATTATGTTCTATCTGTATGATCGATGTTCTCTTCCGGCCGGGTCAGGAATGTATGTTTGATTACCGTGACCTTCCCGTGTAGCCACATTTCCTGCATATGTACAAACAACATAACTACTTTTTAGGTCAATCGTCCCTTAAATGTATTATGTTCTATCTGTATGATCGATGTTCTATTGCACAGTTAAATTAAATGACTTGTATACAGATCCATTTGATGTGAATTATGGTGTTAAACAAGGCTGTAAATTATCCCAAACTTTATTTTCTATTTACATCAATGGTCTTGCTGAGGAATTGAAAGGTTTACAATGTGGAATTGAAATAGAGAACTATATGTTATCTGTTCTCCTATATGCGGATGACCTAGCATTAATCGCCCCGGATGAAGATTCTCTACAGACAATGCTATGTATACTCAGTGAATGGTGCAGAAAGTGGAGGTTAGAAATAAACTGTGAGACAACACAAGCTGTGTATTTCAGACCCAAGTCTACAATCATTTCAGAATACCAGTTTAAATGTGGCTTAAATGTTGTACCATATACAGAGAGCTATAGATACCTGGGCATCTGGTTGAATCAACATATGACCATGCATAAGACTGTAAAAGAACTTTGTAAATCTGACAGTAGAGCACTATCTGCATTGTACACTAAATTTAGAAGTTGTGGTGGGATGTCCTATGAAGTGTATACCAAGTTGTACAATACCCTTATCAAGCCTGTTTTGTTCTATGGAGCTGGTATATGGGGGATTAACAAATACAGGGAGGTGCAAGTCATCCAAAACAAAGCTTGTAGATTTTTTCTAGTAACCGGTCAAAATGCATCTAACTTGGCGATTCGCAGCGATATGAGATGGTCATCAAGTAATGTGGATCAAAAGATAGAATTATTTAGACAATTCTTCAGATGTGAATCAATGCCAGATAGCAGAATTCCAAATATTATTCATAAGTGGGCAATGTATCAAAGTAAATCTCTTGATAAAAGAACTGAAATGCGGATACGAGACTTAAATGTGGAACGGATTATCAGTGACAGTGACAATGACAAGAAAAAAGTGAACTTACTGAAGGATATCTTGAAAGAGAAAGATAGTAAATCATGGTGTAAACAAGTGTGGGATGATGAGAACAAACCAAATGGTAACAAGCTAAGGACTTTCAGACTTTTCAAATTTGATGTGAATGTGAGCCACTATGTGAAATGTGTGAAGCGAAGGGATTATCGAAGTGTTTTATCTAAGTTTAGGTGTGGTAACCTCCCTCTATTAGTCGAAACAGGCCGCTATTCCAAGCCACCTATTCCTTTAAATGATAGAATATGTAAATTTTGTGCAGAAAAAAATAATTATGTTATTGAGGATGAGATCACACTTTTTAATAGATTGTTTTGTATACAGTGACCTGAGATATCAACTACTACACAAGGCAGCTGAATTAAATCAAGACTTTTATTATTTTAATAGCATTCAGCAATTATCTTATTTGATGCAAGAAGTGATTTTACAGCCGCTTTTAGCAACACATTATACAGCATGTATAGAAGGAGAGTGCATCTCTTCTAGTCTTAACATTGTATATAATATTTTTATTTTGTGTTTTATATTTAATAAAGTTATATGTTTTAAATGCTTTTATAGTGTCTCATAAGCCCTAGAGGCTGGATATTGTACTTTTAATGGCAACTTGCTTTTGTTTAAAATGTGTTTTATGTACAATATGTGACACTTAAATAAACATTTCTTCTTCTATTCCGGCCGGGTCAGGCATGCAAAACTGTTCCTGTAAAAACAATGTCAACGTAAAGCCTCCTGAAGCAGCGCTTGGACAATCCTGTGAACATTCAAAATGTCAAGTGAAACACAGTGTCTGCTGTCGAGGCAATGATGGGATTTTGTCCTGCATTTGTTTGTCGGGATACCTCAGAGCAGTCAATGGAACATGCATTACTGGTAAGTTCATGATAGACATGACCTACCCAAAAAATAAGCGACAAAAGTACTAAGTCTTTCATAATCATAACATAAGGCAGATCAATTGTACGAGTCCGACTACATCACAAGCAAATGTTTATTAATCATTAGCAAATAGTGGTGATACCAGTTGTACGTTGTTGTACATAAATTCACTGTTGATCTTTGGCTCTTTCTAAAGAAAATTTAATTTTACGACCGACAGTGTTTATTCACAACTGTGTTACTTATTGTGGACATGTTTACTTACAGCACCAACGAAAGTATTGGAAGAGAGTGTGCATGAATATTGGATCCACCCCAATGCCCAGTTAGGAACACTCGGTAGGTGATACATGTGGCAGGATCATTGTGTCAAACAACTTCATCTGTTGTTTCTCTTTAAAATAGACAAAGCTTTAAGTAATCTATAGTCCATGCCCCTTTTTGAAAAATTAAGGACGTTTTTATGATGGCGCTCATATAGGCAAAGTACAGTCACATTTGGCCGGAATATGTGTGAACGGAATTGATGCTGCATTAAGTAGATAATATCATAATTTAACATTAAAAGAATATAATAATCTGATAAGCTATTATTTTCTCACAATTTTACAAAATGTAGATTACACTCAGGTGAGTGGGTAAGTGAGCGTGAGAGGGTATGGTTTTAAGCCGCTTTCAGTAATAATGTTGCAATGTCTAGGCGGAGAATACAACAAATTAGCTTCACACATTATACCCATGCAGGGAATCGAACACCGGCCTTCGGCATGACAAGCAAAGGCTTTAACCTCAAGGCTACCTCAACGCTCCTGCTTTCAGGATATGTTAAGATATGTTGTAAATACAAATAGTATTATTTGGGTGACATGTCAATGAATGAAGCCTTTGGTCCTGCTTCATGTGCATGTTCTTACACAGTTAAACATTTGAAGGTCTTATACGAACGCCACTACTTATTTCACTGATATTGCTTCTGCTTAAATGCATATATTATTCGTCGGGGTTTAACAAAAACCGTCCTTCGTGATTACCTTCATTGCTGAGAATATGATGACTAAATGATTTCATCCTTTTAAAGTCACAAGTCTATAACCAGTGCAGATCCGGGTTAGAATTGGTCTTCAGAAGACCATGCTTGTAAGAGGCGACTAACGGGATCGGGTGGCCAGGCCCGATGATTGATGCATGTCGTATCCCAATTGCGTTGATCAATGCTTATGATGCTATTTACAGACATCCGTCATATAAATGGAGTTGGAAACAAACACAAGCTTATGGTATTATATCATCCTAAAGCACATCTGTAACGCCACCATAATTATGTTTAGACGATTGATTAGTTTTCACGGATGGACAGGTGGTTGTCAATTATGCATTACCTGAACCCACAGATCAGCGTCCACTCGGAACTGTTTTTTGGCTTTGACACTAAAGTGAATTATTCCAATTTTGTTACTCGGAAACTATGTGTCTGCAGCGGGGCTCTATCTAGCACCATATGAATTGAGGATAAGTAATAGTAGGCTTCGACTACGACGACACATGGTAGAAATATTATAAAATATGTGTATAATCCTGGAAGGTATAAAACATAATGTGTGTGCTGTTGTGTTATGTTATTTTACCTGTAAAGTTTCTTGTTCACGAGTTCGAGCCGACAGTTTCTCAAATGTCCTCAACAAAACACAGAGAAATGTCTGTAAAAGCTGTGTACTATTAGAACTCGTTGTCATTTATTGAAGAATGAGGGATTAGTTTTCCCCTTGAATACATGCACTGTGTCATTCAATAGGGATACCTAGCTAGTAATTGTTTTGGTAATATATTTATCATTATTAATAACTGACCTCCTGTTTCTTATAGTATCATGGTTTTTCTGGCGTTGTAACAATTTACATGTGTTGTGATGTAATATTATAATAGCGCCAGACATGCAAATAAGATTGCTGTAAGTTCTTGTGTAAAAACAGATATAACATATTCCTGAAAACTATCATCTCCTTTTTGATTATATTACTGATCCTCAGTGGCGACATTCAGTCTCCTCTCTCTCCCTGGAATACTACACGATCTTCAAGTCTCCGTCGACGTCGTTCCCCGAGGTAGTGGTATATCAGCCGTCGTCAACCAAAGCAACATCTCCTTGGTCCTCGTGTCGTCACCACGTTACAAGAACATTATGATACACGTTACAGCTTCAACAGGATACACTCACATCCATCAAGTACTACCAGTGCGGATTTCTACACTGGTCGACTCTAAACCTAAAACTGTCAACTTCTTTGTCCTGGATGGTACGCGGAATGGGACACTAGTTGCGGATATCATCTCGGAAGTTTTCAGCCAGGATTATCCGTATTTTAACATAACCAACAGCTATCCGGGTCAGATTGCTAACATTCTGTTCACTTTATCACAACGTGGGCAGTTGCTTTTGACACGAGACGTGGATTTGTATTTGCTAAGTGGGGATGACAGCATATGCTCTCTTGAGCTGTTCTTTAAAGTCACAGCTTGGGACAAAAGGTCAACCCGATCTGTGGTACTGGCGAAGGTTCACATTCTTATCATCAAGAATTCATTTAATTACTCTGTAGAAGAGAATCTTCTCAATATACCTGTGTTGAAGAACTCATTACGGCCATTCAGTCAACCTCAGTTCAACGTTTGTATATCTGATCTTAATAAGGTGTTTACGTACGAAAATGAAACTGTAATACTTCGAGAATATTTGGACTTTGAAAACCCTCATCATCACGATCTTCAATTTTCAGTCAGGATACGGACCCTAGATGGGCTACGAGAAACGTCCATTTCAGCAAATATTCATGTTCAGAATGTAAATGATGAACCCCCAGTATTTATACTTCCAGTGTATAGTTTCAGTATGCGCAAAGGTTCTCCAAGAGGAAGCATAGTCGGTATTGTCAAGGCCACTGATCCAGATACGCCCGAACAACACCTATCATATACCCTGCATGGGAAGGACAGACAGCTTTTTAGAATCGGAGCTGATGGGGCGATAAGTGTTGATGTCCTCAGTAATCTGAGCAGTGGTTTTAATTTGACGGTGTCAGTGTCAGATGGGGTGAGTCGGTCAGTTCGTGATAGTGTAGTGAAAGTGACCGTTGTAACACAGAATATTCCGATGAAAAACCTTCGTCTGATGTTTGATTTGCATATACCAGAACATTCCCCTAGAGGCATTCAAGTAGCAAGTCTGAAGACATACTCTTCAGCCATTTCTAATTACACAGACTATCATATTCTAGAGGCACAGAACACATTCAGGATAGACGGGAACACAGTGAGTAGTGAACATCGTCTAGCACATAGTGATTGAGATGGGCTTAACGTTGCTCTGAAAAGAGGTGCAATGCATTGCTTGATTCTGCTCTGCACGGGAGGGTTAGGCAGTTCAACGACGAATATCAATTCGTTGTTCTTACGTTTGCCCAGAATGATAACAGTGTACGGAGTAACTTAATATTTTAACCATTATTCGATTTTAAACAAATAATTTTAAAGTTGAACTTTAGAAGAACAATTATTTATATAAATATATAGAAATCATGTTATTTATCAATGCACAATATCTACGATAGTCTGATAGCAGCTTAAATAGCATATTAATAAAGTATTAATAAAAACGATGATCAGGATTTAAACAAATGGCGTTCAGGTACCATCTATAATTTCATTTTATTTCATTTCATAGGGCAGTATCTCCATCATACAGGATCTCGACAGGGAAGCCGGACATCACGTGCAAACATTCACAGTCATGGGCGTGGAGCGAGATACCACGCACTGTGGATTGGTGGTAGATATAGAGAGCATTCAATCTCATTCACATGCGACCCTAGTGCTTCCCGCTACACGAAATACCGGAGGACAGAGACCTGCTCATGTTCATATATTCAAATCGCATCTTGAAAATTTTATGAAAAAAATAATTATGCTTCAGACTGCTTCACGGTGTTGTTGCACGGGGTGCCTGAAAAGGAGCCCCAAAACACGCCAACACGCGTTTTTGTCAATCAACTAAGCCTAGTTCACATTCACATGAACACGTCTCTAACTTTGATACCAATTTCTAAACGTTGACCTCAATTAATGAATTATACAGATCCCGTGGGCCAAAAGGGGCCCTTATCCTACATGCACTTTGTCGCGTGTAACTTTACTGTCAGCGGGATACACTGCCCATTCATTTACAGAAACTTGTAGCATGATGCAAAGTAAGACGGATATTTGTAAGAATATCTTGCCTAAGCATGAGTCCATTCGGTAAATAGATATCAGTATTTTTGTTACTCATTACATATTATGTTACTTTAATTTGGTGCTTCGTTGTTCGTGTATGTGCTGTTCTTGCCTTCTGAAATGTATGTCAAGTGATAAGTGATATTGTTACCTATAACGTTTGAAACGACGCGCGTCACTGGATAATTGTTATGTATTTTGGTCGTCAGAATATGTTACGCCGCTTTTAGCAATATTCTAGCCAAAGGCACCATAAATGGTTTTCACACATTGTATCCATATGGGGAATCGAACCCAGGCCTTCAGCGTAAAGAACGAAGTTTTTAACCTCTCGGCTACACCACTGCCCTTATATGTTATGAGGTAGGCCTTAAAGAAAATGTACCAAGTGACGTCTCTGGTTTGGGCTTGCTCCTTACCAGTGTGGAAATGGTCAGATATTTATCAATATGTACTGTTCACATTGACACGGATCTTTTGAGTCCCACTTTCTGCGTGTCCATTTAACCTACGATTGGGCGAGGCATTCCAACTGCGTCTCGCCGCAAGGCAAGTTTCATTACTCACATTGTTAAAAGAGTAGGAGTATTTACTTTCCGATGTTGTAGCATCTTCGCGTAATGTATCCCAAGTAAAATAAATATTACGTCATACTGATACAGATACGGGTTAGAAATGGTCTTCAGCAACCCATGGTTGTCGATCTGACCGACGGGATCGGGGGATCAGGCTGGCTGACTTTGTTGATGCATGTCATCGTATCGCAATTGCGTAGAACGATGCTCATGTCTGGATTGTCTGGTACAGACTCTATTATTTACTGACAGCCGTCATATAACTTCTTTGATAGGCATTTAGAAGTTGGAGTACTAAGTAAGGATAAGAATTAATGGATGAACATCTTAATTGTAATAAAGAAGTTGTTCATCCATAAATCCTTTTCCTTACCTTGCCGTCATATAGCTGGAATATTGCTGAGTGTAGCGTTAAACAAAAAGAAAACAAACCAATTTGCTGGTAAATTCTATAATACGTCATTTATTGTTCATGGTGGCTCTTAATATGTAGAATAGACTGAAGTTTATTTTTTTTAATTTTGCTTCTCGGAACAATAATAGAAAATATATCCGATAGCCTACCAGAATCACAAGATTACGGATTGTCTCATTTCGTAAAGGAATAGTGTTATGCTCTCGTCGTTCCCTCGAAACAGATGATGCGAAAGTCGTCTAAACTCGTCGGTCATTCTCTAAATGTTAATAATATTCCTTCTTTGAAATGTGTTATGCGTCATTTACTTGGTTTCCTTTTAGATTCTTGGGACGCTACGTGTAGTAATAGATGACATCAATGACCACACTCCTCAGTTTGACTCCAGTTCATATGACATTTATTTATTGGAAAACGATGCTTCAGCGATTGGCAAAGTTGTGGTAAGACATGTACTATTCTTATATGTCGGTTATCGCCAACACCTTTAGTCCCTTGAATACATATGTGAACACTCACAATGTGACTCAATCATTCTACAGTCGAACCGGGTTGTTCCGAACATGGACCTGTCGAATCCCCGTTTGTGTCGAACTCACCTCCCATACTTGTACCGCATTTATTACTATTTAAACCTGGATGTGTCGAATTCCCGGTTGTCTCGAACTCAATTTATAGTCCTTATAGTGTTGTTGTTTTTCAAACCAAACTTAGCACAAGCTATGATTTTATCAAGTATACATGCAATGACCTGCACACAATACGGCGTCTTCAACTGATTCATAGCTGTCGAACCTCTGAGAAGTCCAATTATTTCCTGGGTACCCAGCGCTTCGAGACAACGGTGTTCGACTGTATTTTACCTTCCTGGTCGATTTATCTCATTCCTTTGATACGCTTATTAATGGTACTTCTACATTACTCTTCAATGTATAGTTAAGTGTATGTTAACTACTGTGTGTTAAGATATGACTTTTTATGATACATGTTAACTGCCGGGCAAAGAAACATACACACTTATCAAAATGTTATAGCCTGAAAACAGTCACCGAAACACTGAAAACCCAAGGTCCAAAACACAAATACTTACCTGTATCAAATACACCACCATCGAATACCCATTTCCTGTTTGTTTCATTTAACCGTCATCAAACGTGGGTGTATATACACTTTCGTTTGCCCGGCAGTTTAGTGTGACAATGTAAGGCCAGGGAGGGTATGCATTGCGTTTACAAATCTTGCATACATTTCAAGCCTACTTTCAAGTGTGATTAATCAAGCCATGTGAACAGTTTCATTTGTTGATATATTGGAATCAAGGCTCGTGTGTATGTTTCATAGAAGCACATGATAACGGTAGAGAAAGGTGAGAAAACCTTTTCCATAGTAATAACATCGGTGTAAACTTTCTTTTGCCTTGCAGTTTATAATATTATAACTGTTTTGGGAGCATTTATTAATGGCTTGAACATCACTGCCAAATAGTTTTCCATTATATTAATGGATGTAATGTAGAGTGAAGTGCTGACATCATGATATTCTTCTTCCAGCTAAAGGTTACGATCTTTGATCCCGATGAGGGCCAAAATGGAACATCACATTTTTCTTTGTTTGGCCAAAACCGGAACAGTTTTCGCGTGGACACAACCGATGGCAAAACTGCAAACATTAGCCCAAATACGACATTTGACAGAGAAACAATCCAAGATTTTGTTCTTAATCTCGTGGCCAAGGATGGCGACAGGAACAGATCAAGTGGAAATACAAGCTTCGCCTCCATCAAGGTCCACGTGATCGACATCAACGACAATGCCCCAGAATTTGACAGCGACAGTGGAACTCATTTAACTATTCGAGAAAATGCAGACACGTGTTGTTCAGAGAGCATAAGCGCTACCGATGAGGACTCAGGTGCAAATGGAAACGTGTCTTTCATTGTAGTAAGCGGAAAAGGGTATTTTGAGATAGGGCAGCAAACTGGCGTTCTTTGTACAACAGAGAAGCTGGACAGAGAGGTTTACGGAAGTATTAATATCTCACTTGAAGCATTCGATCACGGTGAACCGCAACTTAAGTCATTACGAAACTTTACGGTCAGCGTGCTTGATGAGAACGATAACGCACCAAGATTTAAAAATAACCTTCCTATTATTACAACATATCCGGAAAATAAGACGTGCAAATCTCTAAACATTACTATAATGGCAGAAGATGCCGATATAAACAAGACAGTAACCTACAACTTGTCAAGTAAATTTTTCAAGATCAACAGCTCCACTGGAGATATTTGGTGTAAACAGCCCCTGGATTTCGAAGCTCAGATGAAGCACACCTTGACCGTCTTTGCTGTGGATTCGGGGAAGCCTGTGAGAAGTGCGTCCACGATTGTTGTCGTCGATGTACAAGATGTCAACGATAACAAACCTATTTTCTCTAAATCTGTGTTTGAAATATGGTTTTTGAAATCTCACTGGGCTGCTAACAAGCCAGTGCTTGTGCTTGATGTCTCAGACGCCGATTCTGGAAAATATGGAGAAATCACATTTTATACACACAGTCAGAACCTTTCTCAGTATTTCACAGTTGCTGGTAATGTTGTTCGCACAGTAAGTTCACAGGCACCTTCTGTTGGTAACTACACATTTAACGTCACAGCTAAGGACGGAGGGTCCCCACCAAACTCAGCGACAGCGCAAGTAGTAATACACTTATTGACTATACAAACGTCTTTGCTCAATTCGTCTCGCCCACGTCCGGTTCTAATAGGTTATCCGCACAATGAGGTCCCCTTCACTGTTATTGAGAACAGAAACTACTCAACAAAGGCAATAGGTATGATCAATACAAACGTAAATCCTGTGCAGAAGATCACATACACACTTGTGGAAACAAGTGGACCATTCATATTGAACGCAAGCACGGGAAGTTTATTTTACAGAGACCAGTTTGACCGAGAGAAGAAATCTCTTCATCAGCTGATGATCAGAGCCCAATTGACGAATGGAAGTGATTACGATCTTGCTCTTGTGAGTCAGGGTGCAATATCTGTGCATTTATCTGTCTATCCATAGATAGGTAATGTGAGTTTGACACTCACGTATCTGTGCTTGTTTATCGGTTATTGATAATTGTCTGCATATGTGACAACATTTAAAATATTTATTTCTTATGTCAACTGGTCTTGCTAGGTCCTGTCTATTCACTGATAACGTTTTGGTGTTTAGCAGTCAGTGCTTGTCGTAAGAGGCGACTAAGGGATTCGGGTAGTAAGGCTCGCTAACTTGGTTGATGCATGTCATCGTATCCCATTGGCGTAAATGGATGCCCATGATGTCAGTCACTGGATTGTCTGGTCCAGACTCGAGTCATATAGCTGGGACATTGCGGTGTTAAACAACAAACAAACAAATAGATGATCACTGATAAATGATTATTACCTTTACAATGACTTGCGGGTCAGGGTATTCCACTTTTTGGAATGTGGGTACTATGGTAACTTCCTTGATGCGCCCTATGGGGAGGTGATGTAGTCGATGTGCAAAGTCGGGACCCTTAGTTTAGGGGTTCGAATTACACTAATTATCGCCCTGATTGTGTTGCTTGGTTTTCCTGTTCGAGTGTTTCACCAGATTGACAAACGATTTTCATCTGTTCAGCGTTTTCGCGTACACTAAATCTAAGCCCTTGGTTTAACTGAAATATTGTTCGAAGCGGCGTTAAACCAAACATGCTCATTCAATTTACAGGTAAATATCAGTGTTAGTGACGTCAATGACAACAAACCACGTTTCCAAACAGACAACCACCAACAAGTCTATCTGAAAGAGAGTGTAGCAATAGACACTGAAGTGATTGTTGTTAATACCACCGACCCTGATGCCGGAGCCAACGGCAATGTGACCTACACGCTGTCACCTCATGCAGGTACGTATTAAGATGCTACTACACTAGAACAGCGTTAATTCGAACTCCTGTAACTCGATGTGTGGCTGATTACGGTGTTGCTTGATATGATCATGACATCACCCGTCTAAGCACTAGGGTACGATGTCGTGTCTTTCGAACTACGGATAACGCCGTATGTTGTTAATGGTGTTTCTTGGTGTGTCCCTGGTATAATCCATATCTCGAACTACAGAAGTCTTGATATATGATGAATGTTCCTTTGTATGGTCCTGGCATACTCCATACCATGAAACTATGGATAAGTCGATCCATGGTTTATGATGGAGTATTTAAATATGGTCCTGACAGATCACATCTCGAACTACGGATTACTTGATATCTGCTCGAAGGACCCCTTCACGAAAATTCATATTTTAGAAAGAAATAACAATGTTTATCTAACTCGAACAATATTGGTACAATAGTATTTTTGTTTACATTTGTTTAATGATTACCTAACTGATGATTATTTACCTGTCATGCCCCAAATGTCAGTTTAAAATATCCTATTCTATATTTATTTGACGGATATTTATTAAAGTCGTATATTTTGTCTGACTATAATGTTGCTGAAGACTTTACAATCGGAGAGCAGACTGGAATTGTGAGAGTAGCCCGGATGTTGGATGTTGATTCTGGAAATAGCAGTGTTCGTCTTCTGCGGGTTACAGTAAGAATTTACTTCAACTAAATTTGAACAGAAACGTTCTATTGTATTACACGTCTGTGTCGCAATAAATGGTCGGTAAAATGTCTAGAAACTTAATTAAAAGACTTACATAAAAAGTTCATTTTGTTAACACCGCTATTTTATATGAAATGAATGTCATTGGTTAAATGTCTAGGCGCGAGAAACTTCATTTTTCCAAAACCGGAACAATTTTGTAAATAACTCAGTATGTTGTGTAGGCCAGTGATCAGGGAGATCCGCCACTGACGTCGTCGACAACATTACACATCGTCCTCGTGGACGTCAATGACAACGCTCCTGAATTTACCCAACACAGATACACCTTTCATGTGAAGGAAAATGCTGAAGTTAATGAGAAGGTAAGATCCTGTTGTACAGCTACTTTCGTCGTCAGTTAACTATATGCTCGTCTCTTGTTCTTAGTGTACTTTGTCCTTTTTTCATTAGCTTAGTCACTGGTTTTCAGTGATCCATTCAAATCATTTTCATCACATGTGTTTCTTTGCATCCAAGGGGGCACGGGTGGCCCAATCGTCTAAGGCGACGCGATTCGCTGTGCAGAGTTGCGTCCCTTGGGCACGCCAGAAACCTGTGATTGTGGGTTCGAATCACGGTTCGCCCCAATTATGTTTCTAGGTTTGTCAGCACCATACCCGTGCTCGTGGGTTTCACCGAACTGGTAAACGTCTGAGACCTGCATCACTTTGGGCTTTCCTTCCACATTAAGCTGACACGCCGGGATATAACTGGAATATTGTTAAAAGCGGCGCTAAACCAAACTCACCCACTCACTCACTCTTTGCATCCAATGGAATCTCTGGCGGAAGATAATCGAGAGTATTATCTGGCGTTGGTGTTTTTCATGTATATGTACAAGGGCGTGGTATTCGTGATAACTGTGAGTGAGTGAGTGAGTTGGGTTTAACGCCGCTATTAACAGTATTACAGTTATATCTCGGCATGTCAGCTTAATGTGGGAGGAAAGCCCGAAGTGATGCAGGTTTCAGACGTTTACCACTTCGCTGAAACCCACGAGCACGGGTATGGTGCTGACAATCCTAGAAACATAGTCGGGGCGAACCGTGATTTGAACCCACAATCATAGGTTACTGGTGTGCTCAAGGGACGCAACTCTGCACAGCGAATCCCGGCAATACAATGTAGGGGACCCAATCTTTTGTATTGTATTTAAACTTTGTTTAGAGTTCCACCCTTTGTTTGAAGGTCACCTTGCTATATTTGTTGTCGGCAGGTACATGGGAGTATTCCTTTGAGGGCGTACGACAGAGATTTAGACCATTCTACGAACGGACATGTGATTTACAACAGGACTATGGTTGCTGTTGGAGAACGAGGAAACTGCCCCTTCTACGTATCAGAAAGTAATGAATACCAAATATGTCAATACGTCATGTCTGTTTCTAGTTATGATTTATCCCGTCGTATGGGAGGAGAATTGCTGGGTACGGTTGTAGGCAAAACAAAAACGCTGTGTGAGAAAATTGTGTGTGTGGCGGGTGTTTCCTGTAGAGCATGACACGCTTACCCTTCCTGCGAACACCTGGTGTCATAACTGATTTTCAACGATCATTTCGTATAATTTCTATCGCTTGTTTGTCTATAACGCCCAATGGAATCTGTTTTGGCATATGATCGAGACCGATTATTCTCTGGCGTCGACGTTTTGAATAGATAAACAAATTATATATTTGCTCTTCTCACAGATGGCGATATCGGTGTAAATAGTAAACTCGACTATGAGACAAAACGAAACTACTGCTGCATCGCGACAGCCTCCGATAGTCCAGTCTACGGTAACAGCATGAATGCCAGAACCTTCGTAAATATCTACGTGGATGACGTCAACGACAATGCACCTGAATTTAAGAATATTCCTTATACAGTCAACATCAGTCATGATGCTGCAGTGGGCTCCGTAGTTACTGACGCCGTAGTAGCCATCGACAGCGATACCGCTGGGAACGGGGTCGTCACGTACTCCCTTATCAATGCATACAGTAAGCTACAGTAGAATATAAGTTGCATTCCTGAAAATGTATGGTTTGAGTGAGGACACTCAACTTGTTTCGTCCTTTGGGTGACACATAATATTTGTATAAGATCACAGAACAGTAAGTAAACAAAGTTGTACAGTAATCATATATTTTGATTTGTTTTTATTTCGTATGAAGAGATAATCTTCCCCGACGAGTTACATGGCGCGTATTATAACATGTAAATTTTATCTCAAGTCAACTATCATAGTTGGTTAAGTTACGGACGGCGCCGCAATAGATCATTTCGGCCTTTCCTCCCACATTAAGCTGACACGCTGTAATATAACTGGAATACTGTTCCAAGTGGCGTTAATCCCAACTCTCTATTTCTTTATGTGTTTCACAGTGTCTCATTAATGATTTAAGGAAATATTACTTTTTCTCAACAGAAATGAATTTCAGCATTGACGCATCTACCGGGATAATAACCGTCAAGCATCCTCTGTGGTCCTTGCCTCCAACAGTGACACTGACTGTTCTCGCAGTAGATATGCCACAGTCCGACACTCCATTGAACACCTCCGCAAACGTACGTAAACATTGACCATCTCCGCAAACATACGTAAACATTGAACACCTCCACAAACGTACATTAACATTGACCACCTCCACAAACTTACGTAAACATTGACCACCTCCGCAAACGTACGTAAACATTGAACACCTCCAGAAACGTACGTAAACATTGACCACCTCCGCAAACGTACGTAAGCATTAAACACCTCAACAAACGTACGTAAACACTGACCATCTCCGCAAACGTACGTAAACATTGACCACCTCCGCAAACGTACGTAAACATTGAACACCTCCACAAACGTACATAAACATTGACCACCACCGCAAACGTACGTAAACATTGACCGACTCCGCAAACGTACGTAAACATTGACAACCTCCGCAAACGTACGTAAACATTGATCACCTCCGGTAACGTACGTAAACATTGAACACCTCCGCAAACGAACATTAGCATGGACCATTTCCGCAAACGTACGTAAACATTGAACACCTCCGCAAACGTACGTAAACATTGAACACCTCCACAAACGTACATAAATATTGAACACCTCCACAAACGTACGTAAACATTGACCACCTCCGCAAACGTACGTAAACATTGACCACCTCCGCAAACGTACGTAAGCATTGAACACCTCCACAATCGAACGTACGTAAACATTGACCACCTCCGGAAACGTACGTAAACATTGAACACCTCCGCAAACGTACGTAAACATTGAACACCTCCGCAAACGTATGTAAACATTGACCACCTCCACAAACGTACATAAACATTGAACACACCCGCAAACGTACGTAAACACTGACCGCTTCCGCAAACGTACGTAAACTTTGACCACCCCCGCAAACGTACATAAACATTGAACACCTCCACAAACGTACGTTAACATTGAACACCTCCGCAAACGTACGTAATCATTGAACCCTTCCACAAACGTACGTAAACATTGACCTACTCCGCAAACGTATGTAAACATTGACCACCTCCGCAAACGTACGTAATCATTGAACACCTCCGCAAACGTACTTAAACAATTAAATAAGAGAAAACACTGTATACCTTAACGTGTTCGTGGATAATAAATTCATATTTCTGCTGATATATACATTATCGATATGCCACAAGTTGTTCATGGTTTTTATGTTATGAAACACTTTAATAATATATCTGGTTTATCTCTATTACCCTGATATTGTTAAAGTGAGCTCGTGGGTTTTCATACGTCCTTTTGTCCGTCCCCATTTCTTCTTATTCTTCTCCTTCTTCTTCTTCTCCTCCTCCTTCTTCTTCTTCTTCTTCTTCAAAACCACAAAACATCGAGATGGTAAACGTCTGAGACCTGCAGTACTTCAGGCTTTCCTCCCACATTAAGCTGACACGCCGTGATATAACTGGAATACTGTTAAAAGCGGCGTTAAACCCAACTCACTCACTCACTCACTCACTTGTATGCTATTTACATAACGTCTTGTACATGCCTCTGCAAGTTGCCATGCCTTCATAAAGATGAGCTTCTGTGTTACTGGTTTCTATGTCTCGGGGTTTTATGGTTACCACCATGCAGTGAGGTGACTGGCTCGATCACCCATGGATATTTATACCTAAAACCAATCAATTTGCCATTGAAATCATGATCACATCTCCAAAATAATTTGTTAACGATAATAGTATTTTAGTATATATTAAGAACACATATCATGTTTTATAACAATTCGTGTGCGTAGACACATCTTGTAAAGTTGATGAGTGACTGTCGCTTTTATTGACGAAGTAAAGGTACCGTGACGCATGTCAGCGAATTCAGGAATTGCTTATAGTCTGTGACATGTGTCACGGTGACTTTACTATCACCGACTATAAGCACATCGTGAACTCGCTGACACGCCATACATCATAACCAAGAACTGTGAATTCAAACGATCTGGTAGCTACGGGTCATGACTCCATACAGTAGGATGTGGCGTTTTCGGCCACCCGTGTCGAACCGCTAGTGCAGGACATGGCAATCTCTACAAGAGCCCGTAACGAGATATTGTGTATAAATATTGTGTATATATAAATCTTTCAATTTTTCATTTCTTTTTATTGCCAATAAACTATAAATATCAAGAATGATTTTAACCAGACATATAATATTTACAATTGTAGGTGGTTATAAGCATTTTCGGCAACCCTCGGCCTCGATTTCTGAAACATCGATATGATGCTACAGTCAAAGAGGAGGCTGAGCCATTGAATGACATCGTGCAGGTAGTTACAACAGGGCATCTCCACATCCAGGGCAACGCCAGCACACAGGAATACAACTACACACTACAGGCCGGAGGTGAGCAGCACACATACTGTACTTCAACATTAACATTAATGATAAGACATATGGATGAACAAGTGAGGTGAAATGGGGTTTAACGTCGCGTCCAAGATTATTGCACTTATATAGCGACGTGCATGCATGTGTGTGTGTGTGTGTGTGTGCGTGCGTGTGTGCGTGCGTGCGTGCGTGCGTGCGTGTGTGTCCGTGTGTGTTTGTGTGTGTGTGTGGCTGCTTGTACTAGTCCGGACTGATTCCGATTTATAGTGCTAGCACACTGAGATACCATGCCGCAGTTTAACATGAATACCCCACTCAGACACAGTATACTGACTCCGAGCCGACCAGTCCTTGTTTTACCCCCTTCATGCCGAGCACCAGACAGGGGCGGACGCTCTACCATTAGACCACGGAGGCGGTCCATATGGATGAATAACTTTTTTATTCCAATTCGGAACGATGTTTCGGTGTATGTTCTTTACAGCGTTATCAAGCAAGTGATATACAAAGTATGGTTGACAAGTATATATACAGGTGTGAGGCAGTGTTTATACAGGATGTACTTACAATGGAGTGGAGAAGACTGTTATGTACATTGTACACAAAAGGGGTGATATATGCTAAACATCGTAACCGGTGAGGTCAATGGTGTAAGCAAAGGGATTATAACTGATTGGGGTCTTCGATAAATTGATGGTACGCATTGGCATACAATAGCCTTGATCATGGTTGGTGTCTTTTGATGTTGATGGCTTCATGGAGTTTTCTGAATTTGAATTCTTTAAGGTAGATTGTAACCGCAACATAAACTTTGCCTATGCTGTACCCATAATGCTGTACCCAATTGAATATTCGTTTTGGGTTTTTATCTTAAAATTAGGGTATGGGACTTATTCAATGAAAATTGGCAGATATTGATATGTCATAAAGTGATGGATAATTACCAAGCCTTTGTTTACATCAGTTGAGCTTGGCAGATTAATTATGATTTATAACTGTTTTATCTTAGGTATGGATTTGGAGATTCCGAGCCAGGAATTGATTTGTTGTGACCTTAGTAGAATCTGCATGTAAAATTGCATTTCCAGCTGAAGATCAAATTTCCATGACTGTGTACCTAGATATGCTAGGTCCCGACTATACACAGAAGCGATCAATCAGTACCGCTTTATCCATCAGCTATCTCAAATTCTCGTTCAAGCTATCTCAAATTCTCGTTTAATCTTACCCTATCAAAAAGAAACGGAGTACCAATGTCAGATCCGTAATTATAGTGTCGAGACTGGAAATTGGTATCTCAACGATAATCCTTTAATCACTGATAACAACAGCCTCCAAAGTTCGGTTGCTTCTCTTGTGGCAGAGTTCTCCGACTACTTCCGAATCAACAACAGCAACGGCATGGTGAGTCAGACGCGGCCGGTAGACCGGGAGGTGACGGGGGGCATGATGCTGCTGTACGTCACAGTGAGTGAGGGCGTGTCTCTGACCAGGAGGGACACCGCCGTCATCAACGTCACTGTAGATGACATCAATGACAACGTGCCCGTATTCACACCGGCGCAACAGATACAGACATTTGTCACCACCCAGGTCAGGGATACCTGTTTATAGCATAATGTTTCCGTAAAATTATCAATATACAAAAATATCTGATTTTTAAAAGATGGCTTGACGCTATTGATGCGAAATATTTTCGGTATCCCCTGACTTAGTATATTTATGAGATGAAAATCTATGTGTTTAATGTAAAGCTACCTGTAGACTAAGGTTGCTAACTTGAACATGGAACAGAAAGCTCAGGGTGATGTTTCGGTCTTAGATTTAGCGTCGTTCTTCCTTGATATTATTTCACGCGAATACTTCAATTGGTAGTTGCAAAGATAGTGAGATGCATGGATTAATTCCAATGTTTTTAAATAGGGTTCCGATATCACGATAATAGCCGCTGTAACACTGGCTTTTCGACAGTGTACTTTACCCGCATGCATGAGAGGCAGTGTAACATCTAGATCTTGCTGCAAACCTGAAGTTGAAACGTCTAGAGGATTTGACGTGCAATCGACCTTTCCCAAACTACATTGGTTAATCTCATTATTTGATACTGCCTACGTACAATGTATGGAAAAGAAGTAATTCCCATGAACATTAGCTTCCGTCTTTGTGTGACAGTCAAACCGTCTGTTTAATCAGACGCTTATAGTTTTGAACCTCGGGTTGACGCTATTTTTCAGGGCATTATCATTTGCAGAAGCCTGAGGTCTTCCATTAACTGCCCGACGAAGGAGGGCAGTTGAAAAGACCGAGGGCTTCTGCAAATGATAATGCCCTGAAAAATAGCGTTACCGTTATTATAGCTAAAATGGATGGAATTTTGTATCAAATAAAAAGAAACAACAATATCGGTTTTGAAACATTTACTGCAATCAACACAAATGTCACTGACCCACTTTTACAAATATGGAAACGTCATAGAACAAACCAGATGGCGTCACTATTTAACGTGACGTCTCCTATACCTACCCTATAACGTTACCTGACAAGGGGCGTGATAATGGCCCGTCGTCATATGAGGGCATTATCAAGTTACAGTGGCCCGCTGATTCTTGATAACATGCGGGCGGTTTACTGATAATTCGATCCATTTTAGCTATAATCGAGCATAAGAACGTCAATGTGACGACCATTCTACAATGATAAGCCACAAGTATCATGGTTGGTGTGGAAAAAGCATAAATACAACAATTTACCTTGTTTGACATTAACATGACATTTTCTATAAGACAACTCATGTGGGTCACGTGATTGGCCGTGTTGCATCCTACGACAACGACGACCCAGCAATGTCTTCTGCCGTGTACAGACCGGTCATAGCCAATAGGTGCATCTCTGTAGACACCTCCGGTCAACTTACAGTTAGAGAACCTTTGGTCAAGGAAGGAGTTGAGGTCTACACAATACAGGTACGTTGATGTTGATATGTGTATGACCATACATGTATCACATTTATAATTATCACATCACGGACTTGTTGTGAACTTTACTATTCAGGATGCTAATAATAAATTTAATCCTTACAAATGCATTAGCATAACTTTAAATAAAAATTAAATGATAAACTTGTTGTTACGCAAATATTAAACATCTCCACTCATATCAATTTGATCATTTGATTCTGTACAGATCACGTGATATTGCCAATGACAATGAAACATATCGCCAATCTAGACTCTCAATTGTCTGTTTAGAAATCGGGTCACCGGTTCACAAATGTGTCAGACATAACGACTTGTTGTCCTTAAATCCCCATGACAAGAAGACGATATTTCAGACAAATAAACCCTATAGGAACTTCCTGTCAGTGTTTCATGTTTCTAAACATCTGATTTGATTGTGTCAGTAGTTGATTGACCCCGTGATGATCCGGGTTAGATTTCGTCTTCCTCATCCCATGCTTGTCGTAAGAGGTGATTAACGGGATCGGGTCTGGCTCGCTACATTTGGATGATGCATGTCATCGTACCTCAATTACGTATGTCAATGCTCACGATGTCACTCACTGGATTGTCTGGTCCTAACGCGATTATTATTATTTTTATTATTATTATTATTATTATTATTATTATTATTATAGCTGAATATTGCTGATTGTGACGTTAATCAACAAACAATCAGCCAGTGTATTTGGCATGATTGCGTCAGTAATTTGCATGTCTCTTCATGTCATAACGCATGGCAACAGCTGATGGTGAGCGTGTCTGATGGCTCCATCCTCCATGGCGTGTCCAACATTACCCGGCTTACTCAGCAAAACACGTCCGCTCTGATTATAATTCACGTCAAGCAGTTGCAAAACTCTCATGCACCAACATTCACACAAGGTAAGTATGTGTCTATGAAGGTATATCTGTATTGCCTAACGCTCAATATAGCCAACTTTTAGTCTTAACTTACACAAGTCATCGTGCGAGCATGTGCCGTATATGAAATGCATTTTGATAAAATGTCCATGAAGATGTGATTGAAAGTGTCATTGTGTAAACTATACATTGAATCAACTTTATGAACCTTTTCACCTACCATTTCTAGGTTCCTATCATGACATTTGTGTACAATGTAATATTAAGTCTTTGAAAGGCATTTAGAAGTGATACACATAAGGATGAGAGTTTATGGATATCAATTTCTTTATTATGAAGAACACAACTTTTCTGAGTAAATGCTTACGCCTTCATCAGGTGAAATGATTTCCCCTGTTCCTCACAATAAAGAAGTTGACATTCACAAATTTTCTCCCCCAATGTGATATTGTTTACACATATATTTCCAATTTTCGGTTATATCCTATGGACACTTATATTCGCTTTTACATGTTGTTACATTTACTCTTGTTGCTCATTGTATAGATTTATACGAGGCAAACATCTCGTCAACATCCCGTCAGCACACAACGATTCTCATCCCAGAGTTCAACGCAACTGACGGAGACGGCGATAACATTACATATTCCATTGTATCTGGCAACGTCAGGGTAGGTATCCACGGCACCGGGCCATTACAACACTGGGATGATGATTGCATTGATAGGAAGGAATGTAATTCGTCACACTTCAAACCATCTGTACATGTATGCCTGTTTAATAACATGACACAATTTCACATCACGAAATATCTTAAGTGAATGAGTGAATTTGGTTTAACGCCGCGTTTTCCAGTTATTTCCCGGCATGTCAGCTTAATATTGGAGGAAAGCCCAAAGTGGTGCAGGTCTAAGAAATCCACGATCACGGGTATGGTGTTAACAACCCTAGGTACATTATCGAGGCCAACCGGGCTTGGAACCCATAATGATAGGTTTCTGGCGTGTCCAAGGGTCAGCAACTCTGCACAGCGTACTGCCACGCCTTAAACGACTGGGCCACCCGTGTCCTCAAATACCTTAAGAACTGGTCCCTAATACAATGTTATACAAACGTTATACAAAACCTTCATAATGGTTTTACATTGCAGGATTTATTCCATGTAGACAGAGCGTCTGGAGTTCTTTCCCTCCAGTATGACGTTGACAGTACAATTCCTCCCGTTATGAACCTCACTGTAGAAGCGGTGGACAGCGGATTTGTATCGAAATCCAGGTCTGTTACATATCATAGTTCTTACCTTGTTGCATGTTCAAGACCGCCTCCGTGGTCTTGTGGATAGAGTGTCTGCCATGAAATCGGAAGGTCGATGGTTCGATTCCCGAGCGGGTCATACCAAAAGACATTAAATTCTGGTGTTTGTTTTACCCTGCCTGGCGCTTGGCATTGAGGGGATAACACATGGACTGGTCGGCTCGGTGTTAGTATACTGTGTCTAAGTGGTGTATCCGTGCGAAAGTACGGCATGGTATTTCAGTGGGCTAGCACTATAAAACCGACAGTAGTCCGGACGAGTACGAGTAGACACACACACGCGTGCGCGTTACAAGTGTAATAATCTTGAACGCGACGTTAAACTCCATCACACCTCACCTCAACTCAACTCACCTTCTGTTGTACAAGGTTTTGTCCTGCATGGAGTTTGTTTTCATGACAGCCTGCCTCACTCAAAATGTAAAACAGGAAATGAATTTAAGCCAACAGTGTTTGCATTGTTTTAAACATGCCTGTGTTGATTAAATATTTTGTGCAAATTATTTTATTGCAAATATAATTGACGAACAAATAGATTAGCGCCGTGTTGATGCATCGCATCAAAAGTGCTCTGGTATCTCTTTTTGGAATGAGTGAGTGAGTGAGTTAATATTTAAAGTCACATCGGCAATATTTCAGCCATTTCGTGACTTTCTCTTTTTGGAACAAATACTTGCTATAATTATTTGCAACGTTATACATCTGCTCTGTGAAGGAGTGGTACGCATTAGATCCTGTTGTAACTGACACTCATCATTGATCATCGGTCGGACCCTGTTAAAGATCTGTATAGGTTTCTTTGTCTGTGCACAGCACGTGTGTCATCATCATCAGACAGGAAGGCTCTGACGCCAGACAGTGCTACTCCTCAAATGAATTAAATCTCCAGATTCAGACTGAGATAAACAAGGTGTATCCGGTCGTCGTTGGTGTGGTCGCTGGCCTACTGGTTGCTGCTGTTGTTGTAGCCATTGTGTTGGCTGTTAAGTAAGATATTGCTCTTATTGATCTTGTGAGTAAAGCGACTCGATCACATATACAGTGATTTGACATCCAAGACAAACCGGTCTATATAGTTTGCAAAAAGTAAACGTTAACTTTTATTTAAAGCAACAAAACCCTGTCCATAAACAATAGAAGTTTTGGCTAAAAGCAGTGTCGATTGCACGATTCCGACTATATCATGAGCATGAGTTTATAAATCACTATCAAATTGTGAGGATATGAGGTGTTCGCAAAAAAGGTGAGCGTGTCCTGCCCCACCGGTGGCAACCGTCACAAACTCACGCAAAGGCAAGTCAATTGCCCACCTGAAAAAAACACGAGAACATATGGTACAAGTCAAAAAAGGGAATTGCATCGGACATAATTTTTGTACCTGATGCGTCAAATTTTGAACAAATACTTTCAGAAAGTATTATCAAAGCAACTGACTGAACAATTACCAGTATTGAATGTAAAATAAATTATTGCTTCACATACGGTTACTGATTTATAACGTATATACTGTATGCGGCGTAACATCATGTGAAAGGCAAATCAATATGTATGTCTATCTCATACCCAGACTGTGCATGTCACGGAAGTTACTGAGTCAGCTATATTGCACCAACACCGTGCTCTCATCGACGGTGGATCAGAATGGACAGCGCATGCGGTATGCAAGGTCAAGTGTTGACCGGGACTACAGAGAGGCACGGCCGTACACTAGTATTGATGATCTGAGTGAAGTTGTGAGTTATTAGCCTGTTAAGCTGATCTGATTAGAGGAATAAGTAATTCACCTGTATAGCTAATCTGAGTGAAATAGTAAGTTACTAGTGTTGGTCTGTTAAGCTGGTTTGAGGAAAGTAGTGAGTTACTAGCCTGTACAGCTGTTCTGATAAGTACTTCACCTGTATAGCTAATCTCACCAAAGCAGTGCCGTAGCCAGCCGGGTGGGAGGCAGTTGCCCCCCCCCTCCCCCCCCCCCCAAAAAAAGGTAACTACGGCCTTGCAAAATAATACGTAATTTATCTATATAGGTGGTCTGATCAAAGTAATACGTAATTCATCTATATAGCTGACCTTATCGAAGTAAATAAGTAATTAACTGATTAGAGTAATGCGTAATACACCTGCATAGCTAGTTATTATTTATATGTTTAATGCAATGTACGAATAGTAATAACAGAAGTGTAGATGTAATGTTATTCAAGTTCTGTGTCAGTTTTAGATAATTTAACCCCCTACCCAGGTGCTCACATTTCTATTCCAACCACTTCGTATTTGTTCCAGTTTTACATTGATTATGGTTCCCTAAGCAAGACGGGTGGTACTCAGCGAAGGTAAGGTCAAAACACATACAATATACTTACACAAGCACAATTGATAGCATCCATTGGGCTGGTCCACTCCTTCTTTAAAACACTGTATCTTTTCCATCATTTGTTTCAACACATGTGATGGGGTAGCATATGTTTTCGCGCCCATAATAAAAGGAAATGCCTTTCTTCATCTATCTACCCAATTGTTACTTCGAATATTTTCCACCTAATACGTGCTGTGACTGAATCTTTCCCGACCTCCTGTTTTTTCACTGATTAGCGCCATGACACGTGTAGTGAGTGAGTATGGTTTTACGCCGCTTTTAGAAATATTCCAGCAATATCACGGCGGGGGACACCAGAAATGGGCTTCACACATTGTACCCATGTCGGGAATCGAACCCGGGTCTTCAGCGTGACGAGCGAACGCTTTAACCACCAGGCTACCCGACCGCCCCAATGACACGTGGAAGTGGGATCGATTTGACTGTGTGTTTACTGTCAATACATAGTAATTATCATATAAAACGTCAACGCCAGTCCCTATTAACTGCCGAAACTGATTAAATAGTTATGAAAATATTATAAATGGATACAACAATCGATGATGGCACAGGGTGTTCAACCTTCATCAGCTCTTCTGCATTTAGCTATATTGAATACTTTCAGTGATATTCGCAAGTGGTTTTACATATTTCATATTTCTGATATGTTGTTAATGTTGCAGTCACACGTACAGTGCCGCTGATCCAGACTACGAGTCGATCCAGAACGACGCAAGTGACAGATACAAGGGACATCTGTAGGGTGTTCCACGTACATTTAAGAACATCTCTGGAACATTTGGCAGTGTGTGCGGCAGCACCGCGTGTGCAAACAGGACGTTGTATACTAGGGGTAGCCTCATAATAATATACTACGGGATACCTTGATCGTAGACTTCTGGAAACGTACATGGAGGGATTATCTCGCTTTAATTTGTTTGGCATCACCCAGAACTGGCAGCTGACAAATCATTTTCAGAATCAGAATCAGAATCAGTTTATTCTCAGAAACCACAAAAGGTGGTACAAGAGCATATTACAATATATAATTATGCATATGTACAAAAAGCAGACAAGATGGCAATTAATATCAACATGTGATTACCTAGCATTTTTAATACTAATGGACATTTTTACAATAAATCTCGAATAAATTTTTTTAGATCCTGTGTGTTTGTTGTTGATAAGAGTTCTACAGATTTTATAATATTTGGCCATTCAGTATAATTTGGTGAGAGAAATGTTCGCCTCTCTCTTTTAAAATAATTACATCTGAATAAGTAGTGAAATTCATCAGCAATAGATGGGGAATTACATAACTTACAAGTTCTATTTTCCTTTGGAATATTTTTCCATCGTCCAGTCTCATTAGGTAAATTATGATTACAGGTTCGAAATCGTAGTATTGGAATTGCTATTCGTTTTGGCAATAGAAGATATTTATCGAGAACCGGAATGTCCTTTAAATGTTTATAGTATAAGCCTTTAGAACTAGAATTAACGTCACTTCTTTTGAACTGCTAGAATTCTCGAATGTTAACAATAATATTCAAATGAATCCACACCAAGGAATTATCGGGTGTTGTGAGTGTGCAACAGTTGAAAGACGCCCGGACTAGATGTGAGCTTCATCGCTTGGCTCGCTATGATCTTCAATTATGACGTCATTAGGTATTGACGTTTTACTGTCATTTTGAAATAGAACGGGAAGTCCATATGTTGGTAAGTTCCCCAGATGATGCATGTCATACGGCAGATGTATCGGTCGATTCCGGTCATGGTAAGGTGGGAAGGAAAGTACGTATCTCACCAAATACAATTATCATTAAGGCATAAGGGACATCAGCAGAATTGATGCCATGACCTAGCTTACTTCGTTTACGACCTCGTAAGTGAGGCGCCATTACTGTGACAATGTAAAGGTCAAATCCATTCCAGACAGTAATTGCTTCAAAATTACCATTTGAATATCAGATAAATATAAATTTAGATGCGACAAGGATAATATAGACCCTGTCTAATTAAGTTAATAGATTTAAATATTTCCAATCGTGTTTTGCAAGTATGCAGTACATCAGAACGTACTGAAAACACATGGTGTTAGTACATCGTCCTGAAAGCAAGGAATTCTTTCTTCAGTTGTATTTTAGCTTTGATTTTCGACATGTCCGGCCGACGATATTATGGCGTAAACAAATGCTGTTTTTAATTTGTTTTGTTTTGTCTTGTCAGTGAATCGAACACGAAACAAATTCGACACAAATACAATACACATCCATACATGTGAAATTTGGAATATCACCCACAAGCAATCAAAAATAAACACGTTCTGATATTTGCCCTTGTGCATTTATTTGAAAGGAATCAGGAATCAGATTGGGTCTCAGCATCGCGGCTCGCAAGTATATGCGTATATTTATTTTTGTTTTTTGTACTATTTGTCGGACACAATGACTGACACGACCTTTAGTATGAGAAAGTCCAATATTAAACGATACTGTTTAAATGTCGTACCTAAAAGAACATCGTAACCCAAGTCCGTGGATCGAAGCTCATGATATCAATCACTGGATTGTCTGGTCCAGACTCGATTATTTGATTATTTACAGCCCGCCGTCATATACCTGGAATATTGCTGTGCGTGGCGTTAAACAGCAAACAAACAAACAAAACCTAAAAGAAATGTTATATACCCCAGCGAACCAATGTCCATATTGAACTCTCACATTGATGGAGGAGCAGTGTAGGAAATCCCTTCTTGGTGCCACCCCCACACGCCTTCACCATGTGATATTACTTGAATATTAAAACTTACCTGGCCTTCACGCCAAGCTTTGAAAAGCTAGATGTCACACAAATCTGTCAGTTGGATTAGACTGAGCTTTCAAACATTGAAGCATTCTTAAAAAAACACAATACAAAAATATCTCTCGATCCGTCAGTTCGACTCTGGATAAGTATCTTTATGACATAATTGGAGATGGGCGAGTACGGTGTGTGTGAATCAGAGAGACTAGTAACTAACACCACGAGTAAGATCAGCGCCATCCCTATCCCCACGCGGCGTGAGGATGACGAGGAGTATTGTGACGTTCTGTTTGACGTAGCTTAAATCCATTTGCATTACTTTGCGGCTTGTTAGCGACTCGGAGAAAACTCCAAAGTGTCGGAGGTGGTGAACGATTGTCACTTTTATGAACAATGAGAACTGTATGGTGCTGTCATAATCGGGGTGACTCGGTTTTTCAATCACGAACAACGGATCCTACCACTGCCAAGGGACGAAACCATGCATACGCAGCGGAGGGGTCTGTTTCGCAATCGCGTGTTCTATGTATATGTACACAGTTTACAAAAAGGAAGAAAGCATGACATGGGTTTCGCACAATAGATTTCGAAAATTGTTTCTCATTTGTACAATTTTAAAATGATCTTCTAAGGATCCTCTGTGTTGTCAGTATCAAAATTGATTTTGATAGCAGAAAATGCTTTTCTGATAAATAAATCTATGTGTTCAAGAGGTCTGAGGTGTTGTCTTGGTTCCACAGAGATGACTCTCACAGGCTACAAAAAACACGTTCACCGCTGTTCTCCCTGTGGTATTTGCACACACTGGCGTGGCTCCCGAATGTTGTAAACGTCTAAAGACCGCTACTGAATTGGACTCTCCTACTACTTTAACCTGACATGTGACATATAGAGATTATTACCTGAGTGTGTTCCCGTACCGAAAATAGCATTTCTCAGGCATACAATTTGCATTATCCAGCCTTGGTGATATTCACGATACGGAAACATACGAGGGTAATGCTATTTTATCATTATAATGTCATTTTCTTTAAAATAATAAATGCTTAAGACGTAATGTCACTCAGTGAAGTACCTTAAAATCGCGCATGGGTATAATATGAGTGAGCTGCCCCTTCCTGTTTAAGCATATTCAACAAGTTAGTCAAATGTTTATTTTGAAAGAAGGCGTCGTATTGACGTATGGAGCTTGAAAGCAGTTCACACTAGGCGACCTAATTTGCATATTTGTCGGATCATCATACAAACCTGATGAAACAAAACACTGTAATGTTCACCCAAACTTATTTTGTTCAAGAAGAGCTAGGCAGCATTCCATGTTGGCAATTGAAAACAGCAAAAAATATCGGTCATTCATCTCTTGCAACCCGATCAGCAGCTAATGCTACAAAAATGATGGCTCTGAAAGATCGATGGTTGCAAGTGACAATTCCATGTGCAAGCTACGTTCAATTGGGTTGTTATCCTCACTTATGATGAACTGCTGGTCTGTTTTGGTCCCTTGTGGGATGACCTTACAGTCCATCAGTGTGACCTAGTTATAACACTTTGATATTCAAAACCTAATTAGATTTTACTCGACGTATTTATCCTGTTCCTTTAACAGCATCACGCCGATCACTTGTAGAAGGCGCCGTCCTGCTGTGTACAATGCAAACAATACACGTTCTGGTAGCTGTTGGAGTTACCTAACATTGTTGTTTATGATAGTAAATTGAATAAGGTAGTTTTGAAAACGCATATAAATGTTTCAAGGCCATTCTCTCTAAGGTCAGAGGTAAATGTGCTCCAAAGACTTCAAACAATTTAAGAAAGTTATTTTGATAAGCATTGATGTTGATATTTCCAATAAATACATCTCTTGTAAAATTCACGTTCTTTCAACTTGCTTTAATAAAGCACACTAGACTGAATGACCTTTTTGATCAAATACTATCCTGCGACGGGTACAGCTGTTCTGGCGCAGCCAACTTGGATTATAAATTTCAGGAAATGTCAATTATTAGTAATTATTAGCAGTACATGACCATCTGCATGATTAGTACCTGATCTATTTAGAGATGTCCTTTTAATCTTACTAACCTTTGATGCTTGTGCGTATGGGCATTCCTACGCTTACAGTCATTATTGTAGCAGTTTGAAATTCGATATCCTTTAAACTGTACGAAATAGGTATGCCAACTGACATAGAGTTTCAATAAAGTTCAGTTTTTAATTTCCTTATTTTTTTGTGTAATAATAAACAAAAGCCTGATATCAATAAGTCGGTGTCGGAGTCTTAAAGTTATATCGTGTGTTATGCGTTATCCCGCAAGATTACAGTAATAAATTTGCAGCGATAGTCCCGTTTAGTGTATTGACTTTCGTCAGTCGTATTTGTTTCTCCCTTTCTCTGTTACCTCAGCAAACAGAGCAAGTATCACCGTCGATTGGAAAAACATTTGGCTGTATCCTGCGACTACACTGTAGCAATACTTGGTGTGGACCATCAATTACAACCTTTGTCAAGGGCAGATTACCAAGACGTTTGCAGTACCAGCTACATTACATCATTATCGCCGTAGGGAACGGAAATTATATGTTTGCAGTTTGCTCTGCCTGCGTGCCTGCCTGCGTGCCTGCCTGCGTGCGTGCGTGCGTGCCTGCGTGCCTGCGTGCGTGCGTGCGTGCGTGCGTGCGTGCGTGTGTGCGTGCGTGGCAAATACGCCAGGATATACACTTTGGAAATTGTGAAGCTTTAGGAACACCGACGTGCCTCTGTGCGATAAATGTTAAATTGAAATAGCATGGGATGTTTTTATTCAAGCAACATACATTCTGATAAATATGTAGTTCCCTAATCGTGATTTACACCGGAATACAAATTTAATGATGTATTCGCCACCTGTCAGATAGCCGCTCACAAGCCACATCGAAGCAGCTCTCTAACCAAACAAAATCTTAACCCGTTGAATGAGGCACTCATCAGTGGAGGCCTATTCTCACACAGCGACATGAATCAATTTAAGTTATATACTGAAAACCAAAAGAAACGCGAAATCTTCAAGTTCCTATTTAATATGGGAAAATGGTTGTGAAAACGGTTGGCTGCTATGGTTCCATTGTAATTGGATTTAATTGTTTCAAAATGACCCTAACCAGAGTTAAGGGCAGTAAACTCTTAATCCACAGCGCTCAGACGCACCGACGTTGAAGTCAGCGTGGGATGGATACGCACGAAATGCACGTGCTGCTTATGCCGCAAAAACTGTCCGTGAAGATGTTGTCTTTAAAAGCCACGAAAGTGTCAGTGTGAATCATTCACTCATCAACGTCAGTGACAATGCCACGACTGTCACAGATCGATCGAGAGAG